GGGGGAGGGGACGAGCTGTCACGAGCAGACCGTGTCAGTCGAAGCGCTGCAAGTTTGGATAAGGTTTCTTGTTCATACCGGACGACCCAAAAACGACAACCCGCCACTGGAGATGAAGGCGAAGTCGTCTTCCGACAAGATCTCTGCGGCGGCGGTGTTCCAGTCGCCGGTGCGGGTCCAGATGTCTGAGAAGGCGGTGATGAAGGATTGGGCTTCGGGGAGGGTGACGCGGCGGCAGTCGTCGTCGGTTTGGCGAGGGAGGGGGTGGAGGGTGGCGGCGTGGATTAGGGGGAGGGTAGCGAGCAGAAGGAACTTCATGGCTGCTTGAGGGATGGAATCGCTTGGTTTGGTCGTTGGCTGGTATGTTTTTGAGGTGCTTGTGCTTGTGCTGCTCATCACGAGGGAGGGAGACCTCGACCTCTTTTATGTATTCCCATCACATCACTTCTCCCTCTCCCATCCCATCCCATCCTCCTTCCCTCTCTTCATTTCATCATCCGCCCTTGCTCACCTCCACCCAAACGCCATCTCGACACAGACATCTCCCTCCCAAACTCCTGCCTTTCCTGATCAAAATCACCCTTTTCACCCGGGATCTAGCAGCAAGCCCATCAACGGCGCCAGATTCGAATCGAGCGCATAGCACCCAAGGCTGAACGATACTCAAGCCTTTCAATCGATCTGGTGCCTATTCGAATGAAACGAGCAGAGATCGAAACACCGCCCGTGCGAGGCTTCTTCTTTGTGTGATGGCTGGTGCTACGTAAAGACTCGAAGTCGATGAGAAGTAGATGATCCGGTCTGTGACAGGCACTCTCTGCAGTGTCACCAAGGCTTCATCGATTTTCGATCGGAGGTCATGGAAAAAGTTGGCGAGTTCCCCAGTCCAGGACCGCCGACATGGCCAGCTTCTTTGCCTCAACCTCGATCAAAGGGATAAGAGTCGCACAGCAGAATCAATAAACCTTCGTATTACAATCAATCCTAATAAACTCCCTCATCATGGGTCTGGATCTGGATATCTCTTTCTTGCGCCATCACTCGGCGGCAATGCTGTACAATCAATCAATCTTTCTCTCGTAAATTCGTAAAGCCCCGTGAAAAGTCGTGCCGCTAAGAAATCTCAAAAATGCATGCCATGCACTCGTTCAAGAGCGCGCTGCTCCAGCCTCTCTCAGAAACCTCACCGCATCTTCGGGGCTGTAGCCTATGAAGACCGGTCCATTAAACACAATCTGCGGTCTGCTGTGTTTGTCTTCCTCCTTGTCCTTTTCCTCCGTGGGCTTCGATTGCGGTTCCACCTTCGGCACCGTAGGCTCACGTTGCACAGGTTTCGGTTGCTCCGGTTGACCCTCAGCCTCCTTCTTCGCCGGCCTCGAGATCCCCATCGCCTTGAGCGCCTCATGATCGAACGGACATTTGCCTTTTGGCTTCTCAGCCTGCGGTACCTCGGCTTGCTGTAGTGGAACATCCGGCTCTGCAGGTCCGGCAATAACTGCCGGCTTCGAACTCGTCTGGCTGGCCTCGCCGTCCATGTCCAGGTATTTCGCAGGTACAGGAATGCCCCAGGGCCGACTGGGAGACTCTCCGACGCGGATGTCTCGAAGCGGTCGTTCGAAATGTGGCAACCGTTCATCATCTTGCTCTTCAGCATCCGCTCCAGGGGCTTGAGCAGAGACGCTACTCGCCCACTTGCGCACTTTCGCATCGTCGAGCACATCTTCGGGATGTTCGTCTTCGACTACTTCGTCAGGCTCTTCAGGTAGCATGTCTTTGTGCTTCTGCCCAAGCCCTTGGATCATCGAGACGAGATTACCGTATTTGGCGTCCAATTGCTTGATCTGCTCTTCATTGCTCTGATATCTCATCACACAGACTTCGTGGCTTCGTGGTAGTTCGTGTTTGTGTTTCTCGAAATACGTCGCGACCTCCTCGGGCGAATGCTGGTCAAGGAAGCGAATGGGACATACACCCACGTCGGCATTGTCAACAGTGGGCTTTTCACTTGGTGTCGGCTCCTTTGGTGTGGACGGCTTGGGCTCAGAGTGAGGCGACTCGGCATCGTGGTCGGATAATCCGCATATCTCGGCCTTGATAGGATCCACGAAGCTGCCTTTCCTACTCTGTCGTCTCGACAAGCTTTCCTTCCCATTCACCCGACTCGCGTTACTGATAGGCGTGCTCGCTGCGACACTGCCATGAGCGCCGATGCTATTACTCTGGTTATACCTGCTCAACACGCTGGCCGCATGCGAGCTCAAATTCTTCTTGCTCGCCATGCTGGCAAACGGACAGCCCAGTTTACTCGGCTTTCCTTCGACCGTGAAGTCTTGTTCCAGGGGTGATTCCGATATCGAAGGCATCAACGAGCTTCCAATGTCTAGTCGATCTGCCGAAGGTCCTCCCCAAATCTTGACCCCCTGCCCAACGTTATCTGACAAGCCATGCCGCAAGCCATTCGCAGCAGCGATAGCCGTCCTGACCACATCCGCCGCCTCTTTCGATTGTCTATCCGTGCTTCTTTCTAACATCTCAGTAGCAGTCGCCGGCGCAGTTGGATCTTCTTCTTGTAGCGAAGAAAGGCTCAAGGGCGGCGTTGAAGTCTGTCCAGCTTCGAACAGTTTCGCGAGTTCGTTGTACTGCAAGTCATGCGTTAGTAAAACCATATCCAGACCCGGCTTCATCCCTCAATACAAGCAGTATAGACCAAACAATCAGAGTCAATTTGAATTATCTCCCATCACCACCCAAAAAGGCAGCTGCAGATCTAGAGCTAATAACTTCTCATCATACGAAAACCACACACAGCCAACACTATAACCATAAAGAAGAATGTTGATCTTACCTGCTCCCTTGCCGTCACCAACTTCCTTTCCAGCGCCACATGGCTCCCGAACAGCTTCTGATACTCCTCCTGCAAGGCCTCGAAACCCGCCGTCAGCTGGCGTACCAGCTTGTCCATCTCGCCGACGTCCATGGGTGTGTGCTGTCTCGTCACTCGTGTATGTAGGTGGTGCTTTGGGTGGTGTGTGAACGACCGGTGGTATGATGAGTGTCGAGGGTGATTGTTAATCAAGCTGCGATCCTGGTCGCCTCCGCCTAGCTCGTCACGCGCATCGTCTGGAAGCTGGCTGCCTGCTTGTTCGCACTTGGCGTTTCGCAGACGGTCCTTTTCTGGTGTACGGGGACGGCGGCCAGCGCGCGAGAGGTATGGATTGTGGTGGTGAGGGTAGTGTTGATGAGAGAAGAAGACTGGCGTCACGCTGCAGAAATGAAAGAAAGCGCAGGGGTCCAGCCCGTGCACGCGAAGGATCCGAAATCGGCTTGCCGAGACAACGACTGCACGTGGACAACGACAGTTCTCTATTATTGACTACTCTTGCGAATGCTTCGACGAAGAATCCGAAATCGAATCCGCGAACCATACAGACGCACACGCCGAATCCTCACGTCCACGCAATTCCCAACTTCCCACCAATTCGCACTGGTGCTCTCCTAATCGTTTGCCCTTGTTGCAAGGCCAGCAGTACACGAATGTATCTCGGTTGTTCGCCATAATCCCTTCCCTCCACTCATGCCCATTCTGTGGCTTGTCTCTCGAGAAGCCCAGGGATATGTCGTTAACGATGTCGACTCGCGATTTCTCGAGTAAAAGTTGCCAGGTCATGGCGTTGGCCCACCCGTTGCCACTCCAGGTGTCGCCGTCTTGCTCTGCTACGAAGCTGGGGATCCGGCCGATGGAATGTTCTGCGAGCCAGAATGTTTGTCGATGCTACCTGTGGCATGTTTCAGTGATTAAAGCCATGTCAAGTTGCATAGTCGACTCACCCAAACATCCTGGTCAGTCTCCTGCCAATCCTGCGTGCCTCTGGGTATGAGACCTTGCCCTTCGGCCATGGCTCGTTTACGAAGAAACTCTCTCCCTCATATTGCCCCGACAACGTCATCGTGAAGTGCCACAGTCCACCGTACAGTTTTTCCGACTCAATGCCAGTCATCTCGAACGCATGTACAAGCTCCTTCCACTCGATGTCGCCAGGCCTTGTGCTGTCCGAAGGAATCCAGTAAATGGTATGAAAGACCTTAAGAGCTCTCGCATCGACGGCGAAAGTCTGTCCGAGATACTTGTGGATCGGGGGCGGTCTCTGTTAGCGCGTTAGCACCTGCCATCTGTGACCGGCATCGAAGCATGTCGTCTGATTCAAATGATGTAGCCCAGTGGTTAAGAAGTGAGATTTTTGGGTACTTCGTAAGACACTTCTCCAGCAATGACTCTGGCTGGGAAAACACGTACCTGCGATTTGATCGCACATTCGACAACATCATCATCAGTCTGCCGAATCTTGAAAATCATCTCATCCTCGTGGCGGATCAGGCCATTCCAACGCTTCATGATCCGCACGGCTCTGTCAAAGGCCGGCGTCCTGAAGCTATTCCTCTCCAAGTTGAATTTAGGAGAATAGTCAATCTCATCGAAAACCTGGTCGAATGCGCTCCAGAACTTGTCCAGGTTGATCTCAGCCGTCTCCAAAGCTTCGATCGTCTCGTCGGAATAACGTTCCGCGATCGGATAGGTGAAGTTGCTGGTGTCCGGAAGCACCATTTTGTAAAGGCCGATCGTCATCATACTGACTTCAAGCGTCGAAGAGTACGAATCAAAGTCTTCTCCGCCGAACAATTTCACGGGCGCAGGTTGGTCAGTCTCCACATATGCCATGGCCCGATACCACGGCAGGTCGGCTTGTAGCTGTCGGAAAGCCTCTTGAACGACGCAGACTTTCCCAATAACTTCAGCAACCAGCGGCGTTAACAAAGCCTTGGTAGAGTGATCGCTTTGCAAAAGTCGCTCCAGGTCGTCCAAGCAGTCCATGGATCTCGTGTCGATGGTTGTGTCCTCCATTTGCATCGTTCCCCTTATTAGGCTCCGGACTTCAATCACCGAGCCTTGCAAATCGCCGCTGATTTTGGGTATTAACTTGCCGTTGTCTTGCCTGAGGGTCTGCCCTCTGCCAGGAGGTGATGCCATGAACAGGTGCGCGAGATGCGGCGCGAGGTGTGTATACAGGTCAACCAGCCGGTCCTCGAAATGTTTCAGTGTCTCGATGTACGTTCTATTGGCTTCAGTCGACGGAGGCGCGTGGGGGTCAACATTCTGATGTAAGTCCTGCAGTTGGTTGATAAGGTTGAGCAAGTGATCGTAATGCGTGAGTTCTTTGATAGGTCCCTCGACCATTTCGGCCACAACTGCAGCCCAGACAATTGGTCGCATCTTGTCCTTCTTGTCTTCATAATTGCGTCCCTGTCGATCTTGGACATGTTCTTCGCGATGGTCGAAACGGCTCTGCAGCTGCGCTGCGAAATACCCAGGGTCCTGTTTTCACGTCAATACTTCGAACAGACTTCAAGAATAGATGTGCATATGGAAACTTTCGAAGAGGAGATTTGCGTCTGATGGATAGAAAGCAACATCCGTAAGATAGGTGGATGACAGTGCTTCTAGATGGACTTGCCTCTCGTAATAGCCAGACATGGTCACGGGCTTGAACATAAGCGGCCCGAAAGAGTCTTTCCAGACGGACGAAGTCGGTAACCTCTGGACATCTGTAAGGCTGGTCCGCAACCTTCGCTTGGAGCATCGAAGCACTGGTCAAGCGATCGACGTCTGGCTGCAAAGGTGCAAGCTCTGAGTTCAACGCAGAGGCCTGGGTATCCGAACTTGAATCTGGAGGCGAATTGCGAAGAAGTGCATCTGTGAGACACAACAAATCTTGACCGATCTGATGCTGCAGCTCCAGGATGAAGAGTCCTTCCGCGCCGTCGTAGCATTCGGCCCATTCGTGGGGTCTCGGAAAGTCCTTGAGTTCTTCGATGCAAAGAATGCCGTATCTGGCAGGGAATTCATTGGCAGAAAGGAGGACCTTGACATCTTCCAGCCAGCTTGGACCCATAAGTACCGTCTCTGGCGGGTATCGAACCGAGATTAGGTCTGCATGAGCGAAGACATGAGGCTCGTTCCGGGCGCGGGCATTCAAGAGCAGAAGTAAGTTCTTGGGCCTTGAAAGGTCCTCCAGGTTCGACATGGGCCAGAAGACGCTGCGAAAACACCTTGTGGTCATTTCTTCACGGGCCAAGATCCCGAGTGCAATGTCGTTGACCGGACGATGTTTTTCTGGGAGGCTGGGAAGATTCTCACTCAGCATCTTTTTGCGCTTGGCGACGGTCATTTTTGACCAGCGTTTTCGTATGTGGCCTTCATAACATTGGACCACTTCGCGAAGGGCAGTCCAACTACCCACGATGGAGAATATACGCGACCGAATGATCTGGCGCACCTCATCAGGGGTGCATTTACACCTGAGTTTCAAGTCGTTCAAGGCCGGTGGTTCGATGATCGTCGTCAGATTCTGCTCCAAGAATTGCACGAGGCTGGCTTGCATATTGTGGTATTGCTTTGAGGCAGGAGTTTCGTGCGCAGTGCGGTCAACGGTGGAATGTGCGTGGCCAACATATTTGAGCACAGCTTTCTTTAGTTGCGGATGTAACCCGTCTTTGCCCTTATCGTCTTGAGCTACATTTTCCTGGCTGTCGTGTAGCTGCACGAGTGCCCGTGCTGCCTCGCGATCTTCCTGCGAATGGGCGCCGGTGTCAGGGGCGGGATTTTGATCAGAAGAGCTCATGTTGTCGGTACTGTCTTGCGAATCCATGAAGAACGATTGATCATGGAATCGGAATGGTTGGCGTCGTCATGAAACGCAATGTGCCGAAGAATAGCTGTTGTGAGATATGCTGTTGCGATGAAAGTGATGGAGTAGACAGAATGGAAAAGAACTATATCGAGAGGAGGTACTCATGTTGGCGGTGGAGGGCAAGGGCAAGAGCAGATGTCATTGCGAGAGCAGGAAGCTGCTGCTCACAAATACGTCCCAACTGCATGTTCGATCGACTCGAAGCTCTTCAGCAGGGCATCACCGACACGTGCTAGTCGCGCTAAGACTGTCGTGAGTGAATGAATGTTTCGGAGAGACGAGTGTGCATTTAGAGTTGAAGATCGAAGCTGAAGTGAAGTGAAACATTCACGCACCCCTGTCCTCATGACGCAGGGGTCCTTGGCGGGCCGCGAATTGTGGCTGAAGACGGCAGCAAGCCAGCAAGCACCGACTTGGCTGCAGTTGCGCTGGCGAGGACCAGCAAAGCAGGAAACGAAACACCTTCGCATTCACCCTCACACTCTCGCTCTTACACTTTGACCCCGACACCGCCACGCAACCCGCTCAGCTCTCAACCACCCCCCAAGACTCTCTTCCATTTGTACAGCCACTGCGCGACACGTGTGTTCGCCGTCATTCACTTCAACGCCCCAATGCCATTGCCTGGAGCTGGCTTATAATCCCAACGACCTACATACTCTCTTCCAACTAGACTACGACCTCCGATACAGAGAATACAATGGCCAACCGCAATGCTTCTCTCCGCCGCTGGCTCTTCGCCCTTCCACCTGTCGAATTCCTTCTCCAACAACTCCGCGAAACCGTTATTGGCGCTCTACGATGCGGCCCTATACCAGAACATGTCGCCTTTGTCATGGACGGCAACCGGCGATGGGCGCGCAAGTCAAAGGTGGAGACCGCGGAAGGACACAACATGGGCTTCGAAGCACTGGCAAGAATCCTAGAAGTTTGCTACAAGAGCGGCGTGCGCGTAGTGACAGTCTACGCTTTCTCGATTGAGAACTTCAAACGCAGCAGATACGAGGTGGACGGGTTGATGGATATGGCCAAGACGAAGCTGGTCCAACTTTCACAACACGGCGAGCTCTTAGATCGCTACGGCGCCTGCGTCAAGATCCTCGGGGACAAGAGCCTCATGCGAGAAGACGTGCAAGAACAAATGGAGCGCGCCGTCGAAATGACCAAACACAACGACTCGGCCGTCCTCAACGTCTGCTTCCCCTACACGGGCCGCGAAGAAATCTGCCACAGCGTGCAAGAAACCGTGCGCGAATTCAGCAAACCCGAAGAAACCAGCCAAAGACCACCGCTTAAGAGGCCCTTTAGCGAAACGCACATCCAGCGCAACATCCTCAGCCGCCAGCTCCCCGCCGTCGCCGAAGAAGACCAAACCACACCCCCCTCCCTCCTCAAAGACAACAATAAAGATAAAGACCCCCACTCCTCCGACGCCGACACCGCCTCCCTCTCCGAGCAAGACCTCGAAACCTCCTCGAGCCTCCAACCGCCCTCCTCACAAACCTCGCACTCCACCTCCCCGATCCTAAAACCCGCCCAAAAACGCCCCCAATCCCTTCTCCCCGACCCGGAAATCATCACCGCCGAAACCATCACGAAACACACCTACACCCCCGACGCCCCACCCCTGGACCTCCTCGTCCGCACATCGGGCGTGCAGAGATTATCCGACTTCATGCTCTGGCAATGCCACGAGAAGACGGAGATTCGCTTTCTGGATTGTCTCTGGCCCGAGTTTGATCTGTGGAATTTCTTGCCCGTGTTGTTGGAGTGGCAGTGGAGGCAGAAGAAGAATCTGGAGCAAGGGAGGGGAGGTGGTGGAAGTCTAAAGACGGCGTAGGGAGATCACTGGACGTTGCGTGTTGTATAGAACGTTGTTACTACTATTATGATAGATACCCTTCTGCTGTACTATTGCCCAGAAAAGTGAGACCTACTGGAACCTCAAAGAAACTCGAAAAGACTTTCTGCCATTTTTCAATCATTTCCGCATGATGAGACATGATATATCCTTGTGTATGCCGCCGTCTCGATATTATCCGCCACGCTATGCCATGCCATGCAAGATATCCTTCACCCAAAGCACTCATCATATGCAATACATGTATCCATCCTCATCCACACCACACCACACCATCCATCCATCCATCCATCCATCCACCCAAAAAGGGGGAGATGAATTAATCAAGCAATCCCCATCCTCCACCGATCAATAGCCGCCCTCTGCCCCGAATCCAAATTCGCCCCATCCAACCCCATACTCACATTCATCTGCTGCTGCGCCCCATACCCATACGTATTCCCCACGGCGCCCATGGGCCCCATCAGGGGATTATACGCCGCGGGAGACATCTGCGGGCCCGCGGCGCCCGTGAGCGCGTAGTACGCCGGGGCGTGCATCTGTTGCGGGGGCTGCATTTGCATCTGGCCGTACATGCCGGCGGTGGGGGAGGCGAAGTAGGGGTTTTGGGGTGCGGCGGCGGCGCCGGGGAACATGGGCATGCTGGTGGAGGTGGGGAGGCCGGTGTAGGCGCCGCTGACGAAGGCTCCGTTGGCGGGACGGCTGCGTTGGGCGCCGACGAGGCCGGATGTGATGTTGTGGCGGTTGTTTAGAGGGTCCATCATGGCCGAATTGTCCATTGGGGTCATGCCGTAGCCGCTGGTGTTGTAAGTGCCACCAGCGAAGGCACCATTTGCTGGTCTGCTGCGCTCTCCGCCGATGAGGCCGCCAGATACGTTAACGCTGGTGTTGGGACGAGCATCGACCAGTGGCTTTTCCAGGCCGTAGCTGGCAGAGCGCACATTCTGATTGAGTAGATCCTGGCGAGCTTTCATCTGCTGCTGGTTGGCAGTATGAAGCAAAGTACCTTGAGCAGCTTCCTGGTTCTTGCTCATCGCCCGTTGTCCGATCGGGTTCGCAGAGAGGAGGTTGGCCATGCTCTGGGACTGTCGAAGCGGTGGACGAGCAGGAGCCTGCTCACCAGAAGCCTCACGTTCCCGCTGAAGCCTGGCGCGTCGTTGTCCGAGCGTCTCTTCTTCATCAACGGCTAGCCCCTTCTTGGATCCCAATGATGCACGCTTGTCCTTGTCTTGCTCTTTGGCTTCGCCGTCTTTGATGTTGAGCTCGGGGAACTGATCAAGCACATCAGCCGTGAACGTGCTTTCCGGTCGCTCGCCGTCCTTTGGTGCCACGTTGGAGATGGCAGAATCCAGGGCATCCTTGGTCTTGAGTCTCCTGAGCCGCTGACCCAAAGTCTCCCCTGCGTCCTCTTCTTCTTTAGCCATCTCATCGGCATCAGGCTGGCCAGCGAGGTGCATCTGCGACATAGTATTGACAGCTTTCTTGAGCGGAACTGCACTAGGATTCAGTCTTGTCCTGCGGTTTGCGAGAGGTTCGTTGTCTTCCAGCTCGCGTCTCTCCATAAGTCCCAGAGGCCGGCTCCAGTCTCGACCATCTCCAAGTTTGCGATTGATCAAGCCATCCTTGCCTGGGAACAGTACACCGAGTGGTACATCCTCATCCATCTCGTCCTTGCGCGCTTCTTCCTCTGCACGCAGGGTTGGATCTTCCCAGGCAAGAGCAACACGTTGCTTCTGTCGCTTCTTCGCATTAATCTGCTCGACAGCATCAAGCTGCAGAAGAGTGCTGTGCATGCCGTCTGGGTAAGCCGTAGCCGCAGTGCGATTACGTGACTTGAGTTGAGCTTTGCGGACCTGAAGTTCTGCCAGCAGCGTGGTTGGCTGGGCATAGATCGGGTCTTCTTCCTCCGACTCGATATCCTCTTCGCCCTCACGTTCTTTGAAATCCTCCTCAATTTGCTGGGCCTCTGTCAAGACTTTACTGGTCATTATTGATGCAGGTCGAGATCCGCTGGCCACACGTTCCTCCTTCGGGCTGCTATTGACAACCTGGTCGATCAGGCCTCCAGACATCATCGTCTGGCGCCTCCGATCTGGCGTGGTGTCATCCTCTGGCATTCCGACCGACTTGTTCTCGGCTCTCTCCAATTCATCACCAAGGCTGTTGGCCCCCAAACTCATCTGGCTCTTTCTCTTCCTGAGCTTGTTACCACCTTCGTTGAAATCAAGCATGCTGCCACGGCTGACAGGCCTGGACTTCGGCTCTTCCTTCATCTCGCCATCCAGATCCGTGCTGTTTCTTCTGAAGAAATTGCCAATGCTGCTGCTCCGCCTCTTCTTGAGTTTCTTCTCTTTCTCCACGGAGTTGAGCGTAGTAGCCGTGCTCTTTCTTTGATGTGGCCTCTCAGGTGCGTATACGGTCTTGCGGACATCTCCGGCGTAGGGATGGTTTGTGAATGCGCTGACGGGGGCAGTAGTTGATGCTTGCAGGATGCTATCGAGTGTTGCCACTGCGGACTCAGACTTCACCTCTACGTCTTGGCCGATAGGTTGATGTTCAAAGAACACACTCGCCCGCAGTTGCGGCGGCATGTTCTGAGCATTGGCCATGCTCATGCGTTCGTTCAACATGCCGCGAGGGTGATCTTGTTGCGGAGCGGACCCTGAGCCAGATCGTTGACTCCTGACTTCAGGTTGGCCGCTTGTTCCATCCTCGCCGAAAATTGGGGGTATCCATGGTGCAGACTGCCTGGCTGCGGCAGGTAGCTCATTCAGCATTTCGGACCTTCTCTTGGCTTGCACGTGTGCGGCAGGCAGTTGTGATAATCGTTTGGGTAAATTGAGCATCCGTGGGACGGGAGCGGGATAGTACACCATGCTGTCTCTCGGAGGAGGTATGGTGTACGAATCTGGTCGAGCACGCGGTGTCTTGAGAATAGACGCAGCATTCATCAGGCTACCCGACGAGGTACGAGCAGAGACTCGCCTCAACTCATTTCCGTGATCATCCAACTCGACAAACTCTTCGCTGTCCGGGTCGAAATGGACGCCGTCGAAATCTTTGAAGGCAATCTGAGCCTCCTGGAAGGTGTCTGTGGAATGAGGCCGATCGGGTGTATCGTGCACTTCCAACGCATCATGCCTTTGCTCTTCGTAGTGATCAGGAGACGGCGTGTGTGGAATGGCTTGTAAACTCTCCTCAATCTGACCGGCGATCTGGTCGTACCGTCTCGAAAACGACGACTGCGACGCCTGTCTCGACATGTGCTGCTCTTGCGAGTATATCGACGCACTGCTAGGCGCAAGTGGCGAGTCCAAAGGCCTGCCTTCCTGGAGTGGTTCCACCATCTGTGCCAGTCTCGACGATTGCGTCCCAGAAGCGGCTCTGTTCATCGACGCCTGTGTCCACGAACTCCCCGAACGTACCGATCCCGTAGGCGATGTGATGAAACCCCCAGGCGAGTATCCACCCCAGCGAGCGTTGCTGTTGACGTCGACGATGGAAGTATTGTTGGCGTACGAACTGGTGCGACTCCTTCCACTGCCCATTCTCCGCGGCGGAGGAGGCACGACCACGCTGATGTCGCCCTTGTGGCTGCTCTGGATGGAGTTCTGGCGACTCATCTTGCGGATTTCCTCGCCAATGTCGCTGCCCCCCTGGGACAACTCCTCGGCGCTGCGTTCCAGTCGGTCGATATTGCGGGAGTAGGCAGGCTGGAATGCATCGAGCGAGCCTGGCGCAGGAGAACGGACTTCGCTGACACGACGCGGCACTGGCATGGCGGGCATGATTGGTTGCTCGGGTGCGGCTGCGCCGGCGGGCACGCGACTCGTGTTGGTGTCCATGTTCGCACCACGGCGAGGAGTGTGTCTTCTCTGTTATTGTTATTATTGTTCAGCTCATGTTGGACGGCATCGGTGTGGCAGGAAGGAGGGATCGTGGCAGGCAATCGCCGGCAAGCTGCGTCCTTCACGCTGGTTGTCAATCCGTCGGTTTGGGAGCCGAGAGACCTGATCGCTCTGGCTCTCACTAGGGCCTTCCTCTCATGCAAGATAAGTACGAGACGTCTGCAGCGAGGCGATCTTAGAATAGCAGCACCTGACAGCGATGGATACTGTACCGGACGCGTCGACGATGATGTTTCTGCTTTCGAACGCGCACAGTCTCGCCAAATTGTGTACGACGCCTCTGCATCGACAACAAATGGCTCCATTTGCATCTCCATCTTTCACAGGGCGCAGGGTTCACGATGCACGGCTCAACGTCTGCGAAACAGCCAGCCAGACAACCGACATGCTCCAAGTCCGGCGAAGCTTTTTGGCCTCCGCGGTACGGCGGTACCTTTAGTCTTGTCACTGGACGCTGCCCTCTGCAGTAGTAGCTACATATTGCTGTCTGCTTACCACCTCTTCCGACCGCATCTGGTCATGAGGTCTATCAGAGCCGTCAGTGGCGTCTGCACGTGTTGATCGAGCAACATAGTGTGTTTACCGCCATGTCAACAACCAAGTCGACGTGGACGTGAACGAAGCCTGGCAACAAGAACACCTGGGATGAAAAAGTGACAGCCATTGGGAAACTCAACCTGAAACCAGTCTATTGATTCACAACATCACCCTTGCTGTGCTGCACCGTCCATCACCAACGCCCTCCAGAAGAGGCAACTTGTCAGGCGCCCAGAATGGCTTTCCGGCGAGATAGAGACGACGTCGTCAACGGCGGCAGCGCTTTCCACGATGCAGGAAGAGGTCTCCTGCGCATGGCAGGGGGCTGGGGCAACGTATCGGGTCCTGGTATCTTCATGATAAGGACGATAACGACGGGCACGCTGAATGCGGTGACCTTTGGGATCGTCGGTGGCTTCGTCGGAAACTTGATCTTTGGTGTTGCGAGCTTGCCGTTTTTGTTCGCGAGTTGTTTTGGGTTTGTGTTTGGTGCTGTTGGGTGAGTGTGTCTGTGTTTGGAGTCGAGGGGAAAGATCGTTGATGGTCGCAGGTTTTATAACGACTCTGTGCGAAGGTCGTTGATCAGCTTGGAACGATATCCTCGATTATTGCAGCTGCATCTAGACGAAAACTATCCCTGGTAAGTCCTCTTGTTAAATACCATGTCTCGCGACTGAGCATTGGTCAGGCACGGCTTCCAAAACTACACCCAGCAACAGCTACGCCGAGACTTCTTCCAGAGAAGCTGGATCTTAAGAGGCATGTTGGTCTGCTCATGGTTGACTGCTCAACCAGCTCTGGATGTGAGTCGTAACACAATTGCACAAGCACAGGAAGCGCTGATCAAGACAGCAAATCAACGAACAAAGAGAGCAACAAGTCGTGGAAGATCGAGTCCAACCACCAACCTCCACCTCCGAAAGCGACTTCGCGCACAAAGAGGCAATCTCCAAACAACACCCTTGAACAACATCTCGCCCCCGACCTGTCAAAAGTCGGCTCCAGAAAAGATCTGCGACATGCCAGACAAGTCTCGAACAGTCCTGCAACCGATCCGGCATTGAGCCGTCAGAGAAGAATGACACTGCCTTGGCACCACGACGCTACACGTTCCAAGCAAGACTAGAGATTGACTGAACGAGCGTGTACGTGAACAACATCTTCGATTCCGCTTGATGCGATGCTAATGACACTGCCACAGTGGGTTCGCCACTCGCGACGCAATAAGACTTGTCACGCGCTGACGACGTTCAAAGAATCCTGCTGCATCCCTGTTCGCTGTATCCGACTTTCTCGGGCACTCGCGTTTGACGACATCATCAGAAGCTGCTTTTCTCGAATTGCAACTTCGTCCTCTCCACGACTTCCAGGGGCAACACGAACACGGGATGCACGGGTATGACTGCGTCCTGTCTCTCAATCTTCCAAGCAGCCAGTTCAGTATCCGACGGCTTTTCTGCGCTCCAATTGAACGCCGCCGTCAAGCGTCCGTTCTCGCCCTCTTGACTTGGACCATTGACATCGTAGAAGTAATGGTTCTGCGCCGCACTGAGTCCCGCCAGAGAGTATAGAGTATGGTATGCATCAGGTCTGGCGGAGGGCTTGTCACGCATCCCGCCTTTCTTGCCCTGTTGCTGCGCGCAGCATAGTAGGTACCGAACGAGGCCTTCGCGACTCCAGAGATCTTGCGTTCGACCAATATGCGCTTGGCCGGCGAGAGCGGCTTGAATCAACGCCCAGCAGCCTCCGACCCAGTGGCTGTAGCAAGCGTCAACGAGCTTGTTCGCTCGACCTGCGAATCCTCCCTCTGGTGATGTTTGGATGCCGGACAGCCAGCCGAGTAGAGCTGCGACATCGAGGTATTTGGGAATGCTGATATGCGGAGCGTCGAGAATGCTCAGACAAGCCAACGCGCAGAAGGCGTATGCTCCATGGGCTTCGTTCGTCGGAGCCCCAGCAATCCCACCCTCGTAGGTCTGACACCGACCCACCCATTCACCTAACCTGTCCGTGAACTTCACCAATCCAGCCTTCCTCGCAGGTGCGTCGGGTGGCAACTCCAGTGGTAGATTCAGCAGAGAGATCGCCGTCATGGCACAATAAGCACCCCTGATGTCCTCTTCCGCTCCCTTTGACATCGTAAACCCGCCATCGCTTTGCTTCATCTGTCCCAGCCAATGCCACAGTCCTTTCCTATCCACAGCCTCCAGGCCACCTGCTGCCGCTAGTGCCAGAAGACATGCATATGTACCTGCCAAGTGGCTATACTGCCCATGTCCGCCTCCGAAACCTCCGTAGGGGTTCTGAAGTGGCCGCACAGTCTCTACGAGTCGTTGTGTGTACGGCGATACGTCCTGCTCCAGAAATGAGAGGCCGCCGAGCGTCCAGTAGAAGACCCAAGGTCGGCTAGCATCGATGACAACGTAGGGCGCCGGGAGAGCTTCCAGCGAACCTTTGAGGAAAGCGATGTGTTTCTCGCGATTAAGATGTGGGATCCCATAGCGGTTGTATCTCAATCCATTTAGTCTCTCCTTGCCCGTGAGTAGTGGGAGACACTCAGCCGTAACTTTGACCTGTGCTTCAGACGTCATAGTCGTCAAATCGTCGTGAAATAGACTGAACGTCTCGGGCTGCAGCCACGGCGGCAAGTCCACATCGTTGCGTTTGAGCAGGTGTTTGCCAGGGAACGGTGGACCAGTAAAGTCCTCGTCGAGGTCTTCGAAATCTTCGTCAGAGTCGTCGGACGGTAGCTCTTCAATACGGGCTCCATCGCGGAGGGCTTCGTCGAGAGTGTCTTCCGTCTCGTCCTCGCGTCGAAGTTGCTGCTGTTGTTGTTGCGCCATCCTGATGCTACGCGGTGTGACTTTCCGGAAGAGCTTTCTCCTAGGCTGAGAGGGCTTTTGAACGGGCATGGAGTGTTGCAGCAAACAGGAACGGCGACATGAGATGCGGCCTTTGTCGGGTTCCAAGCGACTGTCTTAGTATTGTTCGATGGCATGCATTTTTCTGCTTGTCGGGTTTGAGTGTGAGCAGACGTGAACTTCTTTCCGTGCTGGTTGGTGCAATGAATCTTATCCCAACAGAAGCCTTCCAAACAGGTTTACAAAGACTATTCGGGTAGTAGCGGTTTGTAAGACGTGGTGTAACGCAGAAGCGTTTGCATGTGAAGGAGCTGTTGATGTGGATGTCATGCGCCACAGCAGTGTGGCTGGACTCGAAGCTCCCGTCCCGACATCACCCCCTCGACCTCAATGTCTCTCTTCCTCCTCTCACCTACCATGCCTTGACTACACCACTCGCGCAGCCCAGCTGCACCTCGCCAACCTCACCATGGCCAAAATAGTCACCATCGCCGGGCGTCGCCTGCGATTCCCAAGCATTCCCATGTTCCGGGTATTCTACAGCTTAACGTACACTCTGATCTACCTCATCACCCTCGTATTCCTGGCCATAACCCCGATATCCATGCTCTACGCCTCCATCCAGCAAGGTGCCCTCCAATATACCACTATGATCGGCGGCGCATACGTCCTCACCATCATCATCGCCATCTTCATCTACAGCAGCCGCCTCTACACGAACCGCTCAGTGCTATCCTCCGTAGGCAAAGCATACGTCCCGATCGAAGACGGCGAGGTCGGCAACATGGTCCGGAAGATGATCGTGAAGCAATTGCAAAGGAGCGCCGTTGTGGCATGGGAGAGCCGGCCAAGAGACCTCTTCGGTGAGATTCTTTTGGCGGCGCAAGAAGGCATACTAGCCACTGAGAGGCAGAATGTTGTTGACAAGAATGCCTACGTAGTCGGAACGGAGATTCGCGTGGACCCGCTGAATCCTCCTTGGGGTGATGTCCAGCATCCTGGATGGTCTTCGCCCAGTCATCAGGATAGTAACAAAACGCCTGGCGTGCAGTTTGATAGTGTCATTGCGGAGCTGCCGCATTTGATCGAGGCGAGAGCTGTCTCTCTGGCACCGTCAGATCCTACTCTTACGCCTGTCGAAGGGGAGCCACAGCCAGCGGATCCAACGGTTGTGGAGGTATTAAAGAGGCCTGCGACGATGGGTGTACGGGAATATCTCACCAAGCTGGCTTACCTCGGTCTGGTACAGTCGCCAGAGATCGGGCAAAGGTTCCTCACGCAGTACGAGAGAGCACGTTTCTCCGGCAACCCAGTCCGGCCAAAGGAATTCGACAACTTAATGAGCGCATTTGCAGAACTGTTGTCTGAAATGACGGAGTTGGATCATGCGATCATCGACGAGATCCGAGTACAAGTCAGCGAGAAGGAGGAATTAGCCGAACAACGAGTCCCAACTCTATCACTACCTTATGAGGGTGCACCTCAACCGAGGACGCCATCGCCACCTCCACACTCAGTACAGTCGAGCGCGCCAAGTCCAGTCACAGCAAGAGAAGCATTGTCATCTCGCAATGCCACCCCATACCTTCACCTTGATACCGATAGCGAGGAGAGCTTTAGTTCCGTCCTACGGCATACTCCCGAGCCAGCCGCGCAGAGCTCACCGCTGAGCTATCTCATGTATGAACAGCAAGCTCCGAGCTCATCGACCTTGCCTAGCGATTCTGGGAGCGTGCTCAGACATGACGTGGACGATACTGGCTGAAAATAGAAGTTACGACATCGTTCCTCATTCTAAATCGTACAAGCGACAAGAATCCATACCACCAAAAACGACATCAGGCTAGCATAGCCGCATTCTTTCGAGAGTGCTCGAGATTATTCTCGAACGGATTGATCAGTTGACCGACACTCGCCAAGCCATTCGTGAGCGCCCCTTTCTGAGCAGCTACGCCAAGGAGGATGCGGCCAAAGTACGGCACAATCTTGTCCTCGAAGCCATCGAGTGCGGCAGAAGCACCAACAATGCCATCTGGCCTCACTACAACTATGCAGCCAAGATTTTCGGCCGCACCAAACTTCATATGCGCAGTGCTGTCTCCATCCCAGAAACCGCTGCCGAACCTGCGAACTCCGAGATATTCGTCGAGGTTCTTGCCATGGCCGTCGATGATCGTCATATAATCCACCGCATGCGCGAATCGCTGTTGATGTTTGTCAACTTGCAATCGAAGCGTTTGCAGAAGCGATTGAGAGAGATGCGGCTTGCCTGTGAAGACAAGTATTCGATATTTGCCATTGTACTTCATCAGTTCATGAAGTCGGACGGTCAGTCTTCGCAGTCCAGGTTTGTGGAGCAATGTATCTGCTGCTCTGTGGCCGGGCTGGATCGGGACTGACCCCAGTGCATTGTCAACATCGTTTAGCAAGTTCTTCGGATAGAAGATTCCCACTCCCAGCGCGAAGCCAGAAGTTTGCTCCAAGAAATCACCTAGCAAGGCCATGTCGTCTTCTGGTCTGCCCTTGAATTGCTCTGGCCTCTCTCCGCCGATCAGGCTGCTAGCGATCTTGTCGTTTTCAATCAGTTGATGTGCAACTCCTCGACGCTCGTCCGAGTAGTTCTGCAGAATCGGTTGTCCAAACCACCCCTTGATAACTCCAGCCAACCTCCAACCAAGATTCACTACATCGTGCACGCCAGTGTTCATTCCGTGCGCAAGTCCGGACGAGTGCGCGTGTGCGGCATCGCCTGCCAGAATGATTCGCTCTCTGTCCACGAGTCGCTCTGCCACGCACTGCTGGATGCCATAAACTGTATGCCAGTCTACCCTCTCGAACTCAAGCTCGAAGGGCGCAACTGCAGCTTTGGCGTCATACACAGCCTGCTCTGGCGTCATACTACGACCGTACTTTTCGAAAAGCTTGTCATTCAGCGCGTATCCAATTCGTGTCGCTCCGTGATCAAGAGCCAGCCAAAGCACTTGTCCGTGACTGGGAGATTCAACCGAACCGAAACCATTCCTCGCCTCAGGGATGTTTGTCTTTACCACGCCGTCCATCCGCACCCAATGACGGTCTTTCGCTGTCCAGGGAATGGAATGCCAGCCAGCTTCCTCACGGCGCTACTTCCTCCATCAGCGCCTACGACATACCTTGCCCTCACCTCTCGCGTCTTGCCTTCAGGATCGACGCACTCCACACGACATTTATAATCGTCTTCAGCATCTTCGTCGACCTCAAGTCCAACCACCTTCCAAGGCGCATGCACCTCCCCACCCAACTCCTCGAGCTTCCCACGAATAATATCCTCGCTAAACTTCAACCTCAAGTTCATGGTCTCCTCAAAAAATGTCCCCGAACTCCCAGGATTCTCAAAGATCTTCCAGCCTCGTCCGTGCACCCTCTCGCCGTTCCTGTACGTGAAGGTCTGGCAGGAGTGAAGCCCCTCCTGCGCGAGGGCGTCGTACAGGTCGAGCTGGTCGAGCATTTCGAGGCTTCGTGCGAAGAGCGTGGAGGCGCGGCCGTACATGGGAAAGTCTGGTGAGGCTTTGTCGGCCGAGTCGACGATGTAGACGGAGTGGTGGAGTTTGGTCAGGTGGTAGGCCAGCAGTAGCCCCACGGGCCCGGCGCCTGAGATGAAGACGTCGACTTTGGGTGGCACTGTGCTTGATTGCGGTAGCATAATTTCTGTTACTGGACGGAACTACTATGACATGACTGCGATCGAGCGCGCCATTGATATATGGCCTTCGAAGACATAGACCCTGCACCTCACGCACACACGTACACACGACTTACAGTAATAAGGTGATGACAAGCTCGCCAATGTAAGCCGTCCTCAAACCCCCGTCCTCCCTACGAAGCGCTTTACTTCCCCATTTCAGCCATGATTCCACAGCTGGTCTGGTCTACGCCCCGCAGAAAATACTTGTAGGGCTGAAAATCAGCCAGCTGCTACCACTGGATCATGAGCGAAGTCGCTTCCTCTAATAAGCACCAACGAGTCTACTCTGGACTTTCTTTGGTGGGGACGATTCGTCTTAGGGCTTGTTCTAAGTGACTCTTTCGAATGCTCATCAGCCCTTGAATGATAGATGCGAGAAGGTTTCGTCCGCTGACGAAGGCGAAGGCTGATGGTGGAGGTGTTGAGAAATAAGGTTGTTGATCCTTTGGGTAGGCGAGGGAGGTGGATGGGTGCGAGTGGGTGGATAGGCGAGTGTGTCTGCTGTACAGTAAAGTACATTGTTGGGAGGGCGACTTGTTATTGTTTGAAAGGGGAGGAGATGGAAGGTTTTGAGGAAGGGGGAATTTGGGATTAAACAAGACTATTGTAGTTCAAGCGAGAGTTCAGGTTGAACGAGTTTTTTTCTTTCCAGATCCACACCTGCGCAGATGCCGTTGACTGATCGATATTGTACGAACACCGTCCGTGAGACGCCGTACTCCTCCTTAACGACCAAATCGTCGTCCCTTCTGGAGAAGACTCACGGGATCGAATGAATAAAATAAACGATTCTCAATCGTCATACTCATACTCGATATCGTAATCATAATCGTGGTAACCGTGAGAACTCTCCCAAGAATCGCGACGAACGGTCCTCTTCGCTGGTGAACTTTGAAACAGCGTCTTCTCCCGCATCTCGTGCATAGTAGGTCGAAACATGCCCCATCCGGTAGGACCCAAGGCCATATGTCTCCCCTTGCCATTGTAGTTCGAGCCGTGAGAAAGCCGAACCCTCGCCTCACTCTCGGCTTTGATCTTGACATACCACGCATCGCAAAGTTTGTTGAGATAAATCTCACGCAGCCGCGGCATATGGACGACGTCTTGGGCGCAGTAGTCCATCATCGCGGTGGTCATTGGTCGTTGATCAAAGACGGCGTAGCTGCCACCCGACTCAGGAGCAAAGAGCTTGCGTCCTTCGTTTTTGACTCTTTGCCATTGGTGCTTCTCCGGATATGGCAGGGGCAAGTCCTTCTCGAGGCACTTGGCTAGGCCATGAACGCAGCGTTTCTCAAAGCTGCGTGAAGCAAACTCGAAGAGTTGGAGATCTTCGATGCCGTGGACATGGACGCCGTGCAGGCTGCAGAGGGCATCCGAGTCGTTGCGGATGTCGAAGAAGACTTTGAGGATGTCTTCAGCCTCGAAGATGGTCTTCAAGGTGGACCCGTTGTTGGTGGAGTTCGTTGTGAAGGCATTGGCACCGAGAGTGGTGACGTCGATCAGGTATGTCTTCCCCTGAGGTTGGACGAGAATCGTGATGATGGACAGAGTACCATGCCGACAGAGGTTATTCCCTTCGAGGTCAACGTAAAGGCTCGGTGGCTGGCCTTTACAATCCGGCAAGCCGTCGAGGAAGGCAACAAGGCTGTGAGGTGTATCAATGAATGTTGGAGACATTGCGAGGGGAGGACGAAGGCGTTGACCATACCAGCGAGCCTACCTCGTGGCCTTTTAAGTCCTTCTCCTCACCACAACTTCTCCACGGCCTTGATTCATGAATGCAATTTTCCCCTCAATCTCGACCAGCATTCCACGGTCAACATCCACGGTTCGGAGGCCTCGTGTCTGTCTCTCATAGGCGAGAAATGAGCATTGATATCAATGTGCATGGTCGGGCTGGTTTGCTGCAAGGAAAGAAACTTTGAGGCCTACCATCTCTGTTAGCCAATCATAGCTTACATGCATGTGGGCGCTCCTTCCTGAGATACGTACATATATACCCATCCACACTCGTAGTAGAAAGCTTTCTTTCTCTTTCTCCAGGTCGCTCTCAGCGAGGGCGATTTCGTCCCTTCATTTGAGCGTTCCTTTCGATCGTTTCGTCGTTTGTTGACTGTTGGCTGTTTCCCCCTTACCAGCCTTCCCGCGCTCCATCTCCCTCAGGAGGACTAATCGAGGAAGAAGCGTCTTCCACTTCACCAGTAAAACCAACCGCACAAGTCTCCAATCTCCAGCCAACAACCTCCGTTGAGTTCGGGTCCTGAAGATCTTCTACTACTACAACACCAACACCAGCAGCAGCCTCTTCAGTTCGTCGACCCTTCGTGGGTTTCGTCCGGAGGTCAGGGACCTTTGCCGTCGTATGAGTGGAATTATGACACATCACCTTCTTCTTCCTCTTCGAATCCTGCTGGACAGGAGAGCGCAGCCTATGGACGGAGTCAGCCAGCAGCACAACAGCTTTCAGGGGAACCTTCCCAGCGTGGAGTGTACCCTGGAGCATTCACTCACTTACAACAAAGCGGGAACGCCACGCGAGCATCGTCGTCTACCCATCCCGCCAATTCTTCCGCTCACGACAAGATCCATACCTGCCCCGTTTGCCACAAGACCTTTGAGAAACTCTACCTCTTCAAGTAAGCCCACCGACATCCCAACTCAACTCCTCTTCCACAATCACTAACAGCCCCCCTCCTTCAGCAAACACCGTAAAAAGCACGACCGCCCCTACAAATGTCAAATCGAGGACTGCGGCCGGGGCTTCGAGACCAGCAAGGACTTGCGCCGTCATTGCGAGTCCAGGCATCCCACGACCCAAGCTGGGATGCAGAAGCATTATTGCCCCTACCCAGGCTGTAAGTTCTCGGAGGAGTTGGCGTCGTCGTCGAAGAGGAAGGATAATCTCGAGAGGCATATTCGGACACAGCATGGTGGGGAGGAAGTGTCGAAATAGGATAAAGATGTATGCGATTTTCCGTTCCCGCGATTTTGAGTGCACTGCTTTTATTGTGTCTCGGTGTGCGTGGTCGTTCGATCATATGGCTCGTAGACATGAGCAGGGGCGTCACACGCTGGAACTCATTAAGTACTGTGCCAATGACCCCGTGAAACTCTGAGAGTGAATAACGAGAAACCAAATTACTTATCGCATGTACCAACAACACAACGCTCATAATCGCTTCTCTCATGGCCGCCGCCAAAAAGCGCCCACTCAACAACAAGCACGCAGTGTCATGCCCACCAAGAAAGCGATCCTCATGAGGTCCACAGTTATACCACCAAGAATCCAACGATCATTACTTTCCATCATTCTCGTGAACAATAACATCGTGAGGCATCCTGAACCTTTGTTCGGCCGTGCGGGTCGACGGGTCCAAATCGGGTGGAGTGTGAGTGTGAAGAGGTCTTTCGGGAGCGTTCTTCTAACTACTCGAAATAGGCGGTGCAGTCGTCGATGGGCCGGTGTCGTTGGAGATCAACTGTCGTCGAGCGTATGCGAGCTAAACACCGATGAAAGGACGAGTCAGTCAATGTTGCATTCTGAGGTAAACAAAAGAGAGGGGGTATCCTAATCGCTTCCCAATCGCACCACTCTCGCCACAAAAAGAGAGACCCAAATGTATGGCCCAAGCTGAGCCGACCAAGAACCAAGAGCACTCATGACCATCCAAAGGACGAGACAGTCTCTTGCTTCTCCAACTCGACTTGCCACTATCTCGACTTCCATCCTGGCTTAAACTGACAGACGGAGTAACGTACCTTGTCAAGCGTCTTGGCAAGGTGCAAGTGCTTGTTGACCACAGTCTCGATCTCTGTGCAGATGTTGCCCTTCAGCTCGATCGCACACTCCTGAGGCAGCCAACGTAGAATGTCAAATCCGTTCGCGTACACCGTCGTGTTACCGGTTGTACCGCTGCCATCTGCGCCGGGGAGGGTGAATGGCATGTGAATGACCAGAGTCTTAAGGCCCGAGCAGTAGCGCAGGCTGAGACGCACGGTCTCTTGGAAACGCTCGAGGATCTCGTTATAAGTCGGAATCTCCAGTTCGACGTGCTTGATCTGTCGGCGAGATCTCTGATGGAGGCACGACAGTGTCGACATGGCCGTGTTGAGGTCCAAGGTGAACATGTTCTCACTATAGAACACGCCTCTCGCCTCCTTGTAGATCTCCTTGCTGGCTCGTAAGATGTTGACGAGGAGTGGGTCCGCAAGCTGATTGCGCTCTGGTTCTGGCGCGGAGGCAATGACGGTGGAGCGGGCTTGAGAGACGGTTCGAAAGCGGCCGGTCCGCATCGTTCTGCTTCGATAGACACCACCATTGTTGGAAGACTGCGATCCGCCATGGGTGAGCGCAGGAAACGTGACCGCATTGCTAGTGGCAGAACCGGCGGAAGCGTTACGGGAGGACAGGAAAAGTGGCCGGTGAACAGCACGTGCTGTCAAGCCATGCAGACCGGTAGAGGCAACAGCGGGGCGAGGGACACTTGACAGAGGACCAGACAGCACTTGAGCAGATGACGGTCCGTTGGTGCCCGTAAGGTCACCGTCGTTGTCACTCACGTCAGAAGGACTCTCAGGCCCACCAAGCATGTCCTCGTCGTGGTCAGATATCGACTCGATCTGCTGCGGCTTCTCTCTCTTGGACAGGAGGATGTTGTAGGGTCGCGTTAAGCAGGCTCTGTAGATCTCAAGCCGAATCTCGGTCGGCAGCTCCATGATTCGAAAGGGGTTGATGTCCTTGTCGGTGACCGGACACGGGTGCTCTCCTGGTTGCTCGACCATTTTCCAGTCCTCGTCGTAGCCCAGCACATCTTGTTCTGGCTCTTCCACGACCCTGCTCTTCCCCTTCCCCTTGGATGAGGAGGTGCCGCTCCCGCTCGCCCCGGCTGTTACATGTAGTGCTTCATCGACCATGCCCTTGATACTCGCCTCAGCAAGCAACCTCGAACGCTGGCGGGTGTTTCTAGTACTCGCTCGGTCGCTCGTGGATTTGGTAATGCGATTGGAGGGAGTCGAGATGGCGCTGTCGGAGGAAGTATGTGGGGTTGTGCGTGCCATTCAGATGATGAGGTGGGTAGTGTGCACTGCTGGCAATTTGTTTGTCGAAAGGGTGGTGTTGTTGTCGGCACGACTCCGCAGTCGACACGCGAGGCGAGGTGTGGTAAGGCGCTTTGTGGTGGATGAGAAGGTGCCAGGTGGGGCGGTTGCGTTCTTGTAGAAAGGGCGACCACGGTTGGATTTAGAGTTTGTTCCGGTGAATGGCTTTGATGTCAGTCAGATCAGATGTCGGGGTTGTTACTGGCGCCCAATCTGCGTCACTTTGCTCGAGAATGGTAGTGAGTTGGTGAGTTTGCCAGCAGCAACAGAAGAGCTGCACAATAATTACTGTACGAAGTTCCCGGCGCTCGGGTGGTGCCGGCCTTTGTGTCGCGCCTGCCTGAACTTGACTCCGCGGTCACATGACACTCGCTTAAACACGGGCTGAGGTGCTCAGGCTTCACTTGCGCAGTGTTTCTCCTCCTCGTCAACAACTCTATCAACATTCTCATCGATTGTGTACTGTTACTAGTCCACTACTTTGGATCGAAACAGAGACTCTCAAGCAAGAACATCGTCCAACCAGTCGAACTCAATTGCATGCAGAAGCATCGCATTCCCTTTCTGACAGTGCATCTCCGCGCCCTCATCCTCCACCGTCAATCGAAACTTGTTCTTGGGATTCGGCAACTTGTCAAAGAACTCCTTCGCCAGCGCGACGTTCTGTTCTCCTTCCGCTGCAGCCTGCAGAACGAGAAGCGGGCAAGTGATCTTGTCCTCCAAGCCATACAGCTCGTAAGAAGACCAGTACTTGGCGAACTCGTCAATGTCCTCGATTCCGTTGTTCAGGCCATACTTAGCCATGTGCTCATACAGGAGGTAATTCTGGGAGTGGTCGTACTTTCCATCGGCTTCCTTTATCCGCTCGATGCGATTTCCGGCCAGATGAGAAGGTGAGGGCACCAGGCCGCTTACAATGCACGCAGAAATGCGTTTCTCAAATGCAACAGCGCGAGGTCCAAGGAATCCTCCCAAGCTATATGCGATCAATGCGAGACGATCTGGGTCGACTTGTGGCAGGGTCAAAGCATAATCCACGACCGCCTTGAGTGGAACTTCCCAGTCGAAGCGATAGGTCAGGGAGGGGTCTCGCATGAACGTGCCAGTCTGACCCGGGCCTTCGAAGATCAAAGCATTGTAACCACGACGAAGAGCAGCCGCTCCACCGCCAGAGAAGTATATCTGCTCTGAACTGCCATCGGCTCCCATTTGTATCAGCACAGTCGGCCGCGGCTTATCATCCACTCGTAGGAAGTATCCGAAGAGAGACTTGCCCTCGTACGGGATGGAGAGTACCTGCAGCGTCGGCTCGAACAGTTTGCCAGCCTTTTGGAAGCAGCTGGTGTGCTTCTCGTATATCTGCTTCTTCCGAGGATCTTTATACTGGACAAAGAAGAAAGCAGCCTGGTAATACGTCGTGGCTCGAAGCCATGCCTCTTTCGCGCTGACCTTGTGACCTCCGGCAAACGCCTCGTCCGCATACCCTTCGACACGCTTTGCAGTAGAGAGCCATGCCTCTACCCAGCTCTCTGGGTCGCCATCAACGATTCGACTCGCGGTCTCGAAGCACTCGCCGATCTCCGCGCCAGAATATGTGGCGAGGCCCAAGAATTTCAACAAGTTATAATCGAAGTATCCGTCTTGAAAGGTCCTCGACGAGCTCCGGCCTGATGAGAATACATGGTTTGCTCCAACACTAACGACGGATGCGGCTGTGTTGGACATGGTGTACTTGTATCAGGATTTGCGTTGTTCAATATCTCCACTTGCTGCAAAGTGAACAGAAAGATGTAAAGTTTTGCAAGCCGGACTGACATGGAAAATGAACAGATATATGCAAATCGAACGCTTCGTACCTCATCTCACCTACAGCTAGAAGAACAACGTCGACATGGCCGAGCGAAGGAAAAAGACGGCATCGACAAGGTCACTCGCCTAGCATCCAGCTTGTCCGGCCACTCGTACACCTCTCGACTCGAGACAACGTAAACGCCCGAGCTCTTCTGACCCTGCTAGAATGAGCTGAACGCCCAAAGCGTCTTGATTTGAGAGGTATGTACAGACGTGGTTGGACAACTCGCGCCAGTAACCTATATAGCTACGAAAATGATCCAAACGTTCGGCCCGAACAAGATCCTCATCTTGCTCGTTACGGCCGAACAGGAACACCATCGACTGCCCCGACGGCCCGAAGTGTCAACAGCACTTGTTGCACGACATACACACTACTACAACAACGCAACCCTGGTTCACTAGCAGATGCTGCCGACCCAACGGGCCCGTCTTCATATACCTCGCACATGAAAGATGTATAAAAAGTCCACTGAGGGAAACTTGGCAAAAGCGAACGCTATCAAACACAAAATATCCCATTCGGTCTAGAACGAAAGTCTCGATCTCCTCAAAACCGGCATCCTTCCTCGCCCACAACACGAAGATCTCAAAGCTCGTTTCGATCAGAAAGCCGTAGATGCGATCAGATTTACTGGCTCAGTAGAGTCCAGCATACCGATCAACTGGCGTTTCGCAGAGAGTGTCACGTCGTGAAAGGGGTTTGAGGATCTGGTTTTGAGAGAATATCTGACCAAGGGATTTCGTGTCGTGTCGGAGGTAATTGAGATAGACTCCCAGCCTCTTCTAATCACTCGCATCGACCTCCAACGGACCTACGTGTCGATGTCTAACCATTAATAATGACAGAGACCATGCCCAACTCCTCTTCATAGCGACGATCCTCTGTGAGATCGATCTTTACAGCAAGACTAAGAGCAACAAGTAAAGCTGAAATGCGTGGCGCCTGTGCTTAAGTTCTGGGATGAGGAAGGGGGTACAGATGATGGACTTTGGGTTTAATGTGGGCACGAGGGGGATTGGGGTGGATCGGGCGCGGTGGGCAGAAAATCCCTTGATGGAGATTGCGGTTTGATGCGGGAGGACGTGTATGAGTGAGAGAGTGTTAGAACGTGGTGAAGCATGTGACGAACTACTGCGACTGAGTTCGTAGTCACTGACGTTTGGACTGAATTCTGAAGCCCCACATTTCCGTTGACAAGAATGTGAAGCTTGCATATGAAAAGCCTCACCTCACCCCTCGAGTTTCACAACACATGGAATGGAACATCACGAGGTGTTTGCTCGAAAAAGCTCCATTGTCGCAAAAATACTATTACTCTACTCACACATAAAACTTGGTCGCAAGGAACAGCCGTCCTGTCCTGCATATCCCTCTGACCGGTTACCCTCAATGCCCACTTGAATACGCCTGTTTTCGCCACACGACCAAAAATATTCGGCCTTTCACGACCCAAAATCGAAGCAACAACCCCGTCACTTCAGTCTTTGCGCGCGAACGGTAATGACGCGCCGCGCGAAAACAGTATTACACAGTACTAACAGTTAAAGTTGGGAAGCCACGCTACCCGTTTTTTTGCCCCTCTCCGCTCTTCCTCCTTGTGGCCACAAAGCCCAGGTGCGATGATGTTACACGCTCAGCGGTCATACACTCATTAGAGAGAAGAAAGCGAAATCCCACTTCCAACCAGTTCCCATTTTGTCGCGCCGAAGGAAAAAGAGCAATTTGATGACTAGAGAGAGAGATTAAAGTGACTGAGTGTCGCGTGTTAGTCCGGTCCGGTACAAAGGAGATGGATTGGCGGTAACGTAGTGACGCCTGAGCATCGACAATCGATTCGATGACCGAAGAGAGGAAAGCTCGCCGAGTAAAAGTCGAGTGTGGCGCCGAGAACGACCCAAATCAAAGCCCGCCATGCCGAACGATCCACGAAACGAATCTGGGGTATCAAGCCAGTCCAAAAACGCCGGCGGTGATGAAAATGCAAATGGAAAGCGTGTCGTCCGTGCCAGCTACTACTGACTTGACGATTCCTGTTCTTCGTGAGACAGTGGTGGAATGTCTTCGATGTTTTCGAGAAACACCGCCGCTTGATCTTTAGGTCCCACGTGAGCAATTTGGCCATCGAAATCCTACTGCTGATGCTGCGCTGCCCACATCTCCTGGCCACGGATCTGCTGGTAGTGGTCCATTGGACCAGTGCTGTGAGGGCGCTGCACGCTGGACTGCTGATAGTACATCGGAGCCGCATTGACCAGGTTGCCGTTCGGGTCGGTGTAGGTGTACTCGGTAGCATGCTGTCCAGGCTGGAGGCCGTTGTGTGGGGATTGCCAGCCCATCGAGCTGTTCATGTGTGGGCTGTTGTTGCCGCTGGCAGGCTGCTGCTGGCTATTGGCGGTAGGTGGCTCTAGGATCTGAGGTGGATTGTAGCCAGATGACGGGTTGGAGGTGAGCTGCGGTCGCTGCTGTTGTTGCTGCTGACCGTTGACAGCCAGCTGGTATTGGGCAGGAGACTGGGCGCGAGATGTCGGGGCCATCTCCGTGCGAATGTGTGCAGGTACAGCGGCCATGCCTCCATTCATCGCGTTCATGTAGTAGTCCGACGTCTGCCTCTGCATTTGAGCCACCCCGTTCATGCCTGCAGCAGGAGACGCCGAAGCTGGTCTCTCCGACGGCGCTGGCATTGGGGACTTGCCATCTCCCGAGTATTCATTCTCTTCATCCGACCCTCTAGATCGCTGAGTTTGCATGGAGACTCGAGACGCAAGAGCTGCAGCTGTTGCCGCCTCTGACTCTTCGATGGTACCGGTGTGGTGATTTTGGTGACGCGTGAGTGTCGTTCGTCGGGTGAAGGTCTTCTGGCAATCGGCGTAGGGGCATTTGTAGGGACGCTTTCCAGAGTGAATGCGACGGTGACGTGCTAGCGAGCTGGAGTCCGAGAAAGGCTATGACTTGTCAGCTTCAACATCACCAACATCAAAAAGTATTTCGTACCTTGCCGCATCGCTCGCACATGTGAGGCTTCTCACCCGTGTGGACTCGAGAGTGGACGGTGAGGGCCGACCTCTGAATGAACTGCTTGCCGCAGCCAGGGTGATCGCAGACGTGGGGGCGTACGCCTGAGTGAATACGTTCTGAAATGCGCGTTAGTATATTTGTGTTGTGAGCAGGGATGAAACATTGGTGTCGCACCATGACGCGCCAAGTCACTCCTCCGAGCGAAACCCTTCGAGCATGTCGAGCACGCGAATGCCTTGGGCAGCCCAGTGCTGCCTGTGCTTGTCCGCCCACCCTCCATCGGACTCTGGTCTGCTTGTTGTATGTTCTGCTGCACCGCGCCCAGCTGTGCGGGTTGCTGGTGGTACGACTGATCTTGCGTCGCATTGGGGTTGTAGGAGTGCTGCAACATCGAGATCCCATTCTGTTGGGGCAGCTGATTCGGTGAAGGGTATCGCATGCCGTTGGTGAGTTGTGCGGCGATCTGCTGGTAGGCTACCGAGTTCTGGGGCGTCTGGGAGGAGTATCGAGACGAATGGTCCGAGGTGTGCGGTGACACGCCACGCTCAGAGCCATTCTCGGATTTTATCCTGCTGTTGCCGTTGGGCACGTAGAGATTCTGCTGCGCGTAGTGGCCGGAGTTCGACATGTCGTGGTTCAAGGTAATCGGGAGAGGCACTTCGTATTGCATGTTGCGGCTGACCGCGCCTGCTGCTGCTGCTCGATTAGTATTCAGCAAGGTATGAAGGTCCATGTCCACCACGCTGGTGAAGCTGTCCCTCCTCTTGTGCTGCGGGGCGAGCAATATGTGTCCAATAGACGGCAGAGACATAAACTGCAGCAAGTGTTTCAACGCCGGTGTGTTACTGACTGGATGGCAGAAATTTTCTGACTCGAGACGCAAATGCCACGTGACGGGCACCACGACGGTCGCAAGTGAGTGCCGACTCGGAGTCGTACACTGGACGCTTCGTCGACGAGCGCGGCGATGTAGGTGTGGTGGTGTAGGTGCGGGTGGTCTGTTCGTCAAGACGCTAGGTGCACGATCCTCGAGGCCACTGCTTCGCGACTACGGCAGTGGAATAATGGCGCCTGCAGGAGACAAATGTCAGGAACGACTCGAGTGAGGATGAAGAGGTCGTTCGAGGTCGGCAGGAACGATGGACAGGGAGGATGTGTCGTGGTGGTGTTGTGATGTTTCTGCTGGTGCCGCCGCGCGTAGGGATTCGGATAGGAGAAGCAGTCTGCTGCTGTTTCTCGCTGCACGTCGCCGCCGTCGATGACGAGGGAGTCACGTACCTTCCCAAGATGAAATCCGCCCAAGATGCGGTCGCGGTGGAATGAAGAACGAAATGGCAGCCGCGTCCGTCGACGTCCTGATGGCTTGGGCGATGTTTCTGAGAATCGCGTTGCAGTCGAGAGGAGGTGGTGCGTGCGTGAGTCTCCCTTCTTCCCGCGGGCGCGGCTGCGCTAGCCTGTTCGGGGACCGCTGCACTGCTAATCTTGTCCGTCCGCCTTGTCGTCTCCCTCCCCTTCCGTCTCTCCTGCAGCCGCTTAATTTGATGTGATGCACTCGATGCGCCGACTCTCAAGCGCTACCGATTCCGATACGTGCTGGAAACACTCCCCCACGAGTCTGCGATCGTATCCCTTTCGTCAGCACGACGTCGTCGCTGGATGGTCCCACGGACTTCGTCTGGGTGGTGCGTGGCGACGAGCTGACAGTGGTTCCGTCTGGGAGCCGCCTTCAATCCTCCCAGTAATGCTGCTTTCAATTGCGCAACTCCGCGTTCCAGCTTGAGCCAGAAGTTCTATTTCTCTCTGACTACCAGAGTCGAGTGAGACGTAACCGCTGGTCGAGGGTGCGTGGCGTGCCCGACAGTTCCTGTTTGCTGGATCTTGCCCGTGGCGGTTGAGAGACCAGAATACCAATAGATGAATGGCCTAGGCGCCGGGTTCCCCTTCGAATAGCAGATGTTCAGTCGTCGAAGCCCAATTTGGCCTCTGTGTTTCCAGTTGAGGTGGTCGAAACGAAGGTCGATCCTGTTGCGGTAGCTCAATCAGAGCGATTCGCTGTGTTGCTCTGCCTCTGAGCGGTCGTCCGGTCCTCCTCCAGTTCCTCGAAACTCGGTCTCCGATTATTCCAAAAACAACTTCCCAAACACTTCCCAATTCTCTTTCCTCCTGTTGCTACATATCGCGACCTGCGAGATACGCACGATTACCAAGGTCGTTGCTGATCGAGGACAATTACTGGGCCGCAGCCGCCGGCCTAAGGACCTTAGGAGATGGGTGAATGACGGTAGTATCAATGCTTTACAATGAATGTAGGTTGATGGTATTAACGAAGTGGTAGGACTGTTGGAAGGAACGTGTAGTAATGGTCCAAGCAAGAAAGAAAAAGGTAGGGCCACGCAGCTTGGGCAGCATGTGATGCCAGTATATACACCAGAGAGCAGTAGTGCCAGGCTGCAATCAATTGACAATTCATACTCGAGAGATTACAGTCCATAACACCCACATAAAGCTGCACGCGCCTCCATGTGCATCGCTCTTCAGGATGACCCCGGCATCCACACCAACGCGCAAGGTCGTCTTCTTGGACGAAGCCACAGTGGGATGGTTGCGTGCAGCTACCCAAGCGGCGGCACAACGGGTGGTAGATCTGCTGCCATGGCCCGTCAAGACGGCAGCAGCAAGCGATCGAAGCGTTCAGACACCGTGCTGGCAACGATGAGTCGTAAAAGTCCAGAGAGTCTTGCACATGACGAGTAGAGTCAAACCAGGTTGATTTCAACAACAATTTGACAGCTTCTTTTCCTTCCCTACCTTCATCTCGAAGAGGCCTATTTGCCTACAGAGACAGACCACGTCTTCCCTCCACGTGTGATGAACACTCTTAGCAAATGCTATTCTTGTCCGCAAAGCCCAATCTGCCCGCCGACTGGACGCCAGCGATGCTGCCCTGCCAGGACGGACCTGGCGAGTCAAGCTTGCCACCCCGGCGCATCAGACTGATTACTGCAAGCTTTAGCAGAGACATCCTTGATTCATACGCAGGCGTGCTCGTTCTCGATGGTGGGGAGTCAAACACGGCGTGGCTCGTGAAAACAACAATGCTGACGTTCAATCTCTGTCAATTCGAGACGTTGCGGTCAACTTCAGCTACAGAAGCTCGCCAGAAGACTTCTGGCGCCCCCGCGAGACGACGGTCTTCGCGCTATGTGGCCCTTGGGACTCACGAACGGCGTTGCGTGGGTTCTGATGATGGCATGGCAATGTGCACGGGGCGGAGGTCGTCTCATGGCTGGAAGCGAGGGCCTCGTGTGGAAGCCTTCCCTTCCTTCTCCCGCCCTTCCATGGCCTAGCAATTTCCAACGGTCGCGTGCACGCAGGGGCTTCGCCATCGCAGACACGCCCACTTCGCCGGTGTTTTGGCCCTTCGCGGTGACCCCACCCACCCGACTTGCAAAGCTGCGTTGATGTTGCAATCGCGGAAGGAGACAGAACAGAATGCAACATTCGCGTCTACGCTGCTGACAGCCCATGCCCCGACAGGCATCCGCCGTCTCCCAGATCCAACTCCTCCTGCATGCCAAGAGATCTCCTGCAGGAACCTCCCAGCAAGACAAACATCCTGGTCATCAGCATTAGCATCAACCATTCCTGCTTCCGCCTACTCTCCACCATCTCGTCCTTCGCAAACGGCCTCAAAGCCGGTTCTCAGCCCAACCTTTCGGGCGGCAGCCATTCGACTCACACCCCGACTGGGCAGGAAAACTTCCACAAACCGGTTATATCAAGATCCTGCTAATCAGGCCGCCCTGGTATATGATCGTCCCTGGGTTGCGGCATGCAAGCCGGCAGAAATCTGCCACCCCGAGTCAAAGAATAGCAACGCCCTGCTGCGTTCAACCTCGCTGAGATCGGATCCGTCATCCGCCCTCATAAGACTCATCCTCGAAGAGGAAATATCCTGCTTCTGCTATCAAAACGACTGCCCGCTTTCCGCAAACTTCACGCACGCAGGTGGATCGATTGGTTCTAATGACGCGTATAACATAGTACGTGAAACACCCCTCCATCAGTCATTGTTTCCATTAGCGGCAACTATCCGGATTCATGGATGCCATGAGCCGGCGCGGCCTCCGGCTCTTATCCAATCTCGCGGCTTGTCGTTAGTAGGTATATCCCAACGCTGATGATGGCAACGCACGGGTGGTGGTCACGCGGCATCAAGACCCTACTGTCATGGCTCACATCATTCTTTTGCTCAAGATTCGGCGACTCGACACAATCGTGGCATGACAACCCGCATGACGACGAAATGAGCTCACTGGAGTTGTTTCGACATGCCATGGACAAAGTGCACAACAAACAGCCAGTTCGTGGCAAAGCTACACTTGAATCAACGACCAATGCTGTATCTTACACACCATGCTCCCCGATCTCGGGAACGTGCTCAAGCTCACCAGCCTGGTCAAGACAACATCAAAGCTCCTTTTCTCACCGGGATCACTGCCAGCGCGAAGTTGGAAGTCGGAACTGTCTTCCCCGATTTAGCAGCTTTGGAGTCACTTCGGGCAAACGCGGTCTGGACCTAGACGTTCTTGCAACAACCCCGGGTATACTCCAAAACAGGCAAGACGAGAAGTTGCAGGTGATATTGTTGCCCAATAAAGTTATGGACGTCTGTGATACTTTCTAGGATCTGATGACATCCAATATAGGAAATCTTCGATGAGATTGAAGTGGGAAAGAGGCGTTGGCAACCTTTTCGAAAAGCTCTCAACAATCTCGCAGAGGCATGTTGACATCGACAACAGACTTGCTCTGGACTGCGAGAGATGGCAAGATAACGTTTTCGCCAGTCCCTATATCATATGAACATCATCACCAAAAGGGCCGAAGGAACAACCATACGCACGCCATCGAAGAGGAAAGGAGCCCGCCGTCCTGGTTCCGCACCCGGCCGGCCAATGCTAACGCTTTTGATGCCTTGGAAACGGCCTGATATCTGACATGTGGCTTGAAGCAACCACCCGACCGGGCACATATAGTCAGACCCAATCTGCCCGATGACATTTTCGCATATATGCCATGCATAATCAGTACGCTACAGACGCAACGCCTGACTAGAAAGCAATACGAATGACAGCAGAAGAGCCACGCTGCGTCAGCGCAATCTCGCTCTCGTGTCAAGATGTCCAAGCCACGCTGCAGGGAGCGAGGAGTCGGGCACGAGTCTGGGCGTTTGAGAAAGATTTCTCGGGTGTACTTTCACATGACGAGGCTATGACGCTGCGAAGAGGGAGCCGTGCACTGAGGTGAGGCAGTGCACTCGGCCATCGTTCGCTGCTGTTGTCATGAATTGGACCGGCCGGATGTACTCAATTTCATCTTCTCCCGAAGAGAGATCGGCATCTCAAGTCCCGATCGTCGGACCGATCCGTAGGACTTCACTTCAACCACCTCAGACCTTGACTGCGGCATCAGCTGTGGGCAATGATGGATCCTCAACTCGTGCTCTTCCGCCGGCAGTATCTCCAGCTGTTTGAGCCAGACTTCTTAGCTTGGCCGCCAAAACAGCTACTGAGAGACGCAGATGTCCAATCATGGCTCCACGCAAATCTCTTCAACAGCGACAAGAATCCTAGGCTGCCTCCTGAACGATATCAGTTGAGGGTACTGAAGCCCTTGGTCAAGAAAATCGAGCAATCAATCGAAGACCCCGAAGAAGATGTAGGTCAATCAACGAACAATCAACACCGTCTCCTCTCTCAACAAACTTCCCACGTTCCTATCCCACTCTATTCTGATTTCCATTCTCCATCTCTCTAGGAAATCTCAGACCTCCTCATGACCCACCTCTCCACCCTCATCACCTCCACCCTCCCCTCCGAATCCCAAGCCGTCCAACAAAAATCCCACGTCACATTCGTCTGCCTCCCACCCACCTCCCCCCAGCAAAACCTGCACCTTCCCCCCTCCGAAGAACCCACCCTCACCCTCCTCGAGCGCCCGCACCTCATCTCCGGCTCCCTCACCACCGGCTTCCGCACCTGGGAAGCCGCGCTCCATCTCGGCTCGTACCTCCTCACATCCCCTGACCTCATCCGAGGCAAGAACGTCCTGGAACTCGGCGCGGGAACGGGCTTCCTCTCCATCCTCGCCGCGAAGCATCTAGGCGCGCAGCACGTCACGGTTACGGATGGCGACGAGGGGGTCGTGGAGGCTTTGAAGGAGAATTTCTTCTTCAATGGGCTCGATGACGAGGGGGGCAGAGTTGGCGCGAGTGTGCTCCGGTGGGGGAGGGGCTTCAAGGGGACGTGGGTGGAGGAGGAGTTTGAGAAGTGGCCGGTGGATCTTGTTGTTGGGGCGGATATTGTAAGTTCTTTTTGCTTTTTGGCGGAATGGTTGGTTGGTTGGTGCGGGGAAGGGTTTACTGATTTGAGACACAGACGTACGATAAGCAGGCTATCTCGGCGCTTGTGGCGACGATGAGGATGCTGTTTGAGTTGAGGCCGGGTGTGCAGGTTTTGATTGCGGGGACGGTGCGCAATGCGGAGACGTTTGGGTCGTTTACGAGTGCTTGCGGTAAGTTGTTGGAAGATTTCGTGTTCTGACGTCCGCTGACTGGTATCTCCAGAACGAAACCACTTCGAAATGACTGAGATCGACTTTCAACCCAGACCGATACGCGAGCAGACTGCGCTCTTCTATGCCAAAGCAGTGCCGTTCAAAACATTCCTGATCCGTGGGCCTCCCATTGAGAGGGCGAATTGAAAGAAAGCTGTTCTGGAAAAGGATCATTAGAAACGCCGACCATGACCTACACCAAATAATATGTACAACAAAACAAGCGCAATCGTAAGACTTTTCACACAGGGCAGTATCAGCGGCAACGCTTGCGAACCAAGAGACTGCATCGCAGAAGGAATCAACTCCCGCAAATACCTCGCTCGTCTATCTCTTTACTCTCCCTTGAGCTTGTCCTGCTTCACGCTCCACGCCATCTCCAAGAGATCTTGCTCCTCCTTCAAATGCGTGCTCTTGAGACCGGTGGCCACCGACGCACTTGGGTTGCGGCCAGCGTACATGACGTGCTTCCTGTCGTGGTGCTGTGTGTTGTTGAGGAGAGTCTCGATTCTAGGTTGAGTGAAGGACCAGGCGCCGGCATTGAGTGGTTCCTCTTGGCACCAAACGACCGTCTCGGCGTTGGGGTAGCTGTCGAGGTTATCACGGAGCTGAGCCCATGGGAATGGGTTTAGCTGTTCGATACGAGTAATGGCGGTGTCGGTGAGGTTGTTCTGTTGTCTGTACTTGAAGAGCGCGGCGAAAACCTGGCCAGAGCAGAGAATCACGCGCTTGATCTCGTCGTGAGGCTGGATCTTGAACTCGGCGTTCTCGTCGTGCGCAGGGTCGGAGATGATCCACTGGAAGTGGCTCTCTCCGGTGAAGTCGTCGAGGCTGGAGCGAGCGAGTGGGTGACGGAGCAAGCTCTTGCTGAAGAATGAGATCAATGGCTTGCGGAACTGGCGGTTCATCTGGCGGCGAAGAATGTGGAAAGAGTTGGATGGGGTAGTGCAAGCAACGATCTGCATGTTGCAGTCCTGGTGCTGGCGCTCAAGCTTATCTGGCGATGGGAAGATTCTGGGGTCTTCGTTGCAAAGCTGCAAGAATCGCTCCATACGGCCAGAACTGTGCTCTGGACCTTGTCCGTCGTATCCGTGCGGCAAGTTCATGACCAGACCAGATCGCTGCAGCCACTTGACTTCTCCTGAAGCAATGAATTGATCGATGACGCACTGTGCGTTGTTGGCAAAGTCACCGAACTGGGCTTCCCAAATGACCAGAGTATTAGGAGACGAGAGAGAGTATCCGTATTCGAAGCCAAGAACACCGTACTCGCTCAAGCTTGAGTTGGAGATGACGAAAGACGCCTGCTCCTTGCTCAAGTGCTTGAGAGGAGTGAAGGTGTCTTCGCTTTCCTGGTCGTGAAGGACGGCGTGTCTCTGCGAGAAGGTACCACGTTCAACGTCCTGACCAGATACACGCACGTGGTGACCCTCCATACAGAGGGTACCAAACGCAAGAGCTTCAGCAGTCGACATGTCGATGTTCTTACCCTCGTCAACAGTCTTCGTTCGGTTGGCAAGGATACGCTTCAGGTTGCGGTGGACATGGAAGCCCTCCGGTGGCTCACCAATAATCTTGGCAATGTACTGGAGTCTGTCGGCATCAACTGCGGTAGGCTCGTGTGGCAAGACTTCGGTGGCAAGCTCCTTTGGCGACTTGAATCCGTTCCAAGCACTGGTCAGCCATTCACGAGCGGTTGGTTGGTAGTCCTTAGATCTCGAGAAGGAGTCTTCCAGCATGCCCCACACCCACTTCTTGTGCTCGTCGATATCGTCCTTGGTGAAGGTCTTGGCATCGAGCAGTTGCTGGACATACTTGTCAATGGCTGGCTGCTGCTCGTTGATGCGCTTGTACATCAGGGGCTGAGTGAACGAAGGCTGGTCAGTCTCGTTGTGTCCCTGCTTTCGGTAGCAGACGATATCGATAATGACGTCCTTCTTGAACTCAGCACGCCAATCAGCCGCGAGCTGGCAAACGAAGTTGAGAGCTTCAACATCATCACCGTTGACGTGGAAGACAGGTGCATCGACGAATTTGGCAATGTCAGAGCAGTATGGGGTCGAGCGGGCGAAACGTGGGTCAGTTGTGAAACCAATCTGGTTGTTGACGATCAGGTGGATTGTGCCGCCGGTCTGGTATGCGGGAAGCGCATAGAATCCCATAGTCTCGTACACAACACCTTGAGCGGCGAACGCAGCATCACCGTGAAGCAAGACGCCCATAGCGGATGTCGCCTGGTCCTCATCGCCGTTCATGTGCAGGATAGCGCGAGCCTTGCCCAGCACCACTGGATCTTCGGCTTCCAAGTGAGAAGGATTGGCGACGAGGGAGAGCTGAACACGCTTGCCGGATGGAGTAGGACGCTCGAAGTTCATGCCCAGATGGTACTTGACGTCTCCAGAACCCTCGTCGGATGGCTCAGCGGAACCACCAAATTCGGAGAAGATGGACTCGTTTGGCTTGCGAACGACGTTGGACAAGACGTTCAGGCGACCTCTGTGCGGCATTCCAATGACAATATCCTTGACACCGTAGTCGACCGAGCGATCAATCAAAGCTTTCATGCCAGGAATCAAAGACTCTCCACCCTCCAAACCGAAACGCTTGTCGTTGGGGTACTTGGTAGCCAGGAAAGACTCGAATGACGAAGACCAGATGAGACGGTCCAGGATGCGGCGCTTCTCGTCCACGGAGTACTTGTAGGGCTGTGGCACCTCTATTCTCTGACGCAGCCAGTCGCACTGATCTCTGTCGGGAATGTGAATGTACTCAATACCGTATGGACCGCAGTAGAGACGCTCGCAAGCCTCAATGATCTCGCGCAGAGTCATCTTGTCCCGCGATTCCGTCTTGAAGCGTGGTAGAATACCAGGACCCAGGGTGTATTCCGTCTCCATATCAGCCTCGCTGAAACCGTATGTCTTCAAATCCAACTCTCTTGGTACTGTTGCTGTTTGACTTCTTATGCCCAATGGATCTATCTTCGCCTTGTGGTGTCCTCTTGCCTGGTATGCCCGCACGAGAAGCTGGACCTTCAAGTGGTTCATAACATCACTGCCTTGGCCTTCGCCCATAGCAGCTCCAGTTGCGAATGATGGTGCTGTGACGCCTCCCACAGGGTTGGGAACAATCGTAGGTGGAGGAGTGAAAGCGCGGCTCACTGGCATGTCGCCACTCTCCATGTTCTTGAAGTAGGCTTGCCACGAGACGTGCACAGAGGTAGGATCTCTCTTCCATTCTGCATACATCTCATCGACATAGTTGGCGGTGTTTCCTGAGAGGAAGGAATCGGAGGGGTCCACGCCATGTTCGGTATCTTCGGCTGCCACGGCATACTGGCGATGTTGCGCAGTGAAGGCGTTGTAGGAGGCAATCCCCAGCTCCCGTCTCTTGGCTACCAGAGCAGTTCGGGGCGCGTTGGGAGCAATGCTAGAGAAGGCTCTGGTAGCGGCACTACCAGTGGCCAAGCGTTTGCTGCATCGACAGAGTTGAGAAAGCAGCATGGCTGCGGATGCTCATCGAGTCGCGGATTGTCTTGGAGCAGCGTGCGGTGTTGGAGAAGACGCGGGGCGTCGCGTGATGTGGATAGGGTCACTAGGTGACTGGATGGGGTGGTGTGTGTGCAAGTGTTCAGAGGCGCAAGCTAGAAACACGAGAGCTGCTCTGCTGGCGGCGTTGTTCCGGGCCATGAACCGAACTACCCGTCTTGCCCGTCTTTTGCCTGACCACGAGCGATGTGATTGGCTTTCGGCCCTCGTCCGCCGCTAAAGTGCGGTATTTCTTTCACGTGTGAATCCTTTGAACATTACGCCAACATCACACGGCCTCACCTTCCCAGACACAACATCGCATGAGACTGGACTCGCCTAAGGATGACTGGAATGATTATTGCTGATCAAAGACCTCCTTGACCATTGCTCTGCGCATTGTAAGCCATGGCAAGAGGCGGCCTGCACTGCCGCTGCTGCATCCCAACCTGATCCTCCTTGAGACACCCGAGCCCGACTTCTCCCGTATTCATTCGCCCGCTGTTTCTGCGAGTTCTTGATCGATAGGGAGATAACGAGACCTCCAGACTCTACTCGGTTGTGTGTACCTGTACTGGACCAGTCTCTCTTGTAGTGGAAGTCCTCACTCAAAATCCTGGCGAGATGCTCATGAATGCATTGAGTGGGTGCGTTGCTCATGACTTGATCATGTAGCAAGTCAGACTGGACACAGCGATATGTCTCGGTAAGGCCAGAATACAGTTGCCCGACTGAATAGGCACTTTTGTGTCTTCTTGTCCTGGAGTAGAGGAACAAACGAAGTCGATGTCATTATAGTTTCACTTCTAAGCTGCACCTTCCCTAAACGCCGCTGGCTTCAACAGCACGTGGCAGCTTCTTGGCAACATGTGAACGCACTATTGAGACAGTAGTAACTAGCCGCCATCCTCATTTTCTCTCAGCCAACACCAGACGGCGACACCAAAGTTCTCCCATCCACGCAACCACTCCAACAACGTCGCCACCACGAAACATGTCCTTCGTCACCACCCTGAAAGAACAATCGGTAAAGTCTCCCAATCCTGCGACGTCGCAAGATTCACCATTTAACACTTCTTCCAGCCCGCCTACGCTGCCTATACTGCCCTCCCTCGCCAGCCCAAAAATGCCCCTCGCTTCACGGACAGTCCCCACGGCTATCCGATCGTCGAACCCGGCGAGCTGTTCTGTCGGATGGACGGTGTCGGACGGCCATGCTGTGGCACGAAGCTGCTGTCCACGGAGTCGCTGCTTTACCACATGGAGGCAGTCCACGGTGCTATGAGGACGAGTCGGCCGGTGGAGAAGCAGTGGAGCAGTAGCGATTTGGGCGAGTTGGAGAGGTTGCACTGTAAGTGGCGAAGAAAAGCGGTTCTGTGAGGTGAAGTTAACAAGCCGTGTCTTGCAGACTTCTACAAGCATCTGATGAAGGATGAGGCGTATCCCGGGAAATCGAAACATGAGGGGTATTCAGGAAAGGCGAAAACTACAATCAGTCCGGAAGTCGAAGCCATGACCAGAACAACCGCACCAACACGAACACCAGACGCACCGAAACCTGGGTTGAAACGCAAATTCCCCTTTCCTGCCAGTAACGGCGGCGCACATCGCACGATCCCACCACCAAGATCTACGCTGAAGCGCAAAAAGACTGCCGAAGAGTCCTCCACTGACGCTTTCGTCGCTCAGATGATCCTGACTCCCAATAAACGTCCTCGACCGACCGGTCTAACCTCAACTCTGCTCAGAGCTTCACCACCCAAACCTCCATCCCAGAAACTCGAACCTCTCGCCCTCCGCGGCGAAAAGCTCCTCAAAGAGATCGCCGTCAAAGAAGCCAGCATCAAATCAGAATTGAAAGAAAGCCAGCTGAAAGAAGTCAGAATCAAAGCAGAGCTTTTGGAGGCGCAGCTATTAGAAGCGCAGATTGCGCAGGATGTGTCGAAGGCGAAACTGAGACAATTGGATTTGGGGAAGGAGTTGAAAGAGATTGTGGAGAAAGATGGGAGGGTGAGAGCGAGGCTGGAGGGCGTTGCGGAGGGGAGGGGAAGGGTGGTGGATTTGTTGGATGATGAGGATGGGTAGCTGGGAGGACAGGCTATTGGTGGTTATGGAGACCATTCAAGAGATTATCAGCCCGGTACCATGCAATCGAGCATCTCCAGCTCAGAAAGCAACGACATCCTCCTCCTCAGCACCAGCCCACAGTCTCCTCGGCTGATGAACCTTCCTCGCACTCCTCTTCCTAGTCTTCTCCTTCTTGCTCGAGCTCGAAGACGAAAGCTTCCCAACGCCCGCACTCCCCGGCACAGCAGAAGCATCCGCATCTGCATCCGCGATCGTCAACCCACTGAACTGACTGAGCACACTCGAATCCGTCCCCTCTAGCGTCCCCGAATCCGTGAGCACATTCGCCGCACAAGCCCTACCCAGCGCATCGGTACAAGCGCTATCACTCGAAGAAGGCGCATAAAGCGAAGCAGCGAAGTCTTGCGCTGGGTTGGTAACATTGTCGAATGTGCTGCCTTCGAGCAGGATGTATGCTTCTTCGCCTTCGAAGGCGTGGCCGCTGTTGTCGGCCCAGTAGTTGTTAACAGCGTGGAACAGGGCATTCCCGCCGACTTTAGGGGAGCGGCCTGAGGTGTGGTGGATGTAGTTGCCTTTGAAGGTGATTTGGTCACCTTCGCCGATGAAGAAGAGGCCCCCTTTGAAAGGTCAGTCTTGACGCTAGGGTTTGGGGGTTTCGTGTTGACTTACAGTAGTGGTTGCCGTCGCAGGAGGCGGACCACGAGGTCTGGCCATCAAATTCGCTGTTGGTGATGGAGATGGCTGTGTTGGTCTCGTAGCCGGAGACGATGAATTGGCGGCCGATGAGGGAGATCTAATGTGATTGTGTGAGCAGATTGCTTTTAGTTGCTCCTCGAATGTGGATGAGCATACCTTGACGTGATCAATCCAGATATTGCTGCTACCATCTAGAGTGATAGCATCGCCACCCCAGACGTACTCAGGGTTGAGGTCGGTGATGTGAATGTTCTGGATAATCACATTGGACACACTGTTGACGAATCTCAAGCCTTTGCCTTTGATGACACCAGCGTCGCCCACGCCGATGATGCTCTTGTCGGATCCAACGTTGATAGCGGTAGTACCAGCAACATCGTAGGTGACCTCAGCGGCTGGATTGTCGCCACACCAATCGTTGGCGTTGATGGCCAATTGGCAGCCAGCGGCGGTACCCCATGGAGCGCAACCGGTCTCCGTGGTGGTGCCCTCGGTGCCGGTGAAGTCGAACTCCTGGTTCAGAACGATGGTGAGCGCGTCCTCAGACTCCAGGTATGAGACCAGCTCGTCGGTGGTGGTTGGAGTGACGGTTTCACCGGCAGCACCACCAGTTGTGCCGGCTGCAAAGCCTGGAGCCTCGCCAGAGACTGTTTGAGCCAGGACGGCAGGCGTGATGGCGGCCAGCGCCAGAGTGAGAGCCACGGAGGTGTACATAGCGAATGAATGGCTGTCTCTAGGACAGATGGGGAAGGGAAGGAAAGGAGGGTGTGTTGTGTGTGCCTACCTTTGGAATTGAGCTGCATTATAAAAGATTCTGAAGCTATGCGAGCAAGTCCGACTGTGACGCCGTCTATTCGAGTGTTTGAACAAGCGGTTTGGCTGTTGCTCGAATGCATCAACCTGAGACGTACCATCTGGGGCGCTCAATTTCGCTTCACTGCAGGCGTGGAAGCAAGAGCGGATGCATTGCCGCTTGTGGACGTCCACGTCGATATCATGAGCTCAAACAGTAAGGCCAAAGTAGAGCTTGTCGTTAGATTGGTAGTCGTCGATTCCCGGATCCGTGCATATCAAGGTGATATCCTCCGAGTCTGCAGGTTCAGTGTGATAAAGCTCGAAGTGGATCCGGTTGTAGTGGTTGAAGCCGAAAGAACCCAGCGTAGATCACCCGTTGCCGAGCACACGTGTGGTGCTACTGCGCCAGACATATGAGCCAAGACGGATAGTCTGCGAGGCTTCGCAGATGCCATGCTTTTGCTTGATGGAACAATGCAATGCCAAGCTGGTAGAGCGAAGTCGTGATGAGGAGTGTTCCAAGCGACTTGCATTAAGCGCCCGTCGGTTGAGACGAGAAGCAATGTCGTCGAGTGCGCTTTCTCTCGCATAGAACACCAATATAATGTCCCGTGGTATCATTCCAATCACCCAAAGCGCCATCTCCATGCCATCATCGAATATCAGTCCCAAAAGACATTCAGTCTCGGAAGACATCATCCTTCTCCTCACCACGCCTTTCTCCGGAACCTCACGGGCCCATCAATATCTGTGATCTGCACATCATCACTAAGCAACTGTCCTTTCCGCAGTATCTCACAGTCTCCGAATTCCCGCAGCTCCCACCCGAGCTCATACACTCCAGGTAATGCGTCTTCCCACTTCTCGTAGCCTAGAGCTTCCAGCTCCTTGTTGCTCAGCAACTGGGCGACTTCGGACGGCTTGAAGACGTCTGGTGGCTCGACGTGGTCCAGCATCTGTGTGAAAGCTTTGCGGAGTGCTTCAGAGGTCGCAGCGTCCGTGGATCGAGATGGGACGCTCTTCTTGATGCCCCAGAACCATTCGTACCATGTTTGCGTGGGCAGGCGGGTCTGTGATTTGAGAGCTTTCAGCTGGGCATCACGGTCGATGCGGGCGTCCATGGTCACTGATGTGAGAACTGTAGAATGGCGTGAGTATTGGTTCGGTGTGTTGGTGGAAGTGGGCGGAGAGATTCAACTCACTCGTGACTTCGGCAAAATCCACGGCAAGCTCGGGCCAGCAGCGCGCTACGCTACGCTGGCTCCTTTTCGCGGTCCTCTGCTTCTCCATATCGCCGCAATGATAATGACGCGGGAGCATTCTGAACATGTCGCTGTATCCTTCTGCTATGTGGGGGACAGTACAACTCTTTGTTTGTCTCAGAAAGCTGGACGCTCTTTCAGACGGCGGATGACAGGGGCAAGCGACAACCAGCCCACGACGGCAGGACCCTTCGAGCTTGGTTGCCTCCAAGGATTCTTCGTTCGGGAGGCTAGCCAATGTCGAAGTATGCCAGGATGATGACGGTCACCTGAACAAGACTATCCTCTATCAACATTGCAACGCTCCACTTAGGTCCCGCCTTTGGCCCTCTCAAAGATTATCGCATGCCTTTGGCACACTCACTTTGCCACCTATCCTGCGATCTGCGATGCGAGATAAGTTGAAACGATACGGCGAGCTGTTCAACACACCACTTTGAGATTCTTCTACCTGTCAAGGTCTTGTCTGAAAGCACCCCAGTGTAGCCTAAAGACAGGCATCCCGCTGACATTCACCCACACCTGCTATCACGTGGACGCACCTGACAAGACTAGCGCTGTTCTTCACATCCCACAGAGTTCGACCAGAGTCCCTTGCCCACTCAGGTTGCAGGAAGCTGGCCGATCGTGCAACGATTGCCAGCACGTCGAGAGACTTGACAGGGTTCCCCACCTGCGCAGAAGGTGACGAAGATTCAGGACGCTTCTCGGTTGGACGTCTCCAAGAACGTACCGACTTGCATTCGCTCTTGTTCAAGAGCAAAGTCACAACTATCTTACATCACTTCGGGGTCGGCACTTCGAGCCTCGCTTCAGGGCTGCTTTCCTGATCCGACTCGTACACCTTTGCAGCAAATCCCAGTCCAAAGGCACGCGTGCAAGCCGAAATCGCCAGCGAAGCGAAGAGTATGGAAGCAATAGTCCAAGATAGTCCCCAGGCGTAACCGAGCGTTGGCTTGAAAGCAGGTGCGTCGTTGACTGGGAAGAACAATTGCTGAGCAAGTGTCTCGCAGACACTATTCTCGTCATCAGTCTCACATTCTCGACATGTGCGGTGTGTTCACTCACTATCCCATAGTCGTGATCATAGCTGTGGTCACTGCCCTGAGCTGCTTATCGCCTCCACACGAGCTTCCCGCCCACCCGTACACTATCGGCCCAATGGTACTGTATCCACTTCCTGCGATAATGTACGTCGACATCAGCCAAGCTCGGTCGTGCCCCGGCCAGGCTGCGAAGACTGCGTATCCATAGATCTGCAAGATGCCAAAGCCAATGATGACCAGACCTGGCTTCCGAGACCAGTCTGCTATTATACTTGCGGCTATGGTGAAGACGATTTCGGAGCAGCTGACGGAGGTAGGTATGGCGTTGATTTGGCTCGGGGAGTATGAACGTAAAGAGCGGAGGTAGAGTGTCATCCAGCGAGGCATTTCGGTGCCGCAGGTAAGTTCCTTCATGCTGTGATGTGTCAGACCATCATTCAGTTGACCGAGTACGTCTTCAAAGGGACTCATCTTACCCATACGCAATAGGAAAGCAGTAGAACTGCCATGAGCAGAAGATACGTTTCAGAACCGACATATCGAATCGGCCTGTGGAACGACGTCCCTCCTCGTCAAGCCGCATCTCACTGATATTGTGCTCGTTCTCGGTCATCCACCATGGTTTCCTTGCCCGTGGCTCATCTGGTCATTCAATCAGTACAGACCGCTATGAGTTGAGGAAGAGTGCGCCTCGTACTAGGACAGAAAAAGAAGCCAATGAGAGCCACCGGTATACCCAGAATGGCATTGAAGATGAACAGCCATCGCCACGAGGCAAGGCCGTCGACGCCGTTCATCGACTTGTATCTGGCACTGATCAGCAATCTTCTCTAAACGAGTTGTACGAGACGTACAGCCCAGCTTGGATGTAGCCAGAAAACATGCTACCCGCGAACGAGGAAGCCGTGAAGATAGCCGACCGGCGATGGATCTCAGACCTGCGGTACCAGCTACCAATCTGTCGAATACTCATCAGCCTGCCATCTCACCACTGCAGCTGCTGTCAGGGTACGCTTACCAGATAGTACGACCCTGCCATGATGGTACTGGAGAAGAGGCCGGTTGCGAATCTGTAAGGAATGAGCGTTTGCTCTATCACCAACTGAGACGAAAATAATCTCTGACCGCAACCCGTATAGTGTCGACACTTGTTCCGCTTTGTACATGAAGAGTACAAACAACGAACTCAGCAGCGTACAGCATGGCAGCCAATATGCAGGCGATATGACCGTGAGGATTGGAGTCGACAGCGGCGCCCCCACGATAATGCCAATGTTGTCTGGTTGAGAGGAGACGCGACGGTCAGTGAAAAGGCTTTCCACGTATTGGGCCTCATGTTGATGTACGCACAGTAGGTTGTGATCCAGTTGAGTTCTTTCCCATCTGTTCCATCCGACCATTAGTGTCCTCGCAATGTCGGACTGGGATGAATAGCTACGTACGCAGGTGGAGATCCTTTTGCATCCCGCTCACATATGCATTTGTAACGCTGGTCTGCTCGAGGTACTTGATGAAGAACGACTACACCTGGTCAGCAAGCATCAACGATTCGTCTGGCATACCCAGAACATACGAGGCATGTGTAGAACAAAATGCAAAGATCCAGCTTGAGGATCAGTCGTTTCTCCTCTTTCGATGTCTCTGGCTCATGCCACCGCAAAATCGTCGGCATATGGAACCTCTTCCCTCGTCTCGAATCAACCACCTCGCTCATAGTGTACAGAAAAGACGGATCAAATCAATATCATGAAATCGGATAAGACAGCACCAACACCACAATCATAAGAAAACGTTGTTGATGTCTTTTATTCTCATCATCCTCTTCCCTCCACGTCGCTCCCTCGTGGCAACCACCATAATGGCCCCCTACCTAGCAGGAAAACTTTAACATCCAGTCCTGAGCAAGTTTCCCAAGCCTACAATTCGTCGCTACGGTGAGTCCGCACGCAGCGTTGGATATGATCGTGTGCTTAGTGAGTGAGCGCGAAAATTTCCGCTTTGGGGTGCGTCGGTCGCTGGATTGGGTATCAGGCTGGGGAGGGTTCGGTGCGACTCGTTCGGGAAGCGGATGTTGCGGCCGAGGGACGGAGGGCGTTGCGTAATTAAGTTGGGGTGAGTGTGGGATGGTTGTGGTTGTGGTGATCGGTGGAGGAGTTTGGGTTGCTTTGCCGGGAGTGTGTAAAGCGTCGAGACCATGCGGTGAGTGTAGTCATAGGCATTTTCCTTCAATCCGTGACCCGACCGTAATAAGTCTACTTGAAAGTCTTATAGAGCTCATGTTGATACTGATACCTGAATTTCTTCATGGCTCTCTTCATCGTCTACAAGCTGGCCTAGCTATTGTTGAAACTTGAATCTAGTGCCAGTTTCTCCGGCTCATCCGCCGAACAACTGTTCGACGAGACATTGTAGTTTCGTGGTGAGGTGAGTCTGTCTAGCTTGAACGTGAGTAATCAGATAAGACGTCTCACCCACTCGTAGTTGCGAATCTTGCGATGTACACTGTAGACCTGTCGATGATTGATTTTCACCCAAAAGCTGGACAATGTATTGTATTGGACGAGTCGCTCGATGCAGTTGCAAGACGCTGTTTCAGGCAAGACATTGATTGAGATGGTACGGCAACTGGATCTAGTCCTTCATCCAAAAGACAATGTCTCGAGCAAGAGACTTGGTGGCACAATTGTAGCGGCTTCCTATCCATTGTCTCCTTTAGTACAAAACCATTCGGAATTCCCTTCGAGATTATATTGAATGGCACACAAATCCATTCCTTCGTTCAAGATTGAATTGTACCTTCTTCACAGAACTCAATAAGCTTGATCGACATATATGAACAAAGCGGCCCCAAAGTCGTTGTCCACAGAAAGCAGCACACAATGCCTTTGTGCGATGCCTCAGCGGCGGTTGCGCCAATGCCATTGTTCCGAAAGCTCGGTATTATAAAGGCAGCGTTTCGACTCGATGTTGCTCAGTCCATCACAACTCCCACCCACCTCCGAAACCGAACCTCGAAGACCCAAATTTTCGAACACCATCAAAGCAGCAGGCCTGCTAACTCTCCCTCAATCTACCGACAACCTACTCCATCCGGAATGGAGTCCAGACTCTTCTTCGAGACTTCTCTGGCCTACCAGAACCTGCGCGCCGAGGAGCTTGCAATGGCAAACGACCCACACACGGCGCTAAGAGATCTGGAGTACAACCTCAGCCTGCAAGCAGAGCTGAGGGAGTCGCTTCATACCCTCGCGAAGGTCGCAGCCTACGCAGAGGAGCGCGATCGATTCAAGGCTCGAACTACCTCTTCGGAGATGAGCATATCTCCGAACGCCTCGCCCTTCAACACACCCCAGAAGTAGGCCCGCGCTGACCTTTGGGCCTACGGCAAGAAGTGTGATGAGCGCGGTGCCATTGAGGTGGTTGGGCGAGGTGCAAACGGTGCTCCGGCGCCAAGAAGCTGCTCACAGCTGGAGCAGCGATTCCCAAGTGTCGCAAGAAGGTAAAAAATCGATGCAGGACGCGACAAGGCCGGGGCCTGCACCAGGTAAGTAGTCAGAAATCACATATCATGGAAACCATGTCTTTCCGAATATCTCACATATCTCCCTCCACGTTTCAATAGCGCGCAAGTCCCCTCGTTACGCATCTTCATTCTTGCAAAGTCCGCACACCAAACAAAAAGTTGAGTCCATGACGTCAATCGATCGAAAATATCCAATGGTTCATCAAAACATAATTCACCACCAGAGGGCCGAAGCTGTCCGGTGGGAACCAAGAACTCACGTTGAAATGGTGACGAATCATTGGTAAAGGCTCGAACCAAGAACAGGTCTTGGAGGACGATCCGGCCAATTATCACCCGCTGGTTACATTGCCCCTTGCAATCTCGCTCGTCGACCACTGCGCCAAAGGCGCATGTGGATGAGTCGTTACGAGATTACAAAGTAAGCGGGGTAATTTTGTAATATGTAGTGTTGCCGTTTTGCGGCCGAACTTCGGCTGTCGCTGGTCGGGAGGACGATGAGGGGCAAGTTGCAGCTTCACTCGCGACAGTGTGCTTCCTTGTTTCGTCTCGACAGTGCACATCGCATCGTCTAGGCTCTCGCTTGCTAATCGGGCGCACGATCGTTTGATGCTGGGTCATACAACGCGCCGCGGTCGCTTCCTTGAGAAGTGTATCGAGCGAAAGTTTCGAGTTTTGCAGTCTGCTCGCTGTATGTAGCATTAGCATTATTATGACAGCAGCGGGAGTAGAGAGGTCAATATTTCATACCGAGGCGACAAGTAGACACAATTCATAATGAGTCTTCTGCATCCCTAGCACTTGCGAAAGACTATTTCTATTTTACTCCTATCATGAAAATCTTATCCCCTCTGTTAATGGCTACTACGCTTGAATTTCTTTGATAAACTGTGATAATGCAAGCTTTTGACGACATCGAGTGAAGCATTTTACTATCACAATTGATCCCGTTCCTTTGTAAGAACAGCGCAGCTCCGTACCGGTCACAGGCCGCGAATATCACATATCAGCGTGACCAGGAGTATCGGGTGAGTTCTGATGGCCCACCGTTGTGTGTATGAGTACAAAAAGCGTGAAAGATGTGGGAGACGTGTGAAATGTGAAATCTCAGATGGGAGGTGAAGTCAAGTTACGGACCCACTTTCACCCTTGTTTTGACTCAGCCCTATCTATGGCATTCCGTATCTCTACCCGCCACCTAACATCTCCACGTTCCAACTCCGACATAACGACAACATTCGCCAACATGACCGGCGGCGATGAAGAGACCTCATTTCTGGAAGTCGTCAAGGCATGTGACGACTTCCCATACGGCCCAGCCGCCGAGAGCTATTATCAGCTCTACTTGCCCGAGGACGACCAACCGCATGGATACATGCTGCCAGAGATCGTCCACAAGATGCCTTGGACGCAGCACTTCTCCATCAGTCACGAGCATCCTCGCAAGATTCGAATTTTTGACCGCTCAAAAGGCAAGGACACGGCCACCGCGATCAACGCCGCTTTTCAGGAAGTCGTGGACATTTGCATAGAGCGCGATTTGTTCCATGTTATATGCGCCAGGCATAGCGAGCCGTTTGCTATCGCTGGAGCTCGCTACGGATCACCGGTATATGTTGAGCGCTTTGCTGCTTCGCTTTTTGGAATCACCACCCGAGGAGCTCATCTTGTGGCATACAGCAAGACGCCTGAAGGCGAGATGAAGCTCTGGATACAAAGGCGTTCTGCTCATCTTTACACCTACCCAAATATGCTTGATAGCGCAGTCGCTGGTGGTGTCAAGTCCGGAGTCTCGCCTTTCGAAACCATCGTGCAGGAAGCAGATGAAGAAGCCTCCCTCTCGAAAGACTTTGTTCGCCAACATGCAAAGTCAAAAGGCGTACTTTCTCACATGGGTCTTACTGGCAAGGGTTTTCCTGGCGAGCAGGGTCTTGTAACGCCTGACTACATATACGTATTCGACATTCAGCTTCCACCAGATGTCAAGCCCAAGCCTTACGATGATGAAGTTGACTGTTTTTATTGTATGAGCATTGACGAAATAAAGAAGGCTTTATTTGCTGGCGACTTCAAGCCAGATTCTGGAGCCGTCATCGTGGATTTTCTGATTCGCAACAGCGTTATCACGCCAGAGAATGAGAAGAACTTTGTGGAGATCAACATGCGACTACATCGATGGCTACCATTTCGAACTGGATGAGCAGGACCAGGTCGAGTCACATCCAGGCTTCCAGCCATCTCTTCATACTATCATCTTCTCCGCCAACCCAAGTCATGTCAAACTAGCAGAAGAACCACTGAGACCCCTCCTTACTCATACTGAGATGGCATAGTTGGTTTTCCCGGAATTCTTCACGGATCGGCATCGTCGACGATCTTATGGTTGTTCTCGGCAACGACCTCGATGTGTTGCTTGCGGAATTTACGGGCTGTGACTCCTGTCTCGAATAGAATATCAAGCTCTTCATACGTCCGACCCTTGGTCTCTGGCAGACGAAAGAACGCCCAAATGAAGAGGATGGTCGAGCCTCCGAACCTGATGACGGATTGCGATCAGTAAGTGTGAGGTCAAGTCGCAAAAGTTGGAACTTACCAAACGTAAGCGGCCTTTCCTGAGATATTGGCACCTGTCGGATTGGTGATATATGTTTGCACCACGCCTGCGGTGACGCTCAAGATCCCAAAAACAGCTCTTGAGAAACCCATCGTCTGGGAGCGAACCCGTGTGGCGGAAATCTCACCTGCGATTGTGTAAGATCCGGGTGCTACGATTGATGAGTAGATGGCCATCCAGACGAGGCACAAGGCTGCCTGGACGAAAGGAATTGCACGGCCGCCGAATGAGTCCAGGATGCCGACAATCATGAGAGAGGCACCGCAACCGGCGAGGCCAAATAAGAAAAGACGACGCCGACCAAACCATGCCATGAGGAACCAGCAGAAAATGTTCCCAGCAACCCCGAGTGCGCCCGCGCCTATGCTTCATCTGAAAGCATCTTCTGCGCTGACGCCAACTTGGAGGAGAAAATACGTCTGTGGGGTCCAAAGATTAGCGATTATTTTCGTTTGCACCGGTTCGCTGGTCACAAACTTACTGGACTTGCGGCCAGGACCTGGCCTGTTATTGCCTGACTTGTCAGAACAACAGCTGCGATCTCCGTTCGAGGCAGATTGGTGCCCTTGAAGCAGTCCGCGAAGCTCGACTCTGTCTTCGCCATCTTCTCGTACTCATCCGTGTGCTTCATGAGCGCAATTTTTGCATCAATTTCCTTGTCAGAAAGTCCGCGTGTAAGACTGCGGAGCGACTTCCTAGTCTCTTCAATGCGTCCGCGACGAATGAGCCACCATGGGCTTGACGGCGCGAAGAACGCGATGAGGAAAAGTGGGACTGGCCAAATCCACTGTATGGCAAAGGGGATTCTGTACGCCCTGCAGATGAAGTGTGAGCGACTGCTTGATACTCAACCAACAGTCTGTGCATTTGTGAGTCTCACCACTGGCTCATAACTGTCGAGAAGGGCTGCAGCACACCAGCAGCCAGCAAGCCACCGCATGACCATGCGAAGTTGACGAAGTTGATCAAGTAGCCCCGAACAGCTGTGGGACAGACCTGGGACGGTAGTCGGTATCAGCCTCGTTACGTCTAGAGCGGCCTTGACCAACCTCAGATGCATAGACAGGTCCGACACCTGCCAAAATACCCCATGGAAGGCCATTGCAGAGGCAGCCAACGAACAGGACTTGGATGCTCGGAGCGCAGAAAGTAATGGCAATGGTACCACAGAGCACGACGTGGGCAGTCATGATGGTGATCCGCGCACCAATCTTCTCAATCATGTAACCACTCAGCAGGCCGCCCACGATCCCTCCAGCTGCTGCACCCAGCATGAATGCCATCTGCCACCTGAAGCTGACTTGATAGCCCAGCTCAGGGTCATAGTAGTCGCCATATCGCCTTTGGAATCTGGACGGCATGGTCAGCTCAGTCATTCAAGCACAAGAAAGAAGACGTCTTACGCTGGCGCTGCGACGAGCGCGCCTACCAGTGCGATGTTATAGCCCTCCATGATACCTTGGAGAGAGATTGCCATTGCCCACAGCATTGCTGGCCGGTGGGAGCGAAATGCTTCGCCAAGCGTCATGTTCAATTCGTCGTCCGTACCTCCTGCCGCCGAAGCATCCTGGAATGCGACGGGTCCGGCATTGTCCAGGTGCTCGAGAGTCGCCTTGCTGGAGAGGTCAGCCTCATCTGAGGTTGTGATCGTGGTCTTTGGGATCATGTCGGCGGATGATGCAGCCCTGCAAGACGGCTGAACAGAAAGTCCAAACAGTTTCGCGAGCGAAAGAGTCTGCGATGTGCCAGTGGTCTGGAGCACTCAGGAGGTTAAAAGACATTGGCAACGCTACATCAACATCGATCCCTTAGACCGGCGAATGGGTTGCGTGACGACTTCGCTTATCGGTACCCAGTGCCTTTGTGAAAAACGGGTAGCGGACCCGCACTCTAATGCTTTGAACGAGAAGTAACGTGCTCTCTTGGCCGCACCAACTACAACGTCTCCATAGGGGCCCCGCTCCCCAGACGCCACGATCAAGCCAATCCTTTCGATCCGAATACGCTTTGTACAATCCTGACATCGATTTGGAAAAGGGAACCGAGAGTGCATCATCCACGGGACCATAAGTTGTTGATGGGATCAAGAAGCTATTCTAGAACGCGACGACCCGGGACGTAACAAGCCTCTTCCTGCAAAGTATCTGTGCTGTATTTGAGTCGGGCTGAAGCTTCGAGAGTGTTCTCATTGGCCGACAATACGACGCATGTCTGTGGATCCTCGAGGCTAAAGCATGCATAACCAAGCGTAAAGCTTATTGGAATGCATAAACATACCGCAGTCACGGAGTTAGACTATGCGGCACACGAATGTGAGCATACTCCAAGAGCTTGCATCTTCTTGGGGCAAACGCAACATCTACAACGGACATCGATGCGTCGTTTGATTTTCCATCCTTTCTCCTGCATCATCGAGACTCGTACCTTACGGACATCGTTTACAAACCAACTTGTCAACCCGTCCATTTGAAGCCATGGGCTTTGCTTTCGAAACTCGCAGACTTATCGCCGTTTTCTGGGCCCTCCTGCCCACAATCTTGGAAGGCTGCATCGAGGACGCTGCACTCCTCATTGGCTGGATCCTGCCAGACAATACTTTACATGCCGTCCTGCTACTATGCGGGCTACTTACCATGTACCAGCTGGTCTCGACGCTCTACTCGGGCGGTGCCAGAATTGATTCCAAAGCCGCCATTCTCGACAAGGCTGAGCACCGGTCGTGAAGTTATGCAAGTTCGTGTTCATGGTTCTGGACTTCGGCATCGAATGGATAGCTTACAAAGTCAGAAACACGCACGACGGCATAGATCCGGCTTTCCAAGTGGTTGGCTGGAGTTGCTTGTGAGTTTGCGAGTCGACACTTGGTCGGCAACAGGCCAAGACGATTGCTGGGCTTCGATCGAACAGCGACAGCAATGCTCCGCGAATTTCAACAACAATTAATGAACGCGGTACAACTCTTCGCGAACAACAGCTATCTCAGAGCACGGGTTGCGGGCGTGCCGCCTCCGCAGAGAGAGTCGACCTTCAACTTTATGAACAAGTACAGCTCGAATCATCTACTTCCTACAGTACTCTAAAGCCGCCCAAAGTGCGGGATCTCGCAAATGTTCTCTACGACGCCCGCCGTCGACTCAACAGCCAATCGTATCCCGTCATCCGATCTTTCTCAAACTGTTTACTCGTCTCCATCTTTGGCAACATCCCGCTGAATCCGTGGGGCATGCCTGGGTATACGTTAAGTCTCGTCGGAGTGCCGTACGATGTACGCAGGACCCTCTCGAAGACCAGGCCCTCATCACGGAGCAAGTCCACGCCACAGATTTGCAGGAAGCAAGGCGGCAGTCTACCATGTCCCGACGGCCAAAGAAGAGGACTGAACAGGGGGTTCTGTCGGTCCTCTTCAGCGACATAGTAATCCATGACCATGCGAAGAACAGAGGCCTGCATGATTGGAGCATCTTTGTTCTGCTCCCACGATCTACAGTCCGCCTTGTACTGCTCTGGAACATGGTCTGGATGTACCAGAGTGGGGAATAGCAGGTGGAGACCTGTCAACGGTGGCTGCATATCGGCATCGCGACGCATCAATGCAACCACAGTCGCCAAACTACCTCCGGCAGAAGCTCCAACCAGGATAAAACCTCTCGAGGGGTCTGCCTTGAACCTGCTAGCGTTTTGTGCTGCCTGTGGACAAGATCATCAGTGAATCGCACCAACCTTGCCTGAGCCGCCACTCACCCAGTTCGTACCATGGAAGCAGTCGTAGACAGCCGTCGGGAACTTGTGTTCTGGAGCCAGCCTATAATCGAGGTTCACACAAGTGACCCCTAATCTCAGGACCATGCGCTGAGCTACTACATCATCGCCCTCCAGCCCACCCAAGCACCAGCCGCCACCATGGATCAGAACAGCCAAAGGTCCAGCTTCGTAGGAATCTTGCTTCTCGTACATGCGAGCCGGAATCGTGTCTCCATCTTTTACAGGGATCTCGATATCCGTCTTCTTAACGCCAGGTAGATCTTCTTTGCGGGCTGCGGCTTTCATCGTCGCTCGAAGGCTGGATATATCTCCTGTTACGTCGAAGGTTGGTCCATCTTTGCCGAAGACCGCTTCGCTGGCCTGATCTTCTTGTCAGAAGCGGATCGGAGCCGCAGATTCTGTATGACTGCTGGAAGATCTTACATTAGTCCATTCTGGGTCCGGTGTTGGGTGAAGCGACCATTCACTGCGATTTGCCATTGTGAGACGTGGAAAGTAAAGTCTTCATTCAAATGCTGCCGAAAATGCTGCTGCTGTCCTTCCCACCGGCCAATTCATTCCCAGCATCTTGACACAGTGGCCTTACGGTATGGGTATGAGGCTCACTTGCATTACCAATCCTCGACCGTACAGATTTTGCTCGGACAGCAAGCCTTCGTGAACGCACATCTTGGCGGCTGGAGGCTGTTTGTACACAAACTTCTTATGAGCGGCTGTATCGCAGAGCGGCTCCGGATTCTTGACTGCCGCTAGGATCCACCTCGTATGTCTCGCCAATCACATCTTGCCTGTGGTCCGTGCGCACGATCACATGTCAAGCCACGTGGCTTGGAAATTCATTTGCCTGTATGCTACTTCCATAGAAGATGCACAGTGGCAGAAAGATCATCTGAGCCAAAAGCGGTACTTGACGCAGGTACAGTACTGAATGGGATGTCCGAGCCCTCCCATTCGTTCACCATACGTTATGGCGCTGGCTCGCAATGGATGTTCGGTTCATGTCTTTTTATGAATACAACTTCCTAGCCCTGACTCTCCATAGCGATACGCTCGTTTGGCATGCATCAACGTTAGATGAATCGAAAGTATGTCGATGCCTGAAACACTTCGATGATATCCGGGCGGTATACATAAGTCGCAAGCGTTGTGGCCATCACCTCCTGTTCGAGGCTCTGTCCTTGCCGTAACCATTGAGGCATCGATTCTTTTGACCTCTTGGTCTATCGAAGTAGAAAGCTACATACCGGTGCGATCATGACAGGCCTGAGCAACCAACCGTCTCCACTCCCCGCCGACCATCTCGAGCGTGTCTACGCCGCCGTGCTCGGAAAAGTCATCGGCGTCTATCTCGGACGACCTTTCGAGGGATGGCCTAGAGAGAAGATTGAGGCCGATCTTGGTCGCGTACGATACTACGTTCATTCGAAGACTGCAGCAGACTCGGGACGTTTCGATGAGCTGGTCATTACCGACGATGACGTGTCTGCCACGTTCATGGCTGTCCGAGCGCTGGAGGAACATGGTGCGAAGGAGTTGACAGCGGAAGAGATTGGAAAGACTTGGTACGTGGCTGTTGGGGGTTCGAGGTTGTGCTCAGCTGCTCACTGAAGACGTAGGCTGAACAACGTCGTCGAAAAACGATCAGTATTCGCATGGAGTGGGAATGGTGTCACAACAGAACACACGGCCTTCGTGAATCTGAAGAAAGGCATACCCGGTTAGTGAACCCATCAGTCTGAAGAAGCAAAGCTGACCTTATTCAACAGCACCTGAGAGTGGCTCCATTGCGAGGAACGGAAAGCACATTGCAGAGTCCATTGGTGGCCAAATCTTCATGGACGCCTTCGCAATGTGTGCTCCAGGTTCGTCATCAGCACCCACGTAGACAGATGATGCCTAACGATTTCTGCAGGAAACCCAGATCTGGCTGTCAAACTTGCAAAAGCGGCTGCTTCAGTCAGCCATGACGGGGAAGGTGTCTATGGTGCCATGATGTGGGTACGTGTCAATCATTGAAGTCCGCCTGAGTCGGAGTCGATTCGGTGACTGACTCAAATCAGGGAGCGATGGAAGCCGAAGCGGTCCTTTCCAAAGACGTCGACCATCTCCTCGATACAGGTTTGAGGTATATCCCTTCGGACTCAGTCGTAGCGGAATCCACACAAGAGATCCGAGAGTGGGCGAGAAAGGATGATGACTGGCTGGTGACCCGGCAGAGGATCGAAGACAAGTATGGTCCAGGCACGACCAACAAGCATGGTGATCCCATGCCCTTCGTTGTTCCGAACCATGACCTTAAGATATTAGCACTGGTGTATGGCGGGCATTCGTTCCACGAAGGTGATAATGATCCAAATGTTCTGCCAAGACTGCGATCAAATCATAGTGCTGACCGATGTTTCAGGTCTGTCGATGTGCGTCTCTGCTGGCTGGGATACGGACTCGAATGGTGGCAACATGGGTGCACTCCTTGGCATCATGTATGGGCTCGATGGCTTCAATGACGGGCCCGATTGGCGAGGGTGCGTATTTGGATTTCCGTTCAATCAATGGGCTACTAGAGACTGACAAGCTTCGTCGATGTTGAAGACCCCTTGCAGACAGGATGTTGATATCCACTGCCGACGGAGGATACTCGATGAACAATTGCGCTCGGGTAGCATTTGACCTCACAAACCAGGGCAGAAAGTTGGCTGGCGAGGTGCCTCTGAAAGCGCCGAAGGACGGTGAGATGGATTTAATAGCTCTCCTAGACACGAGCTAATGTTCTTCCCAGGTGCACAATTCCATTTCACCCTGCCTGGAAGCGTTCAGGGGTTCCGAGCGTTTCCTCCTTCTTTGACACCAGACCTCGTCCGATTGCGACAAGGCTCTGGCGCCCACAGTCCAGCGTTGGCAATCTCTCTGAGCGGCTTCACCGTGGCAAACGAGGACATTGAGGTGCTGGCGGATACCTTCATGCCAAAGTACGATTTGGAGCCGACGTACTACGATCTGCAAGCCTCGCCTCTCATACACCCAGGTCAGACGCTGACTGCACGCCTGAACGCCGCGAAAGACATGCCGCTCAAAGATGTGAAAGTGGCGTTCCGGCTCAAGTCATACAGCGAAAGCGATGCATTGTTCACTTTGGACGGACCTCGATGCGATTTTGGCGACGACGGCGTCTGTAAACTGACCTTCACGATTCCGGATGCCTTCGACCGCCAACCTATCAAGGAGATGGGGATTGTTCTCAGCATATTGGCTTCAAAGCCCATCACCGGCACAGTCCGGCTAGACTACATTCGTTGGACGGGTTCGCCCAAAATGGTACTCGGGAAGCCATCCAAAACCTCATATTTCCGCTGGAGCGCAACAGAGCCATGGCGTCGGGCGTGGGTGAACAACATGACGACGTTCCCAGAGTACATGCCACTGTTCTTGGTCGCACAAGATGTTGGCGAAGGCAGCCTGATGTATGGCTGTCGGGATTGGTACAACTACAAGGCGACAGCCAAGCATATGGTCAACAATAAACCGGGTCCCAATGGTCTCGCAGCACGGGTCCAAGGGCTCAATCGTTGGTATGCTGTCATGCTGAGACCTGGAGGCATTGCCATTGTGAAGGCATTCGATGAGAAGCGCATAGACCTTGCGACCGCGGACTTCGATTGGCGAGTAGTACTGCCATATGACCTGGGGCTGGAAGTCCAAGGAGAGAAGCTAAAGGGGTACGTGAATGGCAAGCTTGTGCTGGAGGCGAGCGATTCGCAGTACGAGAGTGGTGGCATTGGCCTCACTGTAAATGACGGCTCCATCATGGTGAATGAGGTGGAAATTGGGCCTGCTGGGGAATAGTCGAAGATGAGGTCAAGCGAAGTATGCTGCCTGAAGTTGAAAGTACGGCGTCCCGCCAATCGTCACCAACAGAGAGTCCCGGAACATGTATGATCTTCTCTCTTCCTTGTCTTGAGGCTGCCTCGACGGCGTCACTGCCATTCGCGAGACTGCGGAGACTGAAGGCACACGGTATGACTGGACTCCTCCCTGAGGACAAGCCATTCACGATCTTCGAATGGTATGGTTTGGAGGACCTGGAGATAGACTAGGAGGGCTGGCAAGTCGATGGAAAAGCTGTTACAGTCTCTTCCTGTCTTCTCGACTCTTTCTCTCATCAGGTCGCCTCGCATGCGGTGGCTGGCGCTCGGCGCATCGTATGTCGGATCTTGGCTCGTCGTCGCATAATGGTGAGGGCTGAAAGCCCGCGAGGATGTACTCGCAGGACTCGTCTGTAGGCAGTGATGATAAAGATGGCACTCAGACGAAATCGATCATGCAATGCAATGGGAATGAACCTGATATGATCAGGAAGCTCGCACATGGACTAAGCGGCCGCAGCAGCCGCGCGCACGGGCCAACAACATGGACTAGCCTTCCTGACTTCACCTTTTCACTCTTCTCTACCGAGTTCAATAATCATTCAGTCCACTCGTCAAGCCGCCTCGAGTTTACGTCAGGCTCTATAAATAATCCATTCGCTTCATTATCCTGCCCCGTGTCATCCGCGACAGATTTCGCGACCATGAGCCTCTTTCAGCTATGCACTCAGCCAATCCACTCTCCGTGCGAAGTTGTGCCCTCAAGCCACAGGATGTCAGGATCAGACGGTGCCTGGCTCGTAACAGCAATTGTGGCCGCTATGCAGTCAGACTGAGCAATCAAGAGCATGTTGAGATTCTTTACGGCTCTGATAGCGACCGTGTGCACTGAAAAGAATAAAGCCTCTCAGCATGACGCTTTGGAAAGTACACATCTTCAAATAGCTGACCTGCTTTGCTTTCTCCGAATACACGCTGCCTACTACTGCTCTTCTGGTTGCCGTATTCCAGACTCACGATGATGGAGAATATATCCCGCTTCTTTCAGCAATGTTTCTTCCTGCCACAACCTACACTGACAGAGCAGAATCTTCCCGATCAATTTGGCAGGGTCTTCATCGTTACCGGCGGATATGCTGGAGTTGGGAGTGCCCTGGCTAAGATCCTGTATTCGAAGAACGGGATCGTCTACATTGCTGGCCGAAATGCAGAGAAGGCAGACGTGGCTATTCGCAACATCCAGAAAGCACATCCTCTCAGCAAAGGCAAACTGTATTTCTTGAAGCTGGACCTGGCGGATCTGTCGACGATCAAGGCCTCAACGGAGGACTTTCTATCGAAGGAGAGCAGACTTGATGTATTGGTGAATAGTAAGTCCTGCGATCATGGATGCCCTTACTTTTACTAAATTCCTGAAGATGCCGGCGTAATGAACTCTCCGGTCGACTCTGTGACGGCGCAAGAGCACGAGCTACAACTAGGAACGAACTGCCTCGCCCACTTTCTGTTGACTTGCCAACTGACCCCCATCCTGGAACGCACAGCCGCCAACTCTGGCCCGGCATCGGTAAGAGTCATCTGGGCCGCCTCCCTTGAGATCGAAAACTCACCGGCGGGCGGCGTGCCGTTCAACGAGTACGGCAATCCAGAAGTGCATAAATCCAACACGTTCAGCAACTATACTGCGTCCAAAGTGGGCGATTACTTCCTCGCATCACAGTTTGCTCGGCTACATCGCATCCAGGAATCAGCGAAGGGCGTAGTGTCTCTCGCTTTCAACCCCGGAAACTTACACACCGACCTGCAGCGCCATAGCTCATCAGCGTTGGTTTGGATCCTGGATAAGCTGATGCTCTTCCCAGCAGTCTTTGGGGCATACACGGAGCTCTGGGCTGGATGGAGCGATTGCATCAAACCAGAGGACAGCGGGAAGTACATCTGGCCGTGGGGCAGGTTCGGTGAAGCAAGACAAGACATACAGGCTCAGCTGGAGTTTGGAGGGAACGCCGAGTTCTTCTGGGATTGGTGTCTTCGAGAGGTCAAGCCATATTTGTGATAATGGCTTTCCAGGAGAAAATGTTCCGCCCGCTAGAGGCGTTGCGTTGGTTTCGTGTACGTTACCAAAAGCCGTTTGAGACGTATCTTGTCGATACCTCACATGGTCCGACATCGTACTATCAAGGCCGCTCACAGGCGAAAGTGCGACAGGGAGCGCGGCACAGATGAGCCCTGCGAATCGTCTGTTAGCCCGGTCAACTACTTCACTCGAGTCCACGAAAGCAGGCCACGAAAATCTCAACCCTCTTCTTGTCGAAAAATCTTTCTCGACCATTGCCAGGGGCAATGCGAGCTCCACCTGCAGTCTGCTACGCTCCCACTTCATCTAGGCTCGGAGCTCGTATTGTGGCATACGACACGTCATTTCATCACAGTTGCCAAGCCATTCTAGCTCCTTGGAGGTCGCCTACGATGTATGTGATGTATCTCATGAAAATGTAAGGCCTTGTCAGTAGGAAGTCGATCGCTCGCAAGGTAGGATCTAGAGCTCAAGGTATATATCAAGATCCTGATCCGGTTAAATACAATCGATCAGTCAGCAGTCTTACCCACATGTATCTGATAAGGTAACTAGTATTCCTTCGATAAGAGACATTGAGAGTACCTAGACATTCTATTACCATGTCAATGAAGCGTTTCCTTCACTTCAGACCACACTAGCGATTGACAAAACATGCGCGACCCAGACTTCCCCTTCGAGAAATCGAGCACGACACTATCACTGATCATCTACGGCCGCATCATCCACAGCACCTCCCGCACAAAAGTAACAATCCTATCCAACGCCTCCCTAGGCATCAACAAGCACGGCAAAATCGCATTCCTCGAAACCACGTACCTTCCCCCAACCGAAGCCGCAAACCTCCACCCCGGCTTCGACAATGCATCCACAATCCACCTCAAGCCGCTCCAATTCGTCTTCCCCGGCCTGATCGACACCCACATGCACGCTCCACATCCCAACATCTCTCTGGGCATGGAAGGCGACCTAAAAGAATGATGCGAGGGCTGGACAGACCCGATCGAGGCTTCCTACTCGGACACTTCCAAGGCCTCCCGCGTGTATCCCGCCATGGTGGCGAAGCTCCTAGCCAATGGCTCGACGACCGTGGCGTACAACAGCAGCATCCATCCTGATGCGACGAATGTGCTCGCGGAGGTGTGCAAGGAGAAAGGCCAGCGAGCAATCATCGGCAAGCTCTGCATCGAGACCGGGGCGACGCATGGGAACATGGAGAAAAGCGTCGAACAGTCCTTGCAGGATGAGCGGAAGGCGATCCAGCACATCCTCCACAACGTCGATCCCAACGGCGACCTCGTGCACCCCTGTATCCAGCCTCGCGCAGGCAGCTACGCCAGCGAATCCCTCCTGCACGGCCTAGGCGAACTCTGCCACACTTCCACCGACGAGGAGCACGGCCTCCGGATCCAAGCGCACATGTGCGAGACGCCGCTGGAAGTGGCGAATATGCATCTCCTCCATCCTGGGTATCAGAGCTACGCCGACATGTACAACCACCACGGGCTCTTCGGCCCGCGGACGATTCTTGCGCACTGCATCCATCTGACGGATCGCGATGTGGATCTCATGGCGCAGCGCGGTGTCGGCGTGGCACATAATCCTAACAGCAACACATGTCTACGAGATGGCTGGTTTCGTGTGCGTCGACTGCTCGATCGAGGCATCAAGGTTGGCTTGGGGACAGACTGCAGCGCTGGGTACTCGATTAGTGTCTTGGATGCCATGAGGCAGGCGAGTAATGTCAGCCGGCATCTGGCGATCAGTACAGGCGACGAGAGATGCGTGCTGAAGTTCGAGGAGCTCGTCTACCTCGCCACCATGGGTGGAGCGGAGATGTGCTCGTTGAGCGATCGGATTGGGAATTTCGAGAAAGGTAAGGAGTTTGATGCCCTGCTGGTGGATGTGGGATTGGACGACAAAATCAATGTGCAAGGGCGGGAGCACGATGAGGACGCCATGTTGAAGAAATGGGTCTTTATGGGAGACGATAGGAGTATTCGGAAAGTATTTGTTGCTGGGAAGCTGGTCGCGGGAAAAGACATGGACGACATGGAGGAGTGGTCGAGGTGGGCGTGAATGAGCCCCCTTTTGTGGTGATTACACCGCTATTGCGCAACAAGTGAATGTGGCGGCCACTCGAGCGAAACAAAAAGCGAAACAAAAAGCGAACGACCAGTGTCTTTTCCTCATCGTCACAAATGATAGTGCCTTTTGTCCCCAACGAAAAGTAAAAGTCCAACGCCCTGTATATTCAAACACATACCCGGACCCTTTCCGGACAAGGGCCCATGCCTTTCCCATATCGCTGAAAGCACAGGTAGGGTATCATAAATCCATAAGCGAAATTCATTAATTCATTCCAAAAGATCCAAAAGTGCAGGAGGTGGAACAGCGTCCAGGTTCGTGTGTCCCATTTTTGGTGTACAGCGCCAGTTCATGCCGGCCAGGGGCTTGGTATGGGCGTCTTCGACACAAGTGAGCGCTCACCAGTCGCATCCAGTCCAGTTCAAATCTTGACCCGGGCGTCTATGGACACATGATGTCCATCATCAGGCTTTGAAGAAGTAGATCCCTCAAGGACGGAGCCACGTTGTGGGCCGGTGAAGTGCTTGCGGCCAGTGGTGAACCATGTGGTGGTAGCGATAAGGGCGGCCACTCCAACTGCTGCAGAGGAGTAGTTCATGGTCGCGCTGGTGACCGGACTCACGGAGGGAAAGTTGAAGACCACGACGCAGAATGCGAGGTAGAACATACCGATCAGATTGAAGGCCATGCCGAATCTGCCCAGAGAAAAGCCGCTGTCGATGTCGTGACGACCTTCGAGCCGGCCCCAGACGCGCACGAAGAGCGGCATGATGTACGATAGGTAGAATCCTTCTGTTGAGAAAGCGAGCACAGTGTTGAAGCCGGTGACAGAGCCGAAGTAAATGGCCATCAGAGCCATGTTGACAACGAGGACGGTCAGAATGCTGTAATGCGGGACGTGTAGTGTAGGGTGAACCCGACTGATGTAACTGCTGAGAGGCAGGCCATGATCGCGAGCGAAAGAGAAGATGACCCGGGAGCTCTGTGCCATGAGGAAGCAGAGACTGACCAGTGCGATGATTGTGATCAAAACAGTCAGGCCAATAGCGCCGCCCACCGATCCAGTTGCTTGCTGGAAGATGGCGATGAGGGGTACACCGGTCGCCGTGGTGTCGATTGCGTCTAGGTTGCGAATGCAGAAGAACGCGGCAATGAGGAAGATGAAGCCGGAGAAGGCCCCAATCCAAACAGAGTAGATGATCGCTCGCGGTGCGTCCTTCCTCGCATTGCGCATCTCCTCGGTCATGTGCGCTGTCGCATCGTACCCCGTCATACCAAATGCGGCTTGCAGGATGCCTAAGAGGGAGGCGTAGGAATTGCTGAAGCCGGTGTTGTTGACAAAGTCTTTGAAGACGAACCCTGCACTCGCCTTGTCTTGGTCAAGGGACAAGATGACAGTGATCACGACGACAAAGGAGGTCAGATTGAAGATCATCATCGTCTTGCTCATTTTGTCGAGGAGATGTCTGCCCCAGATATTGACAGCAGCTGCGAGGATCAACACCAAGTAGCAGACCAGGCAGACATGCCATCGTTCGATGACATAGTTCGGGTGAGCAATCTGCGCCAGGCCAAGCACAAAACTCGCTCCTATGAATCCATTGGCCGCTCCAGCAGACAAGAAGCCGATGACGATGAACCAGCCGCAGAGATAGGATGTGAGTCTGGCCCACTTCGGTGGAGTTAGGATGGCAACCCAGGAGTATTGACCACCAGCGACCGGGAACGCACTGCAGATCTCGGCGAACGAGTAGGCCACGAACAAGGAGAAGAAGCTGACGGCAAGCCAGCTGTACACGACGACGGGAGGGCCTCCAGCATTGATAGCTGCCACGAGAGAGCCGCCCAGCGCAGTCCAGGTTGTCAGAACGGACCAGGCAAAGCCCAGCATTCCGAAGAAGGAGAAGTCTCGTTTGAGTTCCTGCTTGTAGCCGAAGCTCTCCAGATTGCGGACATCTTCGTTGACAACCTCATCCGCTGAGGATGCTTCTGAGGCGGGGAAAATGGAGTCCATGCTGCGGGCAGGGAGGTTATTAGAGGACGACAATATTTGTGTGGGTGGAAAGCAAGCCCTTTGGCAGCGGTTCCAAGGAGAAGAAGAAGACTAGGTGAAGCGAGGGTCACGCATGGCGGACATGCTGGATCGTTGGCCGCCCTTATCGTGGCTCTAGACATCAACCGTGGACAGCTGCACACGCCGAGCACGAGGACGCAGAGCTTGCGAAGCTTAGAAGGTGAATGTTACTGTACCCCGGGCAGATCCCGAAATAATGGATGAATCGGCACTAAGCCCTGCACCCCACTTGGAGATGAGCCAATCAGAAGCGCAAAGCGTATCTAGCGTGGCAACGTCACTTCTGTAAGACGCAGGTGCTCTGCTTGGCTCTGGTACAAATACTTCGGTGGGCAGGCCGCTCGCCCATAGGTGCAGAATGCAGATGCATGAGAGGAACAGAGACTTCAATCTGGCTGAACGTTGCTCTTCAATAGCCCGCCTGCTCGCTGATAGGTGCCTCAGCAAACATGGCAGGGAGAACTCCCGTCTGGTTGGACGTTGACACGGGTTTGTGATGCCACTCGACCCCTTCTCCAATATATATCGACTGATGCCCCTTCTTAGGCCACGATGTAGGATGCAGACATGTCATACAATGCCTCATTATCACAGCAATTCTAATCCCCACTCCAGGACGTCTTCGCCATCCTCCTCGCAGCCAGACATCCCAACCTGGACCTCCTCGGCATCAGCTCATCCTACGGCAACGCAGAACAAAAGTACACAACCAACAACACAAGCGCCGTCCTCAGCGCCGTAGGCCGTCCCGACATCAAAGTCTACCCAGGCGCCACGAAACCTTTCTGTCGGGAGTTCATCGGGCCACCAGAAATCCATGGCGAGTGCCCTTGGAAAACATCCTGTTGTTTGCCCGGGGAATGCTCGCTGACTGACGTGGATACTAGGCAGTACCGGACTCGCGGGTACGAGTTTGCTTCCCCAGCCTGTGTCCAATATTGTGCGCGATGTGAACTTTCTCGTCGCCGCACGGGATGCGATCATGGCGCAACCGGCGCGAACGGCGTGGTTCGTGGTGACGGGGCCGTGTACGAATGCCGCACTGCTGTTTGCGGCTTTCCCTGAAGTTGTGGATCATCTAGCTGGGTGAGTGTACGTCGTAGCCTCAAAACGCATGCACATCCTAATTCATACAAGACTCAGCATCATGGGCGGAGCCGTGGGAGGCGACTTCTGCCCTCAGGTCTCAAAGGAATTCGGAAAAACGCTCGGGCAGAGCGAAGGATTCGGCAACGAGACGCCCTGGGCCGAGTTCAACATCTACTGTGATCCAGAAGCGGCCCACGCCATCTTCTCGAACCCGAAGCTGGCGGCGAAGACGACTTTGGTCACTCTGGATCTCACGCATCAGTGCTTGGCGACGAAAGATGTGCGAGCGCGAATTCTGGGCCCGGGGGAGCCGAGTCCGCTGCGAGGGTTCCTTCATGAGATTCTGCATTTCTTCGCGCAGAGCTATGTCGAGTGGTTTGATGTGCATGAAGGCCCTCCGCTGCACGATCCGCTCGCTGTTGCTGCGCTGTTCGGGTACGATTCGGGCATATTTGAAGAGGATGGCGATAGATATGGGATTCAAGTTGTGACGGATGGAGCACATAGCGCGCTCGACTCCGTGAGAGGGCAGGTGGGAAGGACGGTATTGACAAAACTTGATGCTCGCTCAGATGGGCTTGCTGCTGGCGTTAGGGTGCCACGCAAGTTACACACCAATTCATTTTGGGATGTCCTTGAAAAGTGTGCAGAGATTGCGGACAAGGGTCCACAACCTGTCTCTACATAGTCACCACGGCCTGAAAGGCCCCGTCGAGTAAGCTTTTAGAACACAGCAAAGCATCTGACCCCCAAGTCAACCGACTGCTGACTGCCTATCCAGTCCACTCGACATCGAGGTTGTAGTTCATGCCTGCTGGCTTTGCATGGCGAAGTTGGAATGATGGGCTGGCTGCTTTGAAGATCTTCTCCCAATCGTCGACAGTCCGCTCGCGCGAGCCAAACCACGTCAGCATGCTGAGGTCCATGGATCTAGCACTCATGTCAGTCGCTTATTCCATGTCAATATAAAAGGCCCAAGAGACTTGCCTTCTTCGCTTCTCGACGGAAGATGGAAGGGTGTTGGGCTCATGCAAGGTACTATCGTCAATGACGATACGAGCACCCTTCTTGAGGGCAGGGATCTGGTTCTTCAAGATCTGCACACACGACTCGTCGGGCCAGTTGTGGAAGATCGCTCTGAAGAAGTAAATAGGTGCGCCTTTGACTGGCTGCTCGTCGAGAATGGAGTATGGCATGAACTGGAAACGATCCTTGATCTCGGCTGGAACCCTGGAGGGTCCCTCATCGACGACACCAGCCAAGTCTTGGACGATGAAGTTGAGATCCGGAAAGCGCTGGGCAAGTCCTATCGAGACCGGTCTGTTCGTATATTGTCAGTAAGATATTAAATTCGCTTCATGGCAGGACAACCTACCCCCAGGCACCTCCTACGTCGACCACGGTAGCTTTGCCAAACGAGGCCCAGTCGAAGGCATTGAACAGCGGCTCGAGTGGAATGAGGGAAGCGAAGGTATTCATGGCGCTTGCGAATCGTCGACCACGCTCTGGGTGAGCTTCCATCTCGTCGTAAAATCCTCTTGGAGTGTCGAATGCAAGACTGAAGCCCTGCCAGGTCGTTAGCTACGGAATGCGTCAAACGAATTCATACTCACCGATTGCTCTGGAGAGTGAGCTCCATCGTACTTCTGCAACGCATCGACTACCTATAAACCAGCCGTCAGTCTTCGAAGTCCATCACATGAACAACAAAACGTACTCGGCCAGAAGCTCGGAACTTCTCCTCCATCGTGATTCCCACAAAGTTCTGCATCAGCTCGCTCTCTGCGAGCAACTTCGAGGTGGCAGTGTGAGCGACATAGTCGGTCCTTGGCTCGCGGAAGATGTGATTGCACATGGCATGGCGGACGAGTCGTCGAAGGTCGATCACATTCAGACCGACCTTCTTGGAGAGGTCCTCGAATGACCACTCCTCGCCAACTGGCAGCGCCTGAGCGATCTTGAAGCGGTACACTGCTTGCAGACTGAGACAGTCGTTGGGCTGTGGCGGTTAGCGAGCTGAAGCATGACTGAGAGTAGGCCACAGCAGGGCGACTCACGCTTGTGCCCATCAGCACACCAGTTGGACCGGTCAGGAGCTGATTCAAATCTCTGGTTGCACTGAGGACGGCTGTGAGGGCATCTGACGCCTCCTTCTCTTGTGGGGGTATCGCGATCCTAGTCGGGCCATCCAGATCGAAGGAAGGTGTTGCAAGGCCATTTTTCTTGAAGTACTCATCGACGACTTTCGTCTTCTCGGCGATGACGGTCGACAACTCCACGATCTTGGTCGTCATGTTGATGGTCGGTTGTTGTTGTGTGGTTGTAGCAGGTTGAAAGAGGGCGGCTTCAAGGCCACTTGTTTGTGCCTTCCAGTCGCTCAATGTACTCAGCGTAGGTGGTTGCACGCGCCGCACCAAGAGTGGGTCTCAGGCACACGTGTGCCGACGAGTGAAAGGAAGGCTCCCACCGGTACTGGAGCCGTTATCGCCGCCGCCGTTGATTCTTCGTGCTTGAGCAGGGGCTAGTTCGGATTAGGAGTTGTTGGTTTGTGCGAGCTGAATCCTTCAGCTGTGAAGCTGGTGGAGGTCTGAGGTGACGCCACAGGATCGGCGCTGCAAGCAAACAGCAAACGGGCATCGCCCCTGCCCCAAACGTGGGACAAACGCGAGCTCAACGGTCCGGTCTCTCCTGCCCTCTCTGCATCACCACTTGGGCACTGGAAAATTCATTTGTTATGCTGGAGGCGTGAAATGGCGTGGAAAGAGGAAGCTCGGTATTCGCCACTGTCTGAGGCATCCGACCAGGAATCGAATCGCAATTTAGGACAAGAGCCTCAGAGACGATTGAACTGGATATTGCGATATTTAATTGCTGCCATTACAGTTGCGGTAACATTTGCTGCTGGGTTCGCGGTGGGATCATATACGACGAACACTGGGACATCACAATCTTCAGCTGATACACCTCGAAGTAAGATTTGCCGCCCGTAAGAGACTGGAGAACGCATTCACTGAACGAGCATTGCAGTACCGGTGCCATGGAAAACATATTCGTTCAAATACAACGCCACATTCGCTCGAGCGCCCAAAGATAACAACGACAACATGGCAGCATGGGACAGCCTGATACCTAGTCAGTCTCGCGAAATCCACCACATTGAATCAAGGCTGATCCTGCGATCATAGAGGGCCGTGGCTGGATAAAACACCCTGAACTCAATGATGGACAGCTCTCGAGCGTGAGCGTCTTTCACCAGTTGCATTGCCTCAATGATGTGAGGAGAGTGTACTATGGCTTGACGAACGCTTCGGACGAGGCACTCGATATGTGGCATTTCACGCCGAGTCATATGAGGCATTGCTTTGAATACATCGTATGTTTCTTCACGGTTCCTGAAGAATCTCGAATGCTGATACGAACATCTTCTCTAGCGACAAGAACTGATGTGTGCCGCCGACTCAAGCCTCGAACCATGGCAAGACGAAGTCGGAGGCGCAACAGGCTGGAACGTCCAACGACAATGCCGCGACTACGACTACCTCAAAGACTTCGCTGAGAAGTGGCGCGCAGACAACTACGAAGGGTTCGAAGATGTCGACGTCTTCAATATCACGACAGGGGAGGGCGTGAAGCCTAGCGATTTGCCAGAGGTACTTCATGATTCATGATGATACAATTATTGTACAAACATAAAACTACCTCAGTCGATATGCATCTCAGGTTCATGTTTCCCGTACGCGAAGTGATCTGCTGCCCATTGGCTGAGTGCATTCCAGTCTCGACATTGCCTCCATTGCCCATCGCCGCTCGTGAGATCGCCAAATGTGTATAGAGGTGTATCATCGGCGCGACACATCACAGCTTGTCGCAAGGCGTCGAGGCAATGCGTCGGGTGTGCGAGAGGGTAGGTCTGAGGCTTGCCGTCCGCAAACTCGAAGAGCGCTTGTCGGACCATTATCTGGATGAGATGATGCGGTTAGACAATTGAGAAGCAACCTGCAGGTTGTTGACAACGAACCAAGCAATGAATCTGATGATACCCATCGAGGATATACACGCCCTTCTCGGGATCGTCTGGATGGAGTTCCGTCTCCGGAAGACGTTGTTCTGCCGCCCAGTCGAGATCCAGCGCAACTGTTCCGTAGGCTGGTCGTAGATTGTGCCAGAGACCGTCGGAGAGTGTGCGATTGCTGCTGCTGTAGTCTGTGATCCTGCAAGCATGTTGGAGTCAGCATTTTTGTTGAAAGTGGAAGGACCAACGGCCGTGCCTGCCTACCAGATGTGTTGTTTCCACATTTGAGTTGAGTCGACGCCAGCTGCGAGTCCACCGTTAGATGTACGTTGGGCTGGTTTATAAAGGACAACGTACTGTAGCTCGACGATAGAGATGGTCTTGACGACGACCACAACTTATCGTCGCGAACGAGATGAATCACGAGTATCGCATTGAGTATCATCGACACAACGCAAACGATCCCCAGCACAACACCATTGAAGCTCCATCTCGAACGCCGCGTGGCAATGAAAGGCTCAGGCTCCCAAGACCCATCCTGCTCTTTGCCAGCATGCTCGTCGACTCGAAGGGGAGCATACAGCCCTTGGCCATGGGACATCCTGACGAGGGAAAGACAAACGATGATGGGGCAGTGGTATCAAAAGTCACATTCAGAATGATGTCGTTCGTGGTGGGAGGGATCAATTGGATGGAAACTCAAAACTACCTACTAAGCCCCCCAAGCGAGCGCAACACTCACTCATCACTGATCAGCACGCCCGGCCGACTACTCGAAGGAGTTAAAGCTATGTTCCAACAAGGTTACCCTGCAACGCCACCGGTCCCATCTTGCAGCTCAGCTGCCGGAGCTGCAGCCGCTGTGTGATGGAGAGAATGAATCCTTCGCCCTGATTACCCGCTTTGTTCGTTCATTCGGTTCAGCTCAAGCGCATCTCATCATCATCTTCGCTAAGAGAAAGTCCCTCTCCTCCACTTCCGTCCCTGCCTTGTCATACTCGGGTCCCCCAAGGCACCACGTGCCCAACTTCTACCAGCCACCGGTCAGAGAGTAGGCCGTTGCCTCGTCGGCGTCTGCGGACAGGTCGCTCTCTGCTGCGTCGGTTGAGTCCTCTGCGCGTTTCTTCCAGCCTCCAGTCAGGGAGTATGCGGTTGCTTCGTCTGCGTCTGCTGAGAGGTCGTCTGATGCAGCTTCTGTCGAGGCTTCTTCTCTGATGTTGAGAGTTGCTGCGTTGTTGTCTCGTGGAATAGCGGCGCAGGATGCTGTCAGGGCCAGCGAGGCCGCGAGGAAGATTTGCGACAATCGCATCTTGTCGTGAAGTTTTGGTATTGAGGTCTTTGATCGCGTTTCTGGCTGACAGTGGAATGAGAATTCTTGCAATGCTCTGGGGATGTTGGCGAGCGTTTGTGATATGAAGATTGAAGGTCTAGGCTTGCGGAGTTCAGTTGGGGGAAAAACTCCTTATGCTCACCATTGCCGTCTAGTATCATGTACGAGCCTTGGCGATGATGCCCAGAACTGGCAGGTTGTGTGCGCAGCCAGCACCGCCATTTACTTCTCCGCTCACATCTGTGTACTGCGGTGGAGCCGTATGCCGCCCCTTGCCGCATGTAGCAGTGACCGAGCTACAGAGTTCCCGTGGCACCTCATGAATCCCTCGTGCAAGACATGTGAGAAGGCCATTGCATCGTGATTGGGTTGACGCGGCCCTCAGTTAATCTGTCGTTGAGGGGCACCTGGTGCTCGCGTCGATGAAGAGTGCATGGGGTGGGTGGCACCAGTGGCCAGCTGCGGTCGTTGTTCTTGATGAAAGAAGGATTTGAGATGCAGGATGAATATAGTGCCCGAGATCGACGAAGGATTCACGCCGAGAGCTTATGTTCAGCCACTCAAATGCTTGAGAAATACGTCAACCAACACAGCCTGCGTGAGGGCGGCCCAGCTCGCGATCTTGGAGGGTACTGTATAACAAATCCGAGGCTGTGATGATTGCACGCTCGGAAGATCTGTCGGACGGAAGGATTCAGGCGACCAGTGTATATGACCCGCTAAAGTTGCTCACTGCAGCGGCCAATAAGTTCGCCTCCACTCGAGCTGAGAGTTGCGACACTGCAAGTGGTTGACCGGACACCGAGAGGAGTTTCAATTAGCCCGAATCCTGCACTACCTGCACGGGTACCACACGAACTGCATGTGCTCAGCTCGCACATCTCGGCTTCAGCCCTCAGGGACAATGGCGGCTTCCTTCCTAGGACATTCTCCAAGGATGTTGACACGGCTAATGTCGATCATTAGATGACGACGGAGTTGGATGTTGGTGGGATTCGGCTCTACTGCAAGCGATCCCGAGAAGGAGGGCTGTTTTGGAAGTTGCGTGATGATGTTGGGGCGAATCCGTTTCGGGAAGGAAGTTTGTTGGTTTTGCGCGATCTCGCATTTCAATCGTCATATTCCAAGCCTTTATCCGGGTACCTTAGCCTATCGAGGCGGAACAGGTCGAAGACGTGGTCCCCTGCCCAGCTATCCAGCTTCTCCCAATTGGCGCACTCATGCATGGCTACGTCTTTGTTCGTTGGGAGCAAGGGGCCGTTGCCATATGTGCCGTTGATCCACGAGAAGGTGACCGGTGACAGGTCAGGGTGGCACATGAGGCTTTCCCGAATGTACTCGATGCAGTGGTCTGTCGATGACAACGTCAGTGGCTGTTCGATCAAATTTAGAGTCGTGGATGGTGAACGTACTGGCGTGGCCTCTCTCAAGCGCCTCCTTATTCCCGTCGCGGTCGGGGTAGTAGTAGTCTTTGTAAATCCAGTGACGCACTTTCTTCTGCAAGGTTTGTCAGTAGAGGTGTTGCGACAGTTTGGCAAAACATACCAGGCAGTGCAGAGCATGATATACACTGAGAGACGCTATTTCGGCAGAACCATCTGCCAATTCAATAGAACGAAGGTTTAGACTTTCAAGGTCTTCGAAAGAAACCTGAATGATGTCGTCTGTTCCATCAAGTCAGCCACGTTCGAACAGTTGTCCTTGCCTGAAGTCCGTACTTTCGAGAAGACCGTGCCATGCTTTGTCCAGCTCTGGTCGCGGGTCGCCAGTGAACGGGTTGTCTCGAGTTTTCGTTTCGAAAGGCCGGAGTTCCAATTCTATAGCGTCTCGCGCAGACACTGTCCATTCCGTCAGCCAACGTTCGAGTAGCAGAAGTATTGTAGAATCATACAAGGCAGGATATTCATTTCGAGACTTCTTGACCGCCGTACGACAGCCGTAATTGCAATTAAGAAGATGAGGGTGTAGGTGCTGGCGAGGAGGAGATGCGCGAGAGCTTTTCGTCGCCAGGACAATCGATGCCATCGACCGGCGATGCCATGTTGACTTCTGTTTCTGTTCGAAGAATCGACACGTCTTTCACCTCCTAGAAAAGGTTCCTCGTCCAGCATTTGGTTCTCATCTTTCGAATCCAGTCCATAGTCGCGGTTGGCCACCATCCTGCACGTTCAATAGTCTCTGCCGAATGCCAGTGTGTGTTTATTGTCCGATGATTTGTGATATCAGCGCGCAACACAAACAAAGAGCGACGCGAGTTGGTTAGTCGGTCCGCTCGGATGAGGCGAACGCTGCTGGTGTGACCCGCTGTGCAGGAGTGACTTTCACGCACGCTGCACAAGCGTGACGAGCTGAAGCCCGCGTGCCCCCCACCCAGCCATCGAGTGTGTCGATCAACTGCACCTAACCAGAAGACTCAACTTAATGCGCCCAACCACTCCGTGGCACGGCTCTTTGTATCCGCCTTCGCCCTGGGGAAGCTCACTGGCCGGAAGCCGAGAGGGTTGTCAATTGATGTTCCATCCACCTGCAGCTTCCCACGTTGCAAAAGCGTGGCAGTTCGCTGTTGTTGCTCGAGCGTCTCTCTATCAGGTTCATTTCTCGAGGCTGCGACTCCATATCTCATCGCTCGACAAGACTTTGGTATATCGCGCTGCGTTCTCGACAAGGCTTTAGTATCTCGCATTGCGTTCTACTCAACATTGCAGCCATGGGTCAATCCAGCGGCGAGGTAAGTCGCTCTTCCCAGTGTATGTGAGAGTGCCGCCTCTGACTGTGCCTCAGATCATTGCGCTTGCCTCGGTCTTCACCTTCCTAGCCATTCTTGCGGTTGCGTTGAGAACATGGGCAAGAAAGAGGACCAAGCAGCCCTTGGCTGCAGATGATTACCTGTCATATGCCGCAGTGGTCAGTGAACGAAATGCTTGTCCGGTGACACACCGTAAGGTGCTGACCAAAGCCAGATCGTAATGATTGGAGTGCTCACAACACCATTGATCATAAGTATGTCGCCATCTATCAAGCCGTGTTGATCTCAAAGGCAGCGCGTACTGACGGTATTGCAAAGTATGCGTTCTTGACAACTTCGGCAACCACATGAAGACCACTCCAAGTGGTGAGCCGCTGCCACCTTCCCACCGATATAGTGTCTGTCAGCTGGTCCTCGAGGTCTGCGGATACGTGCCCATCGCCTTGGCCAAATGTAGCATCCTTATGTTTTACAAGCGGATCTTCCGCGGCGCAATGCTCGCAGCGGCCGTCTGGACTCTCATGGGGTTGACCATCGCTTGGTGAGTTCATCTTCGGGCTGATAAGAGTGTTGACTGATCATATTCGGCGAACAGGTGCACGACTTTCTTCTTCGGCACCCTCTTTGAATGTACTCCAATCGACAAGTCGCTCTCCCTACCACCTGGAAGCCCTGGGGTACGCTGCATCGACATGGTCAAGCTCTTCTACGCTGGTGCAAGTGTCGATGTTATCCTGGACTTCGCCATCTTGCTCGTGCCTCTGCCGCCCGTGCTGAAGCTTCAGATGCCACCGAGGCAAAAGTTTGGTGTCCTTTTGGTCTTCTTGACTGGAGCTTTGTGAGTCGAATGACAGCCGCAGCCGATGCATGTTGGCCGCATCGAGCAATGTTGCTAACTCTCGTGCAGAGCCATTGCTGCTAGCATTACCCGTTTGGTTGAGTTCGTGTATGCAGGCCGACAACTCAGAGCCGGTAACCCAGATACAACCTGTAGGAAAACGCGACGTCCACATCTGCGGAATTTGTTAGCTAACGTTGTCAAGATTTCGTCGCACCAACCGTATATTGGACGATGATCGAAGCAGCGCTCTGTATCATCGCTGTCTGCCTGCCGTCGATGCGCCCCATCTTCCGAGGCGTTTCGACCGAGAATCTTCTCAACAGCCTCCGGAGTGCCCTGTCCCTCCACTCCTACACCAGCCGGCCGAGCACGCACAGAGACCCAAGCTTCGACGAACAGATGCGGAAGGAGTCTGGTGCATCCGAATTCGCTATGCTCGAGCAGCCTTATCAAGGAACGAACCAGTACGAAACCACTGCTTTCAAAGGTCCCGTAAAGGTGGAAGGCAAGGACGAGATTCCAGACAGAGGCATTTTGGTACGTCCACTGCACGATGAAGCCCGAAAGTCCTGCTTGATTCGTTTGCTGACCTGCTGCGCCGTACAGGTAGAAACGACCATTTCGAGAAATGTTTAGGGACGTGTATATGGCGTATACGAACGGGTTTGTTCTAGCGCAATTGCAAGTCGGGTTGACAAACCATCGCTGGCGTAGTTGCGAAAGAGCCTGGACATATAATGCGGCTGGTCGGTCGTGAAGGGATCGCAATAATCGTTCCGATCGACCTAAGCGGGCACCAATGTGTTTCGCATAAGCGAACGACGATACAGTCTCGAAGTTGAAACATACAGTCAGTTTCAGTAAGCAGTCGCCGTGGTCTGTCGAATCAGGCGTTGTGGGTCGTGGCCGAGGAGGCCTTAGGCAGATACCCCAAGACATAGCAGGGAGAAGAATACACCAAATTCCAGAGTTGTAACTCAAGTCGTCGAGCCCATAGTTGTCGTCTCCACGTCGTGAGTCGCTGTTCCTTGAGCTGTCTTCTATCCAGATACGAGTGTCTGCTTATTGCCCTTCACGAGGGCCATCTCGACATTACAATCATCGCGATCCGTGGTCATCGAGTGTCCACCAACAAGCTGATATCCACAGGCAGCGGCAGGGAAATCAAGCAAAGAACGAACCGCATCATCTCCGTTAACATCGAGAAACATGCAGATGGCGGTGCAGTCTCGCTTGGCACGCTTGATCACCCACCAGAAGTCGACATAGCACATCAGACCAAACCAGTAACCCAGAATAAGCAGTGCGGGAGGATCATTCTGCTCAAGGAGCAGGAAGAACGGCTTCGTCAGACTGCTGACGAATCGCACATACTTCACCATCGATCGCGAACCCTTCTCTTCCACCATAAGGGGACCAAGCAGCTGGAGAGCGTGATAGTAGGGGTTTTCTTGACGTTCGATTTCTGTGGATACTCGGGAAAGTCCGCAGAGGGTGACGAGCTCGTATGGCAGGCCCAGGGTTTCGTCGCCCTCGTACGCCGAGCACATCCAGATTGGCAGGAGCAGGCTCTCAGCATGGTGTTGTCGTGTGCTGTTGACCAAAGGAAGCAGGCCCATCTGCATGGAAAGCCAGCTCAGACGCGAGGGTTCCTCGCTGAAGACCCACGAGTCGCTTGGGAGGACACTCTCCACCCAGGAGAAGTATCTGGAGATATATCAATACACGGCAAGCGCTGAAAGGTGGCCACACTCACTGCATGTTGACCATCATCGACGTAAGCAGCACAGCATCGGCCTGAGCTTTCGAGACGGGCTTACTGATGGCTAATTGCAAGTCGGAAAGGGCGACCTGCAGATGAGAATACTTGGCAAGCCGATAGCCCTCGACTTCGTAGTGATTGAAATGCAGGGCAGCCACAGCGAGGATGGCATGCAGCAAGTAGGAGTGCTAAAGACGCCTCGTTCGTTAGTAAGGGGGAAAGCTTAGAAAAAGGCTTGTTCTCGATCCCATGTTTGCGTACCTCTTGAGCTAATCTTAAAATGCTTATACGATACTTGCCGGCCTGGGATCCCACCAGGATGTCGCTGCAGGTCACTGTATCTTGTCCAAGACCCGTGATTCTGTCGTAGTGTTTCAAAAGATTAACGTCCCTGTTCGACTTCTCGAGGGCTCGGGGGACGATAAGTGGAGAGCTGGCGTTAGTTCCACGGTTGGAGTTGATGGCAGGCCCTTCCACTGCGTCGATGCTCTCAAAGCCGGCTTGGCCGGTGGAGCAGTTATCAGAGTAGCCACAAGGATTCTTGGTCCTCTGGCAGCGGCCGCAGAGAGGTCGCTTCTCGTCGCACTTGACTCGTTTCCGCTTGCATGGATTGCATCCGAAACGAGATTTTCGGTGCGATTTTCGAGTGCTGTACTGTTTCGTGTTTGCACTGGGAGCGTCTTCAGCTTCGCCAGCAACGGACCTAGGCCGGATCGCAAACACATGGAAGCCGGACGCCGGATGGCACAAATCTGCGGCAGGTACGAGTCCCGACATTGTGAACGCCAGGAAAGGTAAACGATGTGGGCTCATGTATAGCCATATCTTATGCAGCCACGGGTAGAGATGTAGGAGTTTGTGTTTAGGGGAACGAGGTCTCAGCTCTTGGCAGTCGTTTTCCTCATTGAGGCAGAGGCAGGAGATCAGGGTCTGGCTTGAACTTTCTTTCGTTTGTAGTTGCTAGACATCGTTACAACCTCTTCCAATATGTTCAAGTTAATACTGTGTACCTCCTGGGTTTGATATCCCCTTCTGCGTGGCCTCCTCCACTTCATAATCGACTCAACGAAGTGCAGATTCCTTGCTTTCAACCACCAGACCTTTCTTAGCCATCAATGCCCATCTTGAATAGCTGCCACAAGTTGTTCGTAGAGGTGAGCAGGAATCGTGATGTTCCGCTGGAGAGACTCCTTAATGTCGTTGGAAGTGGCAACGTCCGGATTGGGATAGTAGAAGGACGCAATCGCAATGATCAGGTACACAATCTGCAGATGTCAGTGTTCAAGTCATGCATGTTTGTCGAATGTGCAGGATGTACGTACCACCAAAAGCGAACCCTCGAGCCAGTTCGACTCTTGATCTCTCAGGAAGTTACCGACAACCAAGATTGAGAGTACGAGTAGACCGATCATGAAGATCTCGAAGTTGAGATCCATAGGCTTGCCCATTGCCCAACCGACAAGGACTACTACGGGAGCGTTGAACAGTGCTGTCTGGATGGACGGTCCAATGCAATGATACAGCGCGACGTTGATCACACCATCCCAGGCTTCGTCAATGGCAGTGAGATGTTCTGCTGCCTTTTCCACAAGAGGAACTGTCGCGAGTCAGCCAAGGCTTTAAGTTGCTTTGCTATACTCACGGAGAATCAAGCCGAGGAACTGGTCAGGGACGCCGCTTTCCACGACTTCCTCTATCTCGCCGACCAAGATCACAAGAAGCCATGCCACGAAGGCAACCGAGATGACCAGCGCCACCAACGTTTCCGTCATTGTCAGCTTCATCTTTGCAGCATCTTGCTCTCGATCCGCATCCGCATGCTCGTCCATTTCGATGACTTCGTCGAAGATGGAGTGGGCCGAAGTGCATGAGTATATCAAATAGAGAATGAAGGCGACAATCAGGACAATAGCAGTCCCGCGACTGATTTCGAGAACATCGTCCTGGAGCTTTCCTTGTGTGAATCTGTCATGTAAGACCGAGACGGTCTCGGTCTTGAGGGCGGAGTAGAAAGCACTGGGAATGAGTAGGCCGAAAGCTGCAACAAGAAGAAGGCCTGTCCCAACTTCAGACACCACAGCGTGGAACTTTTGGTTTGCCGTATGGCGGCGAATGCCTGCCACGAAGAAGCAGAGTCCGAGACATAGAAGAAGATTTGTCAAAACAGAGCCGAGGACTGGTAATTTAGCAAGAGCCCATTGCCAATGTCTCCTCTGAGAATGACTCACTTGCAGCCTGGATGATCGGTATGAGGTTGCCCTCGTCGCCTGAAACGTACAAGTCAGCGTCTGACGGAATGCCTTAGTGACTTTCTCTCACCATTTTCCTCCGAGCTCCCAGACTTGTGCTTTGCAATCAACACCACGAAAAGTATGATCTCAACAACAGATCCGAAAGTGGTCTCGATGAGAATACCCGCCACCTTGGGCATTTTGCGTGCGAACTCCTGTCCAGCAAATCCAAGCAAGTTCGCGGCTGGCACCTGACGCGAGGATTGCTTTAGCAGTGCACCCAGTACGTTGCAGCCCTCGATGACATACCATTGCCACATAGGACATGGCGAATATCCACAGATGAGCATCGGTAGTATACTTCAGAACAATGGCGATGATGACGAACGGCCACAGGATGTTGACGGCCATCGATGCGTAGCTTGAAGAGCGCCATACTACGGAGAAGAAGTGACGAATGTGGAAGCCGCTGCGGCCACTCTCGCCTTCATGTGCTGTGTAATGCTGGCGTCAGCTGATACAGTCTTTTAGATTGAATTGATCCATACACACCTATGCCATCTCCGAATGTGTGCGGCGTGTGATGTTGTTGGGATGATGGGAGCAGTGGTGCAGTCTCGGTGCTACTGCCAGCAGCATCATGATTGACATGAGCACTTGGCTTGGAGCCATGGCCTTCGACAGAGTTGTGAGCCATTGCCGGTATCGACTTTGATTTGGTGAAGAAGATGCGGGTGGTTGGTGGTTGAAGATCACGTCGCGAAGTGCTGTGTTTTGCAGTGGCTTGATTCGCCTCTTGGCGGGGTTGTCTTGGAGACTCTTGGCCTAGGCCAGAGTCTTTGTTCGCGGCGCCAACCTGACACGGGCGTATCTATTGGTTTCAACATCTTGTCCAGTGATGGTACCATTGTAAGATTGATATTTGATGAAGGCAGGCATCGAACGCGTGGAATGGGAGATGATGTTGCGATTGACGCGCCAAGGTTAGAGGCTAGCGCAAATGCTAATCCCAAAACGGCAACGACGATGAGATGGAGGTTCCTTCGTCTTCCGCAATCCGTCGGCTCTATGAGGAGTGCATACAGTCGTGACAATATTTAACTACACAAATGGCCATTTCTCAGTTGACCCTCGAGCCACTCGTTGCTACACTCACTACATGTACCCTTGCACTCAGTTGGCACCAACATCTTATAGAAACTAACCTCGACGCCGTGCCGCTGTGCGCGGCGCAGTTTGGATTTAACAGCCTGTCCATGGCGTCCGCATTGGCTCGAGCTAGAGGCCGTCTTCGCCCTCCAGGTTCAGTTCAGTAGCTGAAAGTTCAACTTGGGTTCGAAACGAACCGGTAGAACATCGATATCGCAGTCCAGTTTGCTACTGTGGCCCTCCTGTACTAGATCCTGCCATTCTCCGTCTTGGCAAGTTTGCTCGTAACCAGAAACATTTGCAGTCGGACGTTCCTACAAAGAATGTGGATGCACCTTTAGCCAGCCCCTTGTGAGCCAGTCCCAGCATACGGCCAATTCGACTCCTGGTTTGCAAAACCTGAGTAGAAGTTTCGCGCGAAGTGGCAATCCTATCAGCTTCGCCTCTTACTGCTCGTGGACATCTTGTCCCGACCTATTATCCAAAAAGTCGCCTCCTCAGGTGTCATCCATATCAAGACCCACTTGCCTCCTTGCAGACACAACTGATTTCGAGCTGCCAGGAAGCAGATCCAGCGCCCTTCGCAGTATTCCATTAAGATTAGAATGCGTGTCCTCGTTTATCCTGTCAGTGGCCAGATCCCGGTCGACGGCTTTCCTCATAAGCTGTACAGCTGCAACGACATGATGCGGGTAGGGGTCGATAGCGAGTATTGGAACAGTCGTCCTGCCGTCGTCCAGGCCTATACTGCCGGGACTGGTTCCTGAACGTAGAGTGATCGTGTATGTGTTCTCAATGCCAAACTTGAGCACATTCAGAACGCTGATCTCAGCCTCGGTGCGAGCTGCCGACAATCGCGGCAGAAGGTCGTATCTTTCTGTAGCCTCGATTGCATCCACGATCAAAAGTATGCCGATGTTGTAATGCAGAATTAGTTCGTGCCATCGCAGCTTCGTCGCTTGGCTCAAGAAGTGAATGCGTTTCTGGCACGCTTCGAGAAGATCGCCGTACACTTGATTGAACTGCTCGATACCGTCGATGATTTCATTGTAGACCTTGTTGACTGCAGACTCGTCGTGCCCATCGCGAAGAGCCTCACGAAAGACGGCCTCGAGTTTCCAAGTTCGCAGTTTAGTCATAGATCCGGCCGCGATCACTTGATTCGCCTTCGATTCTGTCATCTCGCCAGTCCATCCTGATATCGTGCCTTGGAAGAGTTCGGTACAGGAGCGTACCAGACACCAGCACCAGTCAGATTCAAATCCAAAGAGGCCGGATGATAAGATCGGACGACAGCTCAGGGTAAGCGAAGCAGAGGTGTCGAATATCAGAGCAGCCCAGTGCGCAATGCTCTCCGCATTCATAAAGTTGTTCGTCGCCACAGGGTCCGGACTCAAGGAGAACGTCTTTTCTGTCACCGGTGAGACCTTAGACCCGCTGAACTGTAGACTTCTTTGCCGCACCCTCAGCATGTACACTTGTTGTAGGCTTGCCTGTACGCAGAGCGACCCGGACATGCCAGATAACTCCTCCTCGTCGGTGATGCCGTCTGGAATCGGTGTCAAGCCAAACAGATAGAGTGTGAGCATACTTCGATAAGTCGGCCTGTTGATGACATTCAGCATGTCTGCTCGAGCCTCTCTCCAAAGTCTGACAATTGTCTCTTGGGTAGAAGCTGTGTCTAGAGGCGTAGATGACGATGCGAGAGGCAGCCAGCGCGCCGCAAAGGCAAGAATGACCCTTTCGAGGGACATACGTGTCTGATGGTCTGTGTCAATGTCGGTGAAAGCCTCACTAAATCCCGAATAAGTGTGGTCGTTGGCTCTGCCCGAGTCGGCGGCCATCCATTTGTCGAGCTGGCCGCAAAGTGAAGATATGCTGATGAAGCTTTCTGCGATGTTCTCGTCACCGAAACTGTTACTCGTCAGTAAAACTCACGGCTGGTATGCATCAGCTTACACGAAGGGACCTATGTGTTCAGCCACATCAGCAAGACAGTTCTGGAGACAGCTTGAAGGTCTTCTTCATTGACTCACAGCCATAACGAGACATCCAATGGCCAAAGATCGTCTCCCAAGTCTCAGTGAAAACAGCTCGTAGCCAGGGGACGTCAACGGTCAAGTCCTCTGCCGGGGTGATGAGCGATGCGATGGATAAAGGTGTAAGTTCGCTAGAGAATGAGTATCTTTCATCGCCGTCAGTGTAGGAACCTCTTGGAAGGCCAGCGAGCTCACCTGTGAGCAGCCTTCGAAACGGCCTCTGTGGACACCGAATGCCCATGTCTCGAACCATTCGAAGCGCCTCTCCGCGTCTTCTTGCCTCGTGTCCCCGTCGTCGCGCTACCATTGCGCACTTCACGGATCCACTACATGACTTAGCATTCAATCCAATCAATCAATGTGCGGACCCACTCACTTCGAACGTGCATCGTTGCTGACGGTTACCACATCGAGAGCAAGACTTGGCGCCCCGTGTTGTGGTCTTTGTCGTCCTGGCTGCATCGCATGCAACGCGCGCCTTCCGACACTGGTCGCAAGACGAATACTGCACCCGTCGAGGCCCTTCTTGCTCCATGTCAGCGACGCATCAGAAAGTGAGCTCTCCAACTGTGAGAAAATGGGTGTGGAAGTCTTGGTCATGCGTGAGGTCAGAGAAGGCGCGTCTTTGTGGGGTAAAATAGCGTGCGGGGTCGGTCCGTTGCGGCTGAGCAATTGACTTTCCCCAGGACCCACTTCGTCCAGAATAGGAAGTTGCGAGACATGGCGTCGTTGTTAACAACCATGACATCTAGACTCATATGATGCAAGTCAAATGATACTGTAGCACGCGAGTAGTCGCGGGGCAAGTTTGCGGGGTCACAACGGGCAGCTATGGCCTACAGTATCGACTCGGCGTCTTCTCGGAAGCGGACTGTGCAACCGGATCCGAAAGATGCTTGTCTGTCCCTTGGGTCTCACGAAGACGACCTCTCTACAGAGTATTTGATGCGAGTTTGATCTGAACAACCCAGATGAAGCCCTCTTCTCAAGAGTAGTCTTGTGGATATGGCTTCTGCATCTGTGATGAAACCATCAGTCAGCCTTGTCGGTGCAGGAACACAGGGTCGAAGATTGGCCTACATGGTCAGTGGATCCTTTCCCCAGCCTTTCCTGCACGTAAACTTGAACTCAAAGCTAATTTCGTGCATGCAGTGGAGCACTCAAGGCCACGATGTACATTTGATCGATTCGGTACCCCGCCAGCTTGAGAACAGCATCGCATATATCGAAGGACTTCGCCAAGCCGATAGCAAACCGCTCGTTGCTCCTGGTAGAATTCTGACTCATGGAATCGATGGGCTCGGTGCAGTGTTGCAGGACTCATGGCTTGTCGTAGAGGTGAGCATTGGAGTGATCACTCCACGTTGTCACATAGCTGACCAGATCGACAAGTGCGTACCAGAGAGACTCGCGCTCAAACGTCAAGTCATATCCGAGATCGAAGCAGCAGCTCCACAAGACACCATTGTTGCGTCGAACTCTAGCAGCTTCACGATCTCAGAAATCATCCAAGGCCTGCGGCTTCAAGATGATAGCCGGGTACTAAGCGCCCATAGTTGTGAGTGTGCCGCAGAAGGTGGTGGTGCTGAAGACTGACAACCTCAGACTGGCCACCCGAAACCAATGTGATCGAGATCATGGGCCATAGTCGAACAGATGCGAGACATATCGTTACTCTGCTGGAGCAGTGCAGACAGCATGGCTTCCAGCCCTTCCACGTCAAGCGCGACTCTGTCGGTTATATCTACAACCGGTACTGAACAGTCTTAGCCATTCCTGTCGTGACATAACTGACCGTCTCATAGGATCTGGGCAGCCATCAAGCGAGAAGCTCTCATGGTGGCCGCAGAAGGGGCAGCCTCGCCACAAGAAGTCGACGACATCTTCAAAAGCGTGCTGAAAACTCCCAAGGGTCCTTTTGAGCAGATGGACGTCGTTGGACTCGATGTCGTGCTCGATATTGAGGAGCACTACGCCCAGGCGAGATCTGGACTGCCGACTGTACCACGAGAATACCTGAAAGGCCTCATCTCAGAGGGGAAGCTTGGCGAGAAGAATGGGCGAGGCTTCTATGATTACTCTGACCAGAAGGGCACAGGTTTGTGATTCCAGATATCTTTGGGGAAGAGAATTTTGAATCTGCGTCGTCCAAATCATCTTCATTTCTCGGACCACAACATCATCATCGTCATCATAATCTAGAATATATACCCCAGAGAATGGCGGTACAGCCAGCTTCCATTCTTGCCAGCCGGCTTCTCCGCCGCCTCCTTTTCTACCCACTCCTGCTCATCCCTATCAATCACGTCCTTGCCGGTGTACAGATCCGCCTCATGGGGTTTGACCTGGTGAGTCTTCTTGATACGCTTGTAGCCCGCGATCATGATGAGGTAGAGCGGGATGCCGAGGTAGCCGGTCTATCGAGATGCATTAGTTAGGGAAGTGTGCGAAGGGTAAAGTGTGGGACTTACGATGAAGTTCTTGTAGTCGAAGCTTCCGTATGTCTCAGGGTTCGGCACGAAGACGGTGAAGTTCTTCGTGATGGCAATGAGACAGCAGAAGGCGAGTGCGACGTAGCTGCCCCAGAGACCGAAGGGGGACTTGTAGCGTAGCTCCTGGCTCTTGTCGTGTACGCCCTGAGCCCTCCTCGCCTTAACGAAGTAGATATGGGAAACCAGGATAGAGATCCAAGTTAGGAGACCGAAGATGCTGACAAGGTTGACAAAATAGCCGAAGACGGTGGTCGATGCACTCGAGACGTTCATGTACGCCAGGCAGCAGATGGCGGCGGAGATCCCAAGGGCGTAGTAGGGAACTCCGCTCTTGTTGGTGATGGCGATGAACTCTGGGGCGTGCTTCTTCAAGGCCAGTCCATGGAGAGTACGAGAAGCGATATAGAGGTCGGAGTTGGCGGCGCTGAAGACGAAGATCAGGATACAGCCGTTAAGGAAGCCAGGCAAGACATCAATCCCTGCGAGCTTAATAGCAGCAACGAACTAGTACGATTAATCAGTCGCATGGTCAACCTGACTTCTGTGGAGAGACTCACCGGAGAAGCAGCAGCGGAAGTGCTGGACTTGGTAGCAAACACCAACTCCTCGCTGTCATATGGCACGCACATGCCCAGGAGGATAACAGAAACGATATAGAAGATGGCAATACGCCAGAACGTGAGCTTGATCGCACGTGGGATGTTCTTCCTAGGGTTTTGTGCCTCGCCTATGGAGAAAATAATGTTAGCAAGGCTCTGATATGGTTGCTGAAGCTAAACTTACCAACAGTTACACCAACGAGCTCAGTGCCGAGATATGCGAAGACCGCAGTCACCATACTCTGCCAGACGGCAGTGAAGCGTCCAGTGGCACCCGTTCCAACGTATTCGTTGAAGGACCCTGGGTTATTCCAGTACCTGAAGCCTCGTCGATCGCCGTCCGCTCCACCAAGGGCAATGACTAACGACAGGATGATCAAACCAATGATAACAAGGACTTTGATAGAACTGAGCCAGAACTCCAGCTCACCAAAGTACTTGATCCCCAGGACGTTGATCACAATAATGACCACCAGGAACACCGTAATCCACACTCCTGGATTGACCTGCTCTCTCGGTAACCAGTACTGTATGACCAAAGCCGCCGCAGTGAGCTGATTGGGCGTCGTGATGATGTATTTGAACCAGTACGTGTAACCCAGCGCAAAGCCCAAAGCAGGATCGACCCAGCGATCGGCGTAGACCGCGAAACCACCCGCAGCGGGCAGCCAGGTCGCCATCTCTCCCAGAGCGGCCATGACGACGTAGACGAGCATTCCAACGAGCGAGTACGAGATGAGGATCGAGGCTGGACCTGTGTTGGCGAGAGCAGAGCCAGTGCCGATGATTAGTCCAGTCCCAATGGCACCACCGATTGCAATCATAGAGACTTGTCGTGCTTGCAGGCCGCGATGAAGGCTGTGGTTGGGGTCTTCGGACTCGCTGAGGCCACCGACTTTGGGAGATTCGGGCGAGCCGTACTGCTCGAGTTGGTAGGGAGCTTTCTCCATGTCCTGGACGCCATGCTGCTGCTCGGAGGCAGAGATGGACGACTTGCGGTCCCAGATGGCCATGATTGACGACGGTCGTGGCGGGGAGATGTCAGCTCGAGGAGGAGAGGTGCGGCAAGGCAAGGCGAGGCCGTTTCGTGAGGGCTATATAGCACAAGGCGAGGTCAGGCAAGGCAAGGCAGTTGAACTACTGCGGCGTCCGCTGCCCACATGCGCCAAGAGCAGCGATCGCCTCCATCAACCCTCCATCGCGTGGCCTGCCAAGCACCCAAGGCCGGCTGGTGTAGCATTCGGCTCAGTGGCAGGCACGGCCGAGTGATAAAGTCTCTTGGCTGACAGGCATTCTTATCAGGAAGGTGCGTCCGGTCGATGTGAGTTGATGAGTGGTGTTTTGTCTGGTTGATTGATGGGTAGTGAGTAATAGATGGAATAACGCAATTGCTGCCCGCTCCCGGTGCTCAAGCCGCTGTACGAACTGATCCACTGCGCAAACTCAAAAAGTCCAGACCTCACTCCACCCGACGAACGTCAGCCTCCGTCGCACTGCATTTCTCTTGTGTGCGTTCAAGCAACGCCTGAGGTTACCATGCATCTTGAGTCTGCTGCCCAGAACGCTGCTTCTGGAAGGACCTTATCTTTTCGCTTGTCTCACCAAGACGAATGAGTGGCCTTAGTTCTACATTCTCAATCCAACATCTCGGTCCGCATCGGCTTCCCCGGGCTTTTGGTGGAACGCGGGCATTCGAACGACTATTGTATTAAGGTCTTTGTGCCTCTACGAGCATTGGAGATAGTCATTGGAACAGTCAATTGATTCCCTCGCTGGACGAACACGCAATCTGCATCAACGACTGCGATCCACTTGCAATGCGGCATTTCGCACACGCGACCTCCCAGCTCAGCTCAATCACCTGCAGACGCCGAGACGCATTCCAAGCCTTGTGTACAACCGGCCTCTGGGGTGGGCCTCTGGGGTGTATCTTCGCATCTGGCGCGAACACATGACCAGCCGTTTACTCTACGCCCCGATGGCATTGCGGTATAGCCTTATCACTTCCCTACCGCCCATCCCGCCAATTTGTTCAACAGCTCATCTCCATACTTTGGTTGGGCGTCTTTGCCATCTTCAAACAGGCCAAGGTAGTGCGTGATATCCCTTCCATCGAACTCTCGAGTATCAAAGCCTGTGATATGCATTATCAGCATTAGTCTGTCATGTTGTTAGTATTACTGGAATTCACCATTCCCCAAAAACGCAAAAACATTCTCATCCCAATACCCGATCTCAAAATCCTCATACCGAGGTCTCTCCATCAAATGCAAGAAATGCAGTCGACTCCCCGGCCAAATCGCTGCTTGGCCATCCTTCTTGCCCTGTTTGAACCAACTTCGACAAGGACTCGTCCACGCCGTGCGCTGTAAGAAGAGATCGGCTTGTTGGCGGAACTGCTTCGCGGGTGCCATTTTGGGCGTGAAGGATTTGATGTTTTCGACTTGGGCTTTGGTGATAATGTCGAACATGTATTGCGTCCAGCGCTCGATGAGGGGCATGAAGGATCCGTGGCCGAGTGGCCCATACGGACCGCAGAAGGAGACTGATTCACACAAGGACGTTAGCCATTCATCCTCAACCGATGCCTTTCACCTAGCCCGCCGATACTTACAATGGTTGGGGAAGGTAGGTATCGCGATGGAGAGATAAGATGTCACGCCAGCTTCAGGTGTCCAGACATCACGAAGGTCTTTGCCGTGGGCTCGAAAAGGAAAGCGCGGAAGCCAGGAAGTGTCGAAGCCTGTCGCACAAATCACGACGTCGACTTCATGCTCGTTCCCCTCCTGATCCAGGAAACCCTTCTCGGTGAACCTGTTGATCGCATTAGTGAAGATCGTAGCGTTCGGCGCAACGAGAGCTTCGAGATAGCCAGGCGCAGGCGTCGGGCGGCGACAGCCAGGGTTGAAGTTCTTGGGGATGATCTTATCGCAGAGGCGCTCGTCGTGGTTCATCTTACGGGCCATTTGCTCGTAGGAGAAGTCCCGCGCCGTCTTGGCTTCCTGCGATCCCTTGATGATGAATTTGAACCTCTGGTTCAGCTCGTCCTCGATTTGCTTGCGGTACTCCAGGTATTTCTTGGGGTTGTCTTTCAAATATTCTAATTGCTCGGGCGAGTACTCGAAATTGGCGCCATCTGTCCCTGCCCACGTCTGTGCGAATCCGGCCGTGATCCAGATGGGCGAGCGTACCCAGTGGTAAAGCTGCTTGACTTCCTTTTGAATCTTTGCGACGATCTGAACCCCACTGCTACCTGCGCCGACGACGGCCACTTTCTTGTTTTTCAAATCATATCCTTCTTCATACGCTGCGGAGTGCATGAGTTTGCCCGTGAAGTCTTTTATGCCTTCGATATCAGGCCATTTGAAATTGTTCAAAACACCCCCTGCGTTGATGAAGTACTCCGCCTCATCTTCGAAGTCTTCGCCTGTACCCAAATTCTTTACCTTCAATATCCACTTGCCCTTCTCCTCGTTCCATTCGACGTGGTTGATTTGATGTTTCAACTTGACATATTTGTTGATTAGGTCGTACTTGACGTAAAGCTCCTTCAAGTATTCGAAGATCTCGGGAGAGTAGGAGTAGAAGTGTGACCAACACTTTATAGCCCAGCTGAACTGGTAGTTGACAGAAGGTATGTCGCAAGCACAGCCAGGATATCTACGACATCCTCAGTATGTTTGTTTTATCCAGCCTCGACTCTCTCTTACCTGTTTTCCAACCAGGTCCCACCAACATCATGATTCTTCTCATACACTGTTATCTTCAAGTTCTCCATCTGCTCTTCTGCCGCTTTGAGAAAGTTCAAGGTCGAAGCACCAGCACCCATGAGGACGACCTTCACTTCGCGCTTGGTGCCCAGAGGCTGTTCTCGTATCCGATAGCCAGTGTGGTCTTCTTCTGGAATGAGGTGGCCATCTCGCTCAGCGGTAGGGTTGTTTTGTGCTATATCATCGGCTCGATTGTTGCCGTATATATTGTTCGGTGCGTCGCCCATGTTGATCAGTACGTGTAGATACTCGCAAGCGTCTTCGAATTGGAACTAGATATTGGAATTGAAATGGAGTAAAGGAGTGAGCTTGAGAGAATAATATAGAGGATACTTGCCACAGTTAGGGTCCGGAGACATTCGTTGATAGCAAGATACGCGTGAGTTGTATACATGTCGTCGTTGATGTGGGGTGACGACCTCTATCCTCGGCGAAGAGCGAGTGGAGCTCCAGTTGACATGGAGAGCTCTCGGTCTCAATACAGTCAGCTTCTCGACGTCTCTGCGCGAGTCTGTGGCGTTGAAAGGGTATCCATGGGTCGGTAAATGGTCTGGTGTTTGTGAAATGTTCCAGCTGCTGGTCAAGACACAGGAACCTTGTGTTCTCGTGAGCGCTTCACGGTATCTCCGTCTAGCATGTGCCAAACATGAGTGACGACTCGGCCAACGCGATGTTTGAAAATAGCTGATCAGCGGAAGGCACCACGGATGGGCGACGACTGCATGGAGTAGTCATATTCGCCTGGTGTAGGGAGAACGGGTGTCGAGAAGACTGCCCATTGGTGTGTATCGCGTCAGCCAACGGACACGACTGTTCCTGCAGTGAACCGCTCCGGCGAATGTTGGTTAAGGGCCTTGTGAGGCTGGCAGTGTTTTGAGGGCTCCAGTCGTCTCATCGTATCCAAGTGAAGACAGCAGCTGCTGAAGTTCAAGAAGGGGCGAAAGTGACGGGGAAAAGGCGCTGAGTGGCATGTCCGTGATCCAGTAATAACCCATAGCTGTCGATAGAAAAGTCGTGGTGAATCGGCGCTGAAGGATGGCAACGGTCAGGTCAGGTCTTCACGTGCAATCCATATCTCTCGGCAACCGCTGGCGACAATGTGAATGAACATTTTGCCGGCCAACTCAACTCTAGGGCCCAATTCGAGATAAGTCGCACAAAGGTCGAGCACGGCAGATAATTGTTGCTGTTTTGGTGGTGTATGCGGGTGAAGAAGAGCTGGGGAGCGTCGAGATCCCGTCAGCCCTTCGGAGCTAGACTGGCATCATCATCGTCCGCCAGCTGCAACAACGGCTGCGCCGTCGAGACACCCCTCGCCAGATTCGAGATCATTCTTCATTCGCATCACAAGTCTGGTAGCGGTTTGCGCTGACGTTGCGAGAGCGACTGCAACACGTGCGACCAGCGACGCACACGAGGAGCGCCCGCCGCCGCCCAGAACGCCAGCCGACCACCACCGCCCAGCATCACAGCCGCGTCCAACTGCAGGCAATGGGCAGCCTGGCCACCCTGGCCACCCATCCCTCCGCTCCTCGAACATAGCCCTGTACACCCCTCCGCGACCGAGAATCGATCGTCTGCGCGCTCCCAGAGACTCGATGCGGATTGCGCGCATCATTTCGCGCTTCACGCCTGCTGGCAGGACATCTCCTCGAATTGACGACCCGACCTAACGAACATCTGCCCTCGAACAATAGCCACCTTCACATCACCTGCGTAATTAATACCAACCAAGACGCGCCCAATATGTCGTATCATCAAGGTGGCCACTACCAGGGAGGGCATCAGCAGCACAGTCAACAGCCACCGCAGCAGGGCTACTGGGACAATCACAATCAATACCACCCACCCCCACAGAATGGAGGATACCAGCCGCAGTATGGGCAAGAGTATGCACAGCCGTACGAACAACAGCAAACGAATAGCCACCCAGGACAAACGAGCTATAATCACTATCAAGGCGGACCGGTGCAACAGCAACAGCCAAGTGGATATGGCTATCAAGACCAACTCCAGTCGCCGCGCAGCACGACCTTTGGATATAATTCACCTCCCCAGCAAGGATACAACCCCCAGGACTACTCGCAGCATTCGCAGCCAGCCTCCGCGCATCCGCAGCAGCAATCTTACAATCCTGCTGCGTATGCTAACTTCCATCATTCGCAGTCTCAGTCATCATACGATCCCGCTGCGTATCCCGATACTCAGCTGCACAGCACTAGTGGTCCGGTAGACCCGTATGCCTATTCGTCCCCGAGCTACTCCCAGCCGCCAATGTCACCGCAGCAACAACCTCAATACGCACAGTCGCCACAATCGCACTTTAGCTCACGCCAACAGTACAGTCCTCAACCACCTGCTCGTCAATACACCGGATACCAGCCTACTCAGAGCCCGCCTCCACCTCAGCATTCGCATTATGCGTATCCACAGGCACAACCCGGTGCTTCCCAGACCACGCCTTATCCTGCGGATGGCCACGCCCCACACTCAGGATCCAACAGCCTGCAACGACAGCCGACTATGATGCCCAGCAATGACCCGTGGGCCCCATCGCCCCCTGCACATCAAGGCGGTGGCAGCTTCCGCCAATCACCGTCGCAAAATTACGGATCGTATCAGCAGCCATCGCCGCTAAGCTCTACTCCTGGACCTACTCCACCAGCGCATGCGCCCTCGAGATCGAATACATTAGACAGACATCCACATGAGCGGCCTTTACCCCCTCAACCTCATGAATCAGACTACTTTGACAACCACTCGGCTTCGCGGACACACACAGGCTTCAGCCGGGACGACGAACTAGACAACGATGCACTGTTCGAGGAGGTGGAGAATGCAGTGAGAAACGCCGGACGAGGCTCTGTTGGCGCTCGCAGCCCCTCGATATCGATTAGCCAGGCACCGTTCCAGCCTCCTGCGCATGCACCGTCTTTCAGTTCTTCGCGAGACAGCAGAGCGTCCAGGAATGGAACTGTCAATGGGCATTTATCTCCTGTCGTGCCACAGCACGTTACTCACGAGGCCCAGTACTCCAGTGATAGTGACGCAGAGGCAACCCAAGGACTAGCAATGATTGCGGCAGCAGAGGCAGAGGACGCTCGAAGGATCAGTAGCGGAAGCCAAGTGCTTACCAGTAACTTTGGCTCGCAACGAGCTCCTCGCCAGTACCAACGGCATCCAGAGGCAAGCGATAGCGACATCAATTTCGGTGTAGACATGAGCTCGATCACCGGGTACGATGTTGGTCTGTCGTATGGTGGCGATCCCAGTCAGCTGGCTGCTGGTGGCGAGTTAAATGGGGAAGTCTACAGCCAGAATGCGTCAAGCCAGCACAGCTCTATGCGAAGATCACATGCCTCGCAATCATCGCAAATGTCCCGGGTGTCATATGGCTATGGCTCAGAGTCGATTCATCCCTTCCCGCCCTTCAATCCAGCCGCACGTGTGGAAGTGGGCGGCACTGGAGGTCTTGAAGAGCCGACGGCCGATGGACGGAGGCAGAGTTACGATGAGGGCGACGAGTACTCGTTGATGGAAAACGGTCTCCCAGATCGATTTCCAGATGAGCCGCCGGACATTTTCTTCAACCACGCCAGCACCTCATATCCGTCGCGACCGCTTCCTGCAGTGCCGTACTCAGCAACGCCACCTCTTGGACAGCATGAAGCGAAAGCGCTACCACCCCTGCCAGGTCAACCGCCTTATCCTACTGCACCAGAGGCGTACATGAGGGACGCTCAAGGCCAATACGTTCCTCGTTCTACGTCCTTGGTCAGCCACAGCAACACTCCGCAGGTTCCACAACCCTTGCGCTCGAAGACAGATGCCGAGGAAAGGAGATTACGGCAGCAGCAGGCACGCACTTCTATGTACTCGTCGGAGCAAGCCACACCTGCGAGTGCGAGCGTAGTTGTGGACCTACCAGCAATCGCGAAACGATTTGCGCCTTCCAAGTTGGGCGCACCAGACTTCAAGAAATGCGACGAGCCCTGGTCACTTATGTCCCTGCTGAAGTGGCTGATAGTGGTCACGAACCCAGAGCAGAACACCGAACTCAAAGAGGCTGACGTCAAGGAAGCTCTGGTTGCCCTCTTCACCAACAAGGTCCCTACCATGAACATCACGGACGCAGAAGTGTTGAGCAGTCGGGTCGTCACAGACATGTACCAAGCTGGGACCTTGGTGCGGACAGAGGAATGGGTCAAGATTGTTCCCGGGTTCGTCTCAGGCGTCATCTTCCAACTGACACAGTCTGGATGCTACACGCCCACCGTGCACGATCACCTAATCCCTAGCATGCGATGCTACTCGCCGAAGTGTCAGAAGTCGCTGAAGAAAGTAAATCTGCAGACGTTGCCCGCAGGAAGCTCGACCAAGGGCTGGGCCGATTACTACGGCTTGTCGAAAGAAGACATTGACGGGAAGGACAAAAAGGTAATCGAACTTCAGAACGTTCTACACGAGGTCGTGACTTCAGAGGAGGTGTTCATGAGCTCCATCAACGTGTTGCGAACCGTCTTTCGAGATCCGCTTGGCAGGTCTGAACCCGCTGTGATCACGCCTAAACGGAAAGACAAGTTCGTCAAGGACGTGTTCGGAAAGGTCGACGCAGTGAAACTGGCCAATGAAGAGCACCTCCTTCCCCAGCTCAAATACCGGCAGATGGAACAAGGCCCTTGGATTGTCGGTTTCAGTGACATTTTCCGCCAATGGATCCGAAAGGCCAAGTCGGCGTACATTGACTACGCAAATGACTTTCCACGTGCCGATCATTTGGTACGCCAGGAGCTGGACAGGAACATCGAATTCAGGAATTTCGTGGAAAGGGCTCAGAAGGATAAAGCAACCAACCGTCTCCCCTTGGACAACTTCTTGAAAGCACCCATCCTCAGGCTGCAGAGATATCCGTTCCTCATCCAGAGCGTGCTCAAGAACATGAAAGATGAGAGCCAGGAGAAGAAGAATCTGGAAATCGCGTGCGACGAAATCAAGGCTGTCGCCCTCGAATGTGACCACCGCGTATCCGAGATGCAACGAAAGGTCGATCTGGCCGATTTGGGGCAAAGGCTGATCTTGCGACCAGGGATGCAAAAGGAGGTAGAACTGAATCTGGAGCACTTTGGTCGTCAGCTGTATCATCGTGGTGACCTACAACGCATGGGAAACACCCGTTTCACATGGTTGGACTGCCATACTTTGCTCTTTGATCATTACCTGATCCTGGCAAAGACTGTAGCGCAGACAGTCACCGAGGGAGGCAAGACTGATCGCTACGACGTATCGAGGCTACCCATTCCCATGGACCTTTTGATTCTGGAAAGTGTGAACGATCCTCCCGTGCAGAAGTCGAGTTACATCAGAGGTATTGCCTCAGTGCGAGAAGCTGCCGGCAGGACATCTACTCCCATGGACCCCGGAGCGTTGACCAGAACAGCAACCAACCAGTCACCAGCTCCTGGTGGGCTCACTCATGTCAATACGGCAGCATCTACAAACTCACTCAACCCTGTCACCTCACTCGGTGAGGGCAAAGACGCGGACCGCATACTATACCCTCTAAAGATCAAACACCTTGGACGTGAATCCTACACTCTCTTCGCTCTGACGCAAGCATCAAGAGATCAATGGGTTGAGAAGATCGTAGAAGCCAAAACGAAACACGCTGCTGCTCTTCACGCGCAGAATGCCGAACCCTTCAGACTGCGTGTCATGGCGGACTCTGCATTCGTGTACGACGCATTCGGCGGTAGCGGCAAAGGTGTGACTATCAAGGGAACGCCAGTTGATCGGGCCATCAAGGAGGTCGAGCATCGCTTTAAGGATACAGGCAGGCCTGGCCCTATCTGCCGCGCCAGGGTGAACTGCGCAACTAGCTTTTCCACGCCATATCCTGGGAAGCAGATGGTTGCTGTCGGCACGGACTTTGGCGTGTACTTTGCAGAGCTGGATAATCCACGCGGTTGGACGAAGGTGAGTGGTTGAACACGAATGATCGTTGTTGGAAGTCCCTGCTAACGCTTTCAACAGGCCATCAGCATGACACGAGTCATCCAAGTCGCAGTGCTAGAAGAGTTCAACTTGTTCCTCCTGATATCTGACAAGTCACTAATAGCATACCACCTCGACGTGATATGTCCGAGCGACCGTACCGCACCAGCACCAGCGAGGGACGATGTTCGCAAGGCTCCTCAAAAGCTCTCAGGTAGCAGGGATGTCGGCTTCTTTGTGACTGGCAAGATGAAGGAACGGACACTGGTGTTCTACAAGAAGAGAGAGAACTTGAACTCAGTCTTCAAGGTCCTCGAACCAGTCTACCAAAAGTCGACCGAGAAGAAACGGACCGGCCTCTTCAAACGCGGCAACATCGAGTTCTTCCGGGACTTTGACGAGTTCTACGTCCCGACGGAATGCTCAGGAATGAACCTCTTCCAGTCCAGCCTGGCAGTGAGCACGAGCCGAGGCTTCGAAGTCCTCACCCTGGACAAGAAACAACCCTGGAGCGTGCCCGAACTGAAAGCCGAACACGTGCAAAACATCGCCCACGCCATCAAGGAGCAACGCCCCATCAGCATGCTCCGCCTCAGCGACCAAGAATTCATCCTGTGCTACGAAAAATGCGCCGTCTACGTGAACAAACACGGCGACGTCTCGCGCTCCGTCGTCATGAACTTCGTGGGCGTCGCCCAAAACGCCGCCCTGTACGGGCCCTACCTCGTCCTCTTCGACAACGATTTCGTCGAGATCCGCAACGCCCAAAACGGGCGCTTGAAGCAGATCATCGCCGGCCGGGAGGTCAAGTGTCTGGATGACGGGACGAATTGGAGCGCGAACGGCCCGCCGCAGACGAATGGGATTGTTAATGGGCCGACGGCGCAGGCGTCAAGGACGTTGAAGTTGGTCATGCAGCATCCGGAGCAGGATAAGACGCAGATTGTGGTGGAGTTGTTGTTGAATGAGAATATGAAGGAGTAGAAATGAAGACTCAGGAAATGAGGGGATGCATGTTGGATACCGAGGCAGGGAGACGATGGGGTGTGGAAAGCGAGATCTGATTCTACTTTGTTTTGTTTTGATCGTTGCGTTTTTGAGAAAAGAGATACCACTACGCCTTTCCTTTTTGAAGATGTGTGCAAAAAGGCGTTTTGCTGCGAACGGGGTGCTTCGGCAGGTTTGGCTTGTCTTGTGATAATACAAGCACAGGAAGTGAGTGCATCGGCTGGGGTTGTGTTGAAGTACATGTGTATCGCTGCTCGAGACGAAGAGAGCAGCAGAATGTTGTATATTGCTCGAGTCTATCTATTAACCATTCACTCTCTCAACTTCCAATCTATCCATCTATCTATATCTGGCTTATTCCAATCCACCTCGACCAAATACCCACCATCAACCACAAAAGAGCACTAAAGACGGTACGGTACGCGCGAAACAATCCAAGCAAGCCCTCGCTATCCCATCCCATCCCATCCCGATCTTGTGCGAGGGCAGCTTATTGTAACTACCCCGCCGACGTCACCCACTGTCACATGCTCAGCACGCCGCAGCGATGGCGTGGCTATGGTGCCATCCATTGTACGATTGTCGATACGATTGCGATGCGATCTAAGACTTTGTCTGACATTACCAAGGTATTTGGCGTGAGGATTGGGTCTTCCTCCTCCTTAGGTGTCGTGTCGTGTCTTGCTTTTTGGTTTGTCCGCCGAATCCCGGTAGCTATCGAGGGAGTGTCTTGCTTGCTTGCTTGGTCTTCGGTGGAAGCTGAAGGGCCGTTTTGCGAGGTTCTTACTTACTTATCATTACTCTGACGTACCTTCTTCCTTCCTTTCATCCTTCCTTTCATCCTTCCTTTCTTTCTCTTCGTCTTTGTGCTCGGCAGTTGAAGAAGAAGAAGAACAGGTAGTTCTTGCTTCTTGCATGACGAGTCGCGATTGAAGGACCTGCTTGGTGTTTTGAGCCACCCACGCGCACTCGAATGCGCCGTTGCTGAATACCTAACCACTTTTGCCCCTCTACTACTACCATTCCCAAACTTTCCTACCTACCACCATGGACCTACCAATCCACACCCTCCCGCTGCAAGACGAACAATCCGCCGCCTCGCGCGTCTTCAACATTCCCGAACTCCTCGAAACGATCCTCCTCAACCTCAGCATCAAAGACCTCCTCCTCAGCCAGCGCACGAGCCGGAGCTTCCGCTATACCGTCGCAGGGAGCATTCGCCTGCGTCGCAAACTGTTCTTCGAGCCGGATTGGAATCTCGAAGGGAGATTGTTCGATGCGTATGCGAGTCACAACCGGCCAGGTCGCAAGCCTGAGAATAATCGCCTGCTTTTGCGAGCGTTTCCTGGGTGCTATCCAACCATTACTCTGGTGATCGTCAGCGACGGGGCGTCGTCTGAAGGCGGCTTGACGCAGAGTACACTCTCCGGAGGCATCGCGCGCCACGGTAGCGAACAATGGAGCTGGGATGTTTGCATCTCATTCCCAGCCGATAAGAAGCCCAACTGCTCGCCCGCAGTCGACTACCCCGAAGCCAGCTGGCGCAAGATGTTCCTCTCCCAACCGCCCTGCCAGAGCCTCTACCTCGTCCGCCGATGGCAGCGGAGTAAGAAGCCTGCGATGGTAAGAGAGGCCGGCATCACAATGGGTGATTTCTTCACCGAGGCGACGCAAGAGCAGCCGTCGTATGATGATTGGAAATGGCATCAGAGCTATATCAGCTCGGATGCGGATTGGCATTTCGAGGGCAATATCAAGTGCAGCTCCGTGGAAGAATCGTAAGCCCAGCTGCTTGAATTTCCCGCGAGCGCTGGCTCACGAGGTTTCTGCGTCAGGTCTGCTTCGGGGAGCGCTGGCTCTGCGGATGCGCAGTTGCTGAACGAGTATTCGTATTCGAAGACGCTGCTGAATGGCAGAGTAAGAGCTTTGAGTGATGAGTGGGATCCGGGACATGCGGTAGAGTTTGGAGCGGCGGCTAGAGCCCGGACGTGATGTTTTTGCCGGCGTTTTTGGCTGATGATGATATCCAGGCGGAAATGTGCAATGCGGCGTTGATTCGAGCTTTGGAGGATATCCCGATTGAGAGGCGGGCGCGGTATCTGGCCTGACCAAGCTTCCCTCTGTAATGTAGGGTATACGCCCTATCTGCCCGGGGGTATTGTTCGATGGAGTGGGGTGTTCGTACCAATATCCTTATAGCGTCAATCCAGATTACGACTTCTTCCTCAAATCCTCAATGCCATCATTCCTCGTAAACGCCTCATACTCATCGCCCTCCTTCATCCTCTTCTGCTGCTGCTCGTCAAGTCCCTCGTAGGTGCCCTTGCCAGCGTACAACATCTTGCCTTTCTCGCCTTCCAGTTCGACGCTCGTGGAGATGGGCTGGTTGCCTCTGAAACGTTTTCGCATGTCGACCATTCCGCGCTTACATTGGCCGTAGCCGTGGATTAGCTGCAGGCACTGGGTTGGGAGAGTGTCTTTGAGCGGTGGACGGATGCAGTCGGCGGGGGTGTTGCGGTCGATGAGGACGCAGTCGCTGTTCTGGAGGCACTGAGCGAGGGCGGCGCCTGGGAAAGTGTTAGGACGAGGTATAGCTAGGGGATTTCTGGAGACGTACGGATGTCTTTGCAGGAGGACGGCATGATGATACAAGGCGCTGCTTGTCGTCGTCTCGTCAATGCTGGCACCTCGGTGTTGGGTTGATGGATGTTGTTGATGCTGTGTTGAAGGCCAGCGCTGGGACTTGATGGACCTCAAATTGCCAGCCAATCAAACCACACCAATTGCGGAACGGCTCGCACTTTCACATGACAATGACGCGCCCAACCAACGGCTTTCCTTTCCTTTCCTCTGCATCCATCCCTCCACAGCGACTTACCGCTACACCGCTGCGACGGGTGTGTTGGTATACCAGCCTCGACATGCCCCTCCTGTAACCCCAACTCCCAATCCCGCTCCTTGCCCACCATGGCTCCTATTCCCTTCATCGGCCGCCTGCATGTGTCCGAGTACCTGGCTCTCGGCGCTTCCTTCGTCCTGCTGGGTCTCGAGGTCTTCGTCCGGACAATCACGCTTCTACTCCCGACGCCTATAATCCGCTTCTTGTACCGCCTGAGCCGCAATGCCTTCAATAGCCTGTCTTCGCCCTACTCGCGCCGAGCCCGCAATCGCAAGAAGGCTGTTTCGAGCCCGATAGCTCAAGCCCATGACTTCACGGAGCTGTGTGAGCTATATGGATACTATGCCGAAGAACATGTCGTGCAGACGAAAGACGGGTTTCTGTTGGGAGTGCACCGTCTGGCGTGGAAGAGGGGTGAAGAAGACCAGCGTGTCAACTCTGGACCCGGCAGCATTCAGAAGAAGGTTTGCTATCTACACCATGGCTTGATGATGAACAGCGAGGTTTGGGTCTGCATTACGGAACGGGAACGATGTCTGCCTTTCCTTTTGGTCGAGCAAGGATACGACGTCTGGCTTGGCAACAACCGCGGCAACAAATACAGCAAGAAGAGCATGCACTACGCTCCTACAGAGCTTCCTTTCTGGAACTTCAGCATGGACCAGTTCGCATTCCATGATATCCCCGACAGTATCAACTACATCCTCAGCACCACGCATCAGCCCAGTCTTTCGTATATTGGATTCAGTCAAGGCACCGCTCAAGCCTTCGCCACGCTGTCGATCCACCCGACCCTCAACTCCAAAGTCGACGTCTTTGTTGCTCTTGCGCCAGCCATGGCTCCTCCTGGACTTGCGTCTGGTATTGTCAGTTCTTTGGTCAAGTCCAATCCGGAGGTTCTGTTCCTGCTCTTCGGACGTCGCGCAATCCTTGGCTCAACCACCATGTGGCAGGCTCTCTTGTACCCGGGAATCTTCAGCTTCGTCATCGACAAGAGTTTGTCATTCCTCTTTGGTTGGAGAATGCTCAACATTGCACCTCATCAGAAGCTGGCCGCTTACCCTCACTTGTTCTCATTCACCAGCACCAAGAGTGTCGTCCACTGGTTTCAGATCATTCGCAATGGCAAGTTCCAGATGTTTGACGACGAGGTCTCCAGTCCGGCAAATTTCAGCTCTGGCAGCAAGTACTACAAGGTCGCCAAATTTCCAACCCGCAATATCAAAACACCAATTGTGCTTGTGTACGGAGGCAGCGACTCCCTTGTCGACATCAACGTCATGTTGAAGGAGCTGCCAAAGCATACAGTCGCTAAGTGTGTACCAAAGTACGAACATTTGGACCTGCTTTGGGCCCACGACGTCGATAGGCTCGTCTTCCCGCATGTTCTACAGGCTTTGGAGAACTTCGCCCAACCATCCGAAACAAAGGAACAGGCGCTTGGTTGGAGCACCAATATGCATTCTCGTCCAAGCATCTTCGATGGCACCAGCATGTTGACACCTAATGGATCTCAGCCACCTGGGTACTCGGAAGATGAAAGTGCTCGCAGATACACAGCAAGCGGCATGCCCCAGACACCAGCATTCGAGTACGAACGTCCATCGACCGCTGAAGAGCAACTGGACGAGTCCGACGAAGACGATTACGCCGACGACAGTTTAGACCGATCAGAAGAACTAGCATTCACGCCCTCCTCTTTCGCCCACTCATCTCGACCTCCAGTCTCGAACGCGGTAGCCGCTGGTGTCCGTCTACCCGAGAGTGCTGTACGTTCTGCGTCGCGATCGTCCGAAGCCACGTTAACCTTACATCAACGTAGAACACGCCCATCGCAACAGCGAGACTACATCAATAGCCGAACGCGACATGTCTCGACTCGAAGCATCGATTCGCCCGTTCAGCCTGCGTCGATGCAAGTTCCCGTCGATTCGCCTATTGCAAGCACGAGCACGGCTACGGATCAGACGGTCGTGAGGTCGAGGCCTGAGGGTTGGTGGAGCTCCACCAGCTCATCGACCACGAGCTTGCTTGCGGACTCGCCGGTTATCGAGCGGCACTAGAGGCGAATGGGACAGATGGCTGTTGGGGAATGTACATGTGATGTTAGGAGAAGCTTTTCTCTTGAATAAATGATTAGCGTGGCGTTTTGTGGGTTGCGTTCAGAGATACTCCTGTTCGAGCGAGAAGGACTTTCTGTGTGATGAGTGAAAGGGCTTTTGAATATTTTCAGAGACGAGAGTAGTCTTTTTATCTAATCTATACACAACGCGAACGTGGACTACTTTCTCTGCTACTGTCCACCACAGCCCAAGCCGACTTCGTCGCTCACTTCCTTCAGCATCCTCATAGACATGCTGTAAACAACGATCCGCTCCAAAATCCAAAGACGGCACGATGCTTTCCGCACATAACACTCCACTTCTTCCCGCGCACGACCCTCCCCAAAAAGCCTTAATCGGAAGTCCTGAGGTCCTTCATCGCGGAACGATGTCACTCAGGGGTATGTAGATACCCAAGGAGGTTCGAAGCAGCCGAGATTGTGACGAAGGGATCGCTCGCTCGCTCGCTGCCCGGGCAGTAAGTAGTTCGGGTTGGGTATAGGAGGGAGGATCACTTTTGGCGAAGGTTGAAAGTGAGAGTGCTTCGATTTTAAGGCTTGAGGTTTGAGCGGTGGTGTGGCGATGAAACGGGGAGAGACGGCGTGTATTTGGTTTTTGAATCCGTGGGGCACGGAGACGGTGAAGAAGTAGAGAAGAGAGGATGACAAGAAAACAAAATCATCGCCTCAAAACCCTACAAAGCCTCCTCCCTCCCGATCTTCTCCTGCACTTGATTCTCCGTCCCCGTCGTGTGGACTCTATACCCCCTCGCAGCATCCCCAGGCATCTCCACCCCCCCAAACAATCCTACAATCCCACTCCGTTCTCTCCTTCTCACTCATCCTCTTCACCCCAGCACCCTCCCCGTCGCCGTACACGACATCTCTCAGCCCAAACTCCCCTACCCCCGGCTCACCATCGAGGATCCAGCGACGAGCGACTTCGATGGTCAGGGCGTCGTTATCGCGCTGCGCGTCGTGCGCGAGCAGGATGCTGGAGACGAGGTGTGCGAGGGAGAAGGTGAGTTCGCGGGCCTGGGCCAGGAGGGATGGGAGGAGGTCTTCGCTATGGGTGGAAGAGAAGGAGAGGTGTCCGTGAAGCGTCCTCCACGCGTCCGAGATCCTAGCCTTGAAACCCTCATCCTCGATAGCACCAACAACCCTCCGCACCCACTCATCCACGCCTTCCAAATGTCTTCCATCCTTCTGCACGACGAACCGAACGACCTCGCTCGCCAGCACATTCGTCGTGCCCTCCCAGGTCATATTCGCCGCCGTGTCGCGGTAGAGTCTGGAGATGTTCCACTCGGGCTGCGAGGGCTCGTCCATGTAGCCGATGGCGCCGAGGGCTTCTTGGCATTCTTGCAGGGCGTGGGAGGAGAGTTTGCAGGTTGTGGCTTTGGTTGTTGCGGTGAGGAGGCGGAGGAGGGTGGTTGTTTGGGGGCCTGGGGTGGGGAGGTGCGGGAGGGGTGGATTTGGGTGGGTTGCGGGGAGGGGGTTGTCGGTGTGGGAGAGGAGGGTTGTGGTGAAGAGGGAGAGGGAGAGGAGGGCTGGAGGTTGGGGGGTTAGTTTTTGGGTGGGTTGTTGTGATGCGGTGGAGGGAGATGGTACCTTTGAACTTGACTTCCATGTTTGCTAGGAGACGGAGGTGCATGGGGAATGCCCAGAGTGGTTGATCGATGGTCGTTCGTGCGAGGGCGAAGTTCTTCGCGATAGCCTGTATAGTCCACTCAGTCAACCCTCTCTATCTCTCAACGCATCCTCGAAACTCACCATCCCCCTCCTCCAACAACTCAACGCCGTAACAAAATTATGCGTCCTCGTCACATTCAACAACGTCGCAATCGTCGGGATGCCTCGATCCAAAGACCCGACTCTCCAAGCCCTCACATCCTTCAGCTCCAGCTCAGCAGTCGGCAACTCTTTCGTCCCCATCTTCGTCTTCAATCGATGGAATCGGATCCCGTTCGTGACGAGCTGCTCCTGGCCATCTTCGTTGTTGACAGTCTTCTTCGTTGGCGCAACGAAGAGGGAGAGTTTCCCGGACTCCGTCTTCGCGAGCATCAAAGCCACGTCGCAGTCTGTTGCTGAGCAGAAGAATTTGTACCCGGAGACGAGCCAGTCGCCCTCGTCGAATCTGCCAAAGCCGTCGTTGGCGTTGGACTTGTCAGGTAGAGGGGAGAAGATAGCCACGGTCTCTGAACTCTGGACATCACTACCGCCGGGACGTTCGGTCATCCACTGGCTCGAGATCCAGCTGTTCTGGCGCGCGGTCAAGCGGCGGTAGAGTCCGTGGAAAGGATGCGAAGGGGCAGGTCTTTGATCTGGTGCTGGAAGAGTCGTGCTGCGCCGCTGGTCATGGACACGGGGCAGGAGTAGACGGCGGAGGAGGCGCTGTAGGTGTAGTTGCTGGTCGAAGATGTTCTGTCAGATTCTTGACGCGTTAGGTCGATGGGAAGGCTTACAATGCATGTTGGACGACTCTGCGATATGGGCCATGTTCGTCTTCATAGCCTCTCGCAACGACACTGGAAACTTGATGAGCAAAAGTATCGTCCTAGACGCGTTTCATGCCCTCGTATTCACCCGTTCCGAATCCCCCATTTCCCCAGCTCCTTCCATCTGTGACTCGTCACCAGTCGATCATACGGATACCTATTGTTGAAGACATCACGCGTCTTGACATAAGGCTGGTTTGTCTCAGCATCAGCGATCCATTCGTTGACTTGTTCTGAAATGGCTTCGTCGCCGAACTTCTTGAGCTGAGGTTCGATCGAATCCAGCACTTTCGAGGGCAAATACCACGACAGGACTCGTTGGAATGCCGGATCGGAAGTGTAAGGATTGTCGAGCGGTTTGGGAGATAACTTGAAGCCTCTGTCGAGCGTTGCGGGTTGGAGGGTGGATTGGAACCGGTGAGCTGTGGTAGACGTTGGCTTCCACCGAGAGTAGATGTCGACTTTGACGGTTAAGGAACGTATTGGACGAGTTTCCAACATCTTGTCGTTGTGTTTGTTATATTGATTCGGCTCTTCATCTTCGATGTGATGTCCATCTTACTCGACTGCATCGTCCCCGCATTTGTGTTGATGAGGCCCGAGGTTGTCCTTTTCGTGGTGTAGTCGATCTCAACGAGGTCTTTGAGCAGCGTGAAGGAGGTCTGAACGAATCTCTGTGTTTATGGTCGATATTTGGGACTCTTCTGCGCGTCATCGTCGAGGCGGAGAGATATCTGGAGTGCCAACTGACATGCAGGAGCTTGTCGTAATGAGATCTGGTCCATTTCGCTGGCGGAGGACGTGGTTCTGAGGTGCGAGAGGGTCGGGAGGTCTTTCAGAACGTTCAAGGAGATGGTACGAGTGTTGGCGAACGTCTGCTGGGACTGTAGATATGTCTCACACGAACGTCTTGACAAGCCATCGTTGAGTGGATGTCTTGAGCGATGAAGTTGGCCTTCGTAGGGAGGTGGAAGCATCGTCAGCGTCGTCGTCGACGCTCACCGGGCGCGTCCCTCAGCGCTGCTCCCACGGAGTACCGTCTCCCACGAGACGCTCACTGTTCCTCTCCTCCTGCCTCGTTCTGGTGGATGCATCTCATAGATGAACAGGAGAAAGCTTCTGATAAGACTCTCAACGTTCGCACAACTTCACATCAATGACTGTCGCACTTGTAGGAGTCCCTTAATACAACTAGGGACCATGTCAAGCGCGTCCCAAAGCCTAGCGAGCGAGCGACGAGCAAAGAATCCTTCCCTCGCAACTCGCCAGCCCACCGTCGTCTCAGGCCAACGACCTACCTACTCTGCTACTTGCCTTGCACGAACTGGACAAGGAATGAAATGGTAGAGTCGTTCGTCACATTGAGCGCGACCCCTAACCGCTACACCAAGCCGGCTCTGGCCTGTCACCAGCAGCGCTCTATCTCTGGGGGATCTGTGCTAGGCGTATGTCAACGTCTATCGTCGTCGAAGAGATGGCAGCAGGACGAGGCCGCTGTTTGAGATGTTCGTTGTCTCCCAACGTGCGATCACGATGAGATTGCTCCCAGGAGCTTCATCACTGATGGTGCCAGTTTCCCCAGAGCAACTGCGACAACAACAACAACAATCCGCTACTCTGCTGCTGCTTCGCATGCACGTGCATTTTGCGGGAAAGTTTCGAGGACGCTGGGGTGCGGCACACACCCACGCCCCTGTGAGGTGTCTAGACAGGCACCGCACCACCCTCCCGCAAAGTCACGCAACAATCTTGTGATAACGGGTGAAACTCACTAGGGGATTCCGGCACTTGCAGTTTCCTGTCCTCACGGCTCTGGACGGCATGAGAAGAGCTGTCTCAGTTCGGCTGGTGATAGGAGGCACATGTGGACGAGCGCATAGATCGCAGGCTAACACCAACTTTCACGCGCAAATACAACCGTGATTGCCGTGTCGTGTTGACACCGCCTCGGATCTCATATCGTGGTCAGCGCATCCAGGCCCTGTCCTGGCCGTTGGAAGAGTGGAGAATCCATGTATGAACGACCGCACCTTCTCCGTCTGTGCGAGGCCTGCACGCCAGCGGCCACCTGGACACAATCCGGGGAATAGACGGGATGTTGCTCGTAGCTCTCCGCATATGATGGAAATCTCTTGTCGTGACGTCCCGGACAGGGCGGTACGAACCAGCTTATGGAATGGCTGAAGCGTCGGGCAGCGTCGTGTTGTCGCCGGGATGTGGTATCGCAGCAGACCGCAAGAGTAAGCTGTGCAGGAATCTTGGAACTCTGGACTTGCCTCAACTTCGGCGAGTCTCAAAACGTTCACACCGTCATCTTGATTGGGCTTAGATGACTTTTGTGCGCGCGTAAGCGTCTCTGCTCCACGTACTGTGATTCGCGCCGCGGGCCATCACTCGCCGCTGCGCTCTGCATGTCGAGTCGATATGCAGGTGCTAGACAGCAGCAACAACAACAACAGCAAATCTGAGCAGTGGTTTCAAGGTCTCGTGACCGTTGGGTGTCAATAGAATAGAGTTTCGTTGGAGGTTTCGACTCGGTTGACTTTCTTTCCTAACCTTCCCGTTGAACGATCCGGACCGTTTGGCGATCCGGAAGACTGCTCCTGCCCTGGATTGCGAACGAGCGAGCGAGCGAAGTTTGGAAGGGGCCGAACGTTACGAGCGCAGAACGTCGAAAAATAATACTACAGTCAAACCTGGATAACGTAATATTCCGTAGGAATATAACCTCTTTAACGCTATACTTTTAGCTTTAACTTCTAAAATTCGGTGTAAACCTCTTACCTACCTATATTACCTTAATCTAATTAATTTATTAGCTAAACTAGGTATTAAAAAGATACTTTTAGACTATAAAATACCTAGCCTTTTAGTCTTTTAAAAGAAGGCCTTTCGTTAATATATATAATAATACTTTTAGCTAACTTAAAAATAACTCTAGTAGTAGTTCTTAAACGAATTCTAGTATAGTATAATATAGCTTATAGTCTTAGAAAGCTTCTTAACTAAATATAACTTCTTAGATAGTAGCTACGATCCGCTACTATAGAAGAAGTAACGCCTCTATATATTTTACTAGCTAGAGTTTAAAACTACTCTATTCTAATAGTACTAATAGAATAAAAAAGATAGTATTATAACTAGTAATTTAATTAAGAAGTAAGTAGCTAGATTTTAGAAAAAACTACTATAATACTATAAAATAGAGGTATCTATATTTAGTAATAGCTAGCTATAAAGCTTTAAGTTAAAGTATAATATTAAGTAAAAAGTAAAATATAGAGAGGCTAGAAATATAGACTCTTAGATACTCGAAAAGTAGCTTATTATAGTATAGGCTATTATAAACTAGTTATAAAAGAATACTAAGAGATATTTAGAAATCTAAAAGGGACCGAGGTAAACCTTCCCTACGTAATAGTATACGTAATTCCCTAGTACGTATTTTATACTCGCTATATACGAGGATAGAGAAAGTAGAAGTTTATTCTACGCTTAACCTAGTACTAGGTTAATTA